AACCTTAAAAATTATTATAATTTTTTATAAAAACTTAAGATAAACTATTAATTAATTATATTAATTTTTAAAGGATCTATTTTAATACTTTAGTTAAAGATAATATAGCTTAAAAATTTAATCTTTTTTTAATAAAATTAATATTTAAAAGGATTAATATAAAGGTTTACTTTTTATAATCTTTTAATAATAGCCTAAATATATTTTATATATAATTTTTTATTTATAAAAAATATAAGGATATTATTTAAATAAATAATATAAAAAATATTTAAAATATTATTAAATACTTCTTATATATAATTTTAAAAGGTAGTAGAAGCGTTTAATAAACCTATAGGTATAATTAAAAATTTATAATAACTATAATAAATATAAAAGGTTATTTTTTATTTATCTCTTTTTTAAATATAAATATAATAATAGGTATCCTTTAAGTTAACTTTTATAAATATTTTTATTTAAAAGATTTTATTTAATAGCTCCGAAATAAAAGGTAAAGTATAATAATTCTTATATAAAATATAGTTAAATCCCTTATAATTTATATATAAATATAAACCTTTATTTTTTTTTAAAAATAAAAAGGATAGGTACTTTAGTTAAATTAATTAATTTTTTAATTTTTTTAACCTTTAACATTTTATTTAACTACCTTTATAGCTTTTTAAATTTATTTTATATTAAAAGGTATATAAAATAATAGGGAACTATAGCATTTTTTTTAAGTTTAATAATTAAATTGCCTTTTTTTAAATAAAAAAGTATATTAACTTTATTTATATTAAAGAAATTAATAAAGTTATAAAACTCTTATAAAATATTATTAAATCCTATATAAAATATATATAATTTTAATTGTTTTAGCTAAATTAATTTTAATAATTAAATAATCGTTTAATAATATAGTTTATTTTTATAAGCTTTTATAAATTAATACGGAATAAATATTTTAAAATAATAAACCTTAAATCCAAAAAACTAATAATTTATACCTAAATCTAATATAATTCCTTAATCCTTTAAAGTAATTTAAAATAATAAAATAAAGCTACCTTTTAAACAATAATTATGATTAATAGCTATATATATACATTTAAACTTATAAATAATATTATAATCGTTAATTAATTTATAAGTAACCTAATAGGCCCTATATAATAAAAAACTACCGCTTATAATATATTATAATAACGGGGTTTAAAAAGGAACCTTTTCTAACTTATAATAAAGTATAAAAGTAAAGCTAATATAATTATATTTAATATAAAAATTTAAATTAATATAAGTTTATAAAAGGGATTTCTTTAAATTAAATATATAAATTATATAAAGGATATAAAAATAATATATAATAAATATATAAAGGGGTAAATTTAATTTAATACCTTTTATTAGCTTAAAAGGTATTAAGCTTTTAATCCATTTCCTAATTATATATTATATTTTAAAGGATTATAGCATTTTAATAAAAGGGGGGTATAAAAATAATATAATAACTATTATTTATCTTTAACTTTATCCTGCTCTTTATTTATTTAAACTTTTTAAATAGTTTATTTTTATATTATATAGCTTATATAATTAAAGTTTTAATTTTATTTAAGTTAAATATAATTTAAAGTAATATAGTTTAATTAATTATAATTAAAATAAACTACTCCTTTATAATTTCTTTAATTTAATCTATTTTTATTACTATTTTATAAATAATTTAAAGGAGCTTTAAAGAAGGGTTAACTTTTTAAAATAAAGTTATTAAGTTAATAGTTTTCTTAATAATTAAAACTTTAAAAATATTAATAATAATTATTACTATTATTTCCTTAATAGCTATAACTATTATTATTACCTTAATAGTTATTATTATTACCATTACCTTTATAACTATTAATATAGCTATAATTTAAACTATTATTATAATTATTACTATTATATTCTTTATATTTATTTTTATAATTATTATTATTAATAGCTTAGCTATTACTTTAACCTTAGCCTATATTTATAGGTAGTTTACTATTAATCCAAATATTCTTTAATTTAAGCCTCTTTCTTCCGTAATTAGCCCATTAATCCTTACTTATTAATTCCTAACGTTATTATATTACGTTAACCATTTTAATCCTAGTTTTTAATAAGGGGTTATAGAAATTTATTAATTCCTTTTATAAAGGTCTACCTAGTTTTTAATAGTATAATAGGGCTCTTTTACCTTTACTTCGTTTTAAATTTTAACTTTCGATATTAATTAAATATTAATTAAAAAATCTTAAGTTTTAATTAATATATTATATAGCCCTTTTAAATTATATATTAATATTAATCTATAAAAAGGATAATTAATGTAATAAAATTTTAATTTAATTTAAAAATATATCCTAATTAAATTCCATTTACTTCCTTTTTATATATTTAAACCTTCTTTTTATAACTTAATATATATTTTTATAATCCTTATTTATTTTATTATATATATAAAAAATTTTAAAGGTATTAATTTTAAACTTATAATTAGTCCTATAAAATATAGTTTTTAATTCCTTTACCTATTTTAACTATTTTAAATAGGTAAATTCCATATTAAAGGGGTTATAATTAAATTTAAAAAGCTAATTTAAATTAACTTCCTTAAAGGAATAACATTTATAATAATATATATAATTTAAATATAATTAATATATATAATTATTCTAATTATATTTTATATTAAAGCTAAATAATAAAGGGTTATTATTATTAATATTACCCTTTCTTCGGTTTTAATAATATTATTAATTATTAAAGGTTTATAAATTATTAAAGTTAAAGCAATACCCTAACTTATTTAAACTTAATATTTTTAAATTCTTTTCTTTTTTATTTAAATATAATTTAAAAAGGGTATAAATTACCTTTAAACTTTAAGCAACCTTCTTTCCTTTAAAAAGTTATTTCTTTAACTTTATAATTTTAATTAAAAATTAAGCATTTATTTATTATAATAATTAAGCATTAGCTTTGTTTATTAGATTAGGATTATTAAGAAATTTTAATAATTAATTTTAAATTTATCATTCTTTTAAAAATAAATTATATTAACTTTATCCTTAAATTATTATTAAAAACTCTTTTTAATTTAAATTCCTTAAAAAACGTTAGCTTTAATTATTTATTTATATATAAGTATAACGCATCTCCCACTTGACCTGGCCACCCAATTGAGCTGGCCACCCCCCTAGCCCATACAAAAAACGTCGGTGCGCTAATCACGTGATAATTTAATAACTTTACGAATATTGGTCGTATAGAATAATAAAATATACCATTAGATTCATAATAAAGAGAGCTATTTAACGGTACCCTTTATTAATTCTTACGACTTATATTCGCGGAGTTATTAAGCAATACGCTAAAATAAGCGCTAAAATGATCCTTGCCTAGCGCCCTTTTAGCGTATTGCTTAATATCTTGCTTAATAAATTTTATAAAAAATAGTAAAAAATACCGCTGGATTCCTTATTAAATAAAGGATCTAATGGTATTAATTATTTTATTGTAGGCCCAATATTGGTTAAGTTATTATAGATTGAAACATTGGACTTTTATATAGGTTAAGGGGGTGGCCAGGTCAAGTGGGAGATGCGTTATTATAATTAATAACATTATAAATAACCTTAAAAGGAAGCTTTAAAATTATTATAGGTAGGTTAAATCTTAAAGGTTAAATATAATATTATAAATCTTTTTAATCTTATAATAAGTATTTAATAAAACTAAAGCTTAAAGAAAGGAAGAATCTCCTTTAAAGCATATATAGGAAGGGTATATAATATATATAAAGTATATATACTCCAGGGGCCTTAGGATACTATAATATAATAAGTTTAAATTATTATTAATTAAGTTCCTTTAAATAGGGTTTAAAATATTAATAAAGCAATAACTTATTAATTATTATTTATTATTATAAATTCCCTTTAATATTTTTTATTATTTAAAGTTTATTTATTAATATAATCTTTAAAGTTAAAACTTTAATATAAGTTTACTTTATTATATTTATTTATTATTATATTAAATTTTAATATATTTTATATTTAATATCTTTTTATTTAAATTCCTTTATTAATATATTTATATTTTCCTTTAAAGTAATAGTTTAAGATATTATATTTATTATATAAAGCAATAGTTATTAAAGGAACTATTAAAATTATTTTAAAGTATTTATAAATCTTTATAATATATCCTTTAAAATTATAGCATTTAAATTTAAATTTTATAAAGCTATTATAATTATTAAATAATTATTAATAATATTAATAATTATATACCTATATATAGGAAGTTTTACTAGGGTAGAAATGCTAAAGGTTAAAGGTTTTAACTCTATAATGTTCTAAAGGTAAATTTAAAGTATTTATATAGGTTAATCCTTAAAGAAGGATATTACTTATTTTTTAAATATAATAAACTATTATAATACTGCCCAACTATAGTTTTATATATTTATTCTATTATTACATAAGGAGGGAAGTTTTAATTTTTACCCTTTATTCCCTTTCCTAGCGTTATATATAATGTTCCTTGGTCCGTGCTATATATCGGAAATTAGGCTTCCTTGGTTCCGTGATACCGTTTGATCAGGAAATTCACCACGTTGTCCAGGTCGTTCGTTGGCAGCGATGTCCCAAGTGCTACACCATGGTAGAACTTGAACTTGAATGCTTTCATATGGAGTGAGGTTTGTCATGAGAGAATATCATCGATGTAGAACCTCGTGACTGACGATGGATACTAGATACATAGAAGAGTATCGAGCGAGGGACACGGAAAAAACAACGCCGTTAGTGCAAGATTAACGGCCCTTATATGGCATATTCACTTCTCCGCGACAATAGTGAACAAGGATCATGATCTCCACCAGGGGTAGCTGATTACCAATAGAACTATGACTACAGGGAGATTACTATTAATAGACTCACTATAACTTCTTCTGTTATTAAAAAGTTGATGGCCATGATGGCTGGTTTCGTGAAATATCAGAGATATAAATGTATTAGCCCCATAGATGCAACACAATATAGGGTTTTCTTATTCCAGATGCGGGAGCCTCTAGTTTTGAGATTTCTATACTAACACTTCAGACTTTTTTGCACAACCTCCTGTAAGCCCACACCGTGAACCGCACTGCGTTCACATCCACAAAGCGCGAGCCCAAATCAGCAGCCCAAATGATCACAAAGCCGACAATACTAGCAGCTAGACTGATTCCTATGCCATATCTCCACGGCGAATTCGACCCGGTGATTCCCAGAAAGTACTTTCCTAGCCAGAACCCTAGACTGTGCAAGATAAGCATGTGGACTAGATAGAGCGCAAACGACACACGGCCTAGGTACTGCGCAAGCCGCGTCGTGAAGATTGCTTGCAGGAATCTTGCGCTGTCGATGACTAATACGAGGAATATTGCGGCTAGCGGTTGCCAGAAATAGTCAATAGCCCCTGAGTTATGGAATCGTGATGGTATTAGTTGAGATAACATCTGGTAGCCATGGCTATCGGAAGCATGTCGCCTATGCTCTGGCATGCTGAGGACGAACAGTCCGATCAGAAATGCAGTAGTATAGAACAGTTGACGGCAGACCGAGTATTGGAGACCCTCAGGCCGAAGAGATGTCTCCATCGTCGCAGCATCGTACGCGCCTTCGTCAAGTATCGGTGCCTTCTTGGTAGCCGATCGCCGAGACCAAAGATTCACTTCGACTGCAAGCATGCCTCCAACGAACAGGAACTCGCCCCAGTGGAAGTACCAAAACGAATAAAAGGCAACGCAGAGCGTGATTACAATTCGCGATCGCATTGTGCATTTCGATAGCGCAAGCAATAAACCGAATACGACGAGGGAGCTCTTGAACTCCATCGGCAACGTCCATAACGAGTCACTGTAGATCCACGCAACGAGGCCAGGGCCGTATAGATCGGAAAGGGGCATGATGGAAGCCATATAATGCGCAAATTGGCCCCAAATGCTATCGAAACGAGGCGGATTCATCGGTTTTATCGCGGCTCCGGGCATGCCTTCGTCACTATAGCCGCCAAGGTATGCAATGATTGGAGCCGGCGCGCATATTATAATCGCTGGGATGAATAATCTAGAATGGCGGCGGAAGATGGAAGATGCTAGCGATTGGTACATCTTGACATGCTCGCTGTTCTGAATAAGGTTCAACGGCTTCCAGGAGAGCGCATAGCCCGAGATGACGAAGAAGAGCATGACGTTCGCTGGCCCTGACACGACAAGACGGATGATGGGAAGTTGGATCAGGTGGTCGTTCCAGGAACCCCAGCCGTTGTGGATATCCCATGAGAACCAGATCAGGGACATGTGGTGCAGGACGACGAATAAGGCCGCGACGCCGCGAAGGCCATCTTCACACCATTAGTTTGACAGATACTATGCGAAGATAGGCTATTGGATGTACTAACCTAGCCAAGCCGTTGGTCTTTGTTTCTTTACTTCGATGGCTGAGGTTAAAGAGCAAAGAAAACTTGGCAGAAGTATTTTGAGCATCCGAGGCCATCGAAGGGATGATACCTGCCTCTTGTGCGTTTGGTGGTTTGCAGACGGTACATGAGCCTCAGAGGCTAGTAAAGAGCCTCCCACTTCTTGCTGTTCTCCTTTCTCGAAAAAGTCCTCCTCGTTTTCGAGTAAATGATAACCAGCTACACCATCGGCTTTGCGCGTCCATAACTGTTGAACCATATGAAAGGCCATGATCTATATCGAAGAAAAAGGGAGCGACTTGAGTTGGAACACTAAAATGAGAGAATGAAGTTTGCTAGTTGTAAGTAATAGCCATGAATGAAAGTTGACCCGGTGCTTCCGCAATGGAGACGAGAAACTATCGTGTTGATATTATACGGCACGGTGTAAGGGGCACTGCGCAACGAGGAGCACGACGAGACACGGTCTTGCATCGTATCTTTGGAACTTTCGCTTCATGGCCAAATGCGATTAGCTCGATCCTTCTTCTGTGCAAGTGATACAACTGTATGAGATCGTATCAGGGGTAAACTGTGACATGTTCCCTTGTTGTTGGCTGCACCTGATATTTTGTGCGAGCATATTTTCTAATTCTGTGACCAAGCTTGGTTCTTCCATTGGTTACCCTTAATGTTATGTGCCTTGTACAGCTGGCGACGCTTTGCTTTGCCGTAGACCCGCTGTATCGTGTACTAGTTGGGAAGGTGGAGGATACCTTCGAATAATGCTACTAGAATGGGAATCAAGGACATAACAAGGGGCACGGTCTCGACCAGTCTCGCCTCTGCTGAGGTAATGTATGTAGTCAAAAAGATTAGTCATCGTGAAACTTCAATATTCAGTGATTACACTATAGAATCAATAGTAAGTGGCGGTGACCTCACTAGAGGGTTGCCCTTTTCTTTAGATTTTCGTCGAATTCATTGTCTCTTTTTCTCCGTCGCCTTGCTGTTCAATGCTTCAAGCTACTGTAAATGCACCTTGAAGTGTAGGATCTGTCTATCTCTTTAGGTCTGATGGCCTAAGCAGTGTAGTTTACACTTGTCCATGTCAATGCGTAAATGCATTGAATGTGTTCCGTCGAGATAATGATCGATCGAGTGCTGAACTTAGTGTGTCAAACCTTGCACCGTTCCTATCAAAGTGCATGGCAGATAACCGTATCTGAGTGGGCCGGCGATAGTGAGGACATTGAGATAATTAAACCTAGGTGACATAACGGCGTCACACCGTGTTCCCACCACGCGATAAACAGCTCGGTTGTGGCATCTGAACGATAGTACAAGAGGAGCATTTTAAATTGCTCTCAAGTTCAATGTTCAATAGAGGGCCTGTCAAAGCCTTCGGACTTCGAAGGTGAAAATAAGTAAATCACGTGTTTCGCTCTTTTTGGCTCCCGGGCCAACTCGGCGCCGAGCTTTCGAAGTACGCCGCAGGGGAACTCCATCATGGAAGCATGAACTGCCGATGCCTAATTATAGCAATATTGCTGAGTCATTGTGGCGGTGCAGGGGAGGGTTGACGGCATTGACAGCCACTGTCGAATGGATCTGTCAATGGAGGCTTGTTAGGCCTTTTCCATGATACTTTCCTACCAGCACCGTGTGAGCCACTTGGCGGCCGTATAGGGAACACCCTCGTCGTGCCTACGGGGCTTGGGTATTCCTCCGTCGCCTACCTACCTTTTCCGCCTAGGAAGAGGGCGGTTTTTTCGGAGGTGGTCGGGAGGGTTTTTCTTTAACCCATCCACCGTTCATCGTACCATGCTGTCACGGAGAAGTGGATACGGAGCGGTAGAACCTTATTGCGGAAATCGTCTATTAATTAGGAGATCTCTGGGTGTAAGATCAATGGTTAGAACTTAGGCCTTAGATCATCTGGATAACTAGACCTCGACTGATAGCTTCTGTATGTGGTGCTAGTTCACTTCCGTGATTCCGCACATTCGCAAGAGATGCGGACCTAGTTAGACAGGCGGCCGACCATAACAAGCGTGCCAGGGTAGGGCCAGACTGGAAAGAAGAGAGAGTCGTATGGGCTTTGATTTTTTGTTTTCATGTAGTTTGGCAGCCTTCGAAAAGTCTAGTTGCGTAGTCGGCTTAATAAAGGCACATTGTGTACGCGCGCGCCGTGGCTGGCCTTGAACAAATGTATGCAACTAGGCTTTGTATGGCCCATGGCCCCCAATATGCGTTCAATCAACTAGACCTTGTTTGAATGAAGTAGATTCGCGATTGGAACTTACGAAGACCAATGATTTAGTGTTAATGTGGCCTAAAATAGTAGGTACCGCGATGGGATCATGGCGCCTAGGGATTTCTTGGCGGCGATTATCTATCAGCGACCTGGAATGGAGGTTGAGAAGATGTAAAGCGAACATAACTCTGGTGTTAATAAATAGAGCTATAGCGGTCACAGATAAATTATAATCATATCAGCAGCCTTCCGTCAGCCAACGATATAATAAAAGGATTCTGGTACCGTCTGAACCCTTTTGGTTTCATGACTCGAATTTGAGTTTTATGTAGATCATTTACGCCTATTCTAGTAGGCGATTATCAGGGTTCTCGACACTCCATGTAGAGTAAATTTATTGCATAATTCTTAGTATCGCATCTCCAAATCCTCTGTGTAAATCATTCCTTCAATAAGTAGTTGATTAACTAGATGCATGTGCGTAGATAGTAGCCCTCCGTGAACCTCGGCCAAATTGGAAGGAAACGAACAGCGATCTACAAGTCTTGTCGATCGTTGCTCTTGATACTTACATTTAGTGTCCTAATGGAATACCGCTGGGCAGGGTATCAAAGTGCTACTTCGCAAAACCAGTGCTAGGACCAGTGCCCTCAAAGGACCTCGCGTGTAATTGCTCTTGAAGATCTGGATGATGCCGGATCTACAATGGGAAAAATTGGGCCGAAGATGTATATAACCGATCGTTATGAACACAGTCCCGAGCCAATCTCTGGGGAGATTTTAATCCTACGCGCGATGAATGCATGAAATATTGCGGCTAAGCAAAGCTGACAACACCAGTATTACATCCTGTAACATCATGCGTTGGCGCAGCTTCAGCCATGCCAAGCTACGCTAAAGTGACTTGCTCTTCTGCCTCTTCATATTCCAACCTCCCTAAAGCGGACAAAACTCGATGTCTGCCAGGCACCACGACGGTTGAAACTTGAGAGGTGTAGGAAATAAACACTACACTAAGAAACATCATTCCTCTGCCTTCCTAATTAGGTGAGTTTTCCGGCTGGCTGCGCCCTCAATCTGGCGGGCTGAAGGCCGTCGATCGCTCCGTCTGGGGGCTAGGATGGCACCCACACGGATCGGCATGTCACTATCAACATGCCGAATCCGATACCATGACCTTTCTAAAGTTGATATCTTCAAAATCCTACTTGCGCCAACACCTCTTGGCTCTTTAAAGCAAACTAGGAAGGAGGAAGCTGGTGATGGCAGGCCTCGGACAGCGACAACAGGAGCATTTGATCATGATAGTAGAGCCGGGAGAAGTATAAAGATATCAAGATGTTCCCATCTAGTCTGCTAGTTTTATCTTCCCTTCATCATTCCTTTTCCATTCTCACAGCCTCTCCCCTATATACCCTTTTCAGAATACAACTTAGACATGGAGCTCACTAAGTTCCTCGCCTTTTTGGCAATCACCTTGCCCGTTGCCTACGGTGCCCCCTCACCTACAAAGCTCCACCCCGAGATTTTGGCCGCTTTAAAGCGTGATTTGGGGCTAGATGCCAGGCAGGCTACCGCCCGTGTTGCCCGGGAGCAATGGGCTGCTGGAGTTATCGAGCAGTTGCGCACGGAAACAAAGGATTCCTTTGCCGGCGCTTGGATTGTCGACGGCCACACACTTAAAGTTGGTGTGACAAGTCAAGCTATGGCTAAGAAGGTCTCCGCTGCTGGAGCTACACCAGTGATTATGACCAACAGCCTTTCTAAGCTCACCGACGCGAAGAAGACACTTGACAAGATGGGCAGCCAAGTTAGGTCGGCTGGCACCGGCATCGCAGCATACTACGTCGATGTTGCCTCCAACAAGCTTGTTATAGAAGCACTCTCCGGCAGTGCCACCCATGCCAAAGCGATGGCGAAGGTAGCCGGGCTTGCCGAGAACGATGAGTTTGAAGTCCGAGTCGTCGACAAAATGCCCACCACTTTCGCCACGGTTCAAGGCGGCGATGCTTATTACATTAACCAGAGTGCTCGGTGTTCCGTTGGCTTTTCAGTCACAAGTGGCTTCGTGTCGGCTGGCCACTGTGGAACTTCAGGCAGTTCTGCCGCGACCAGCGACGGTGAATTTCTGGGAACCTTTCAAGCGTCGGTCTTCCCAGGAGACGCCGATATGAGCTATATCGGTACCGATGGAGCTACCCTCACCGGCCAAATTAACGGCTACGGTTCAAGCAGTATACCCGTAACGGGTAGCGATGTTGCTGCTTCTGGATCTAGCATTTGCCGTTCCGGGTCTACCACCGGGGTCCATTGCGGCACAATCAGGTCATTCGACGCAACAGTCAACTATTCTGAAGGAAGCGTCACAGGTCTCACCGAAACTGATGTATGCGCTGAGCCTGGCGACTCTGGTGGCTCTTTCTATTCCGGCTCCCAGGCCCAAGGTGTAACTTCAGGAGGTTCTGGTGATTGTTCCTCCGGCGGCATCACCTATTTCCAGCCTGTGAACGAGATTTTGGAAACCTACGGTCTTACATTGGTTACGTCATAACTAGCCAATGCTGTTGCGACCGTTTGAGCAGAAGTGGATGTTGAATTTCTTGTCTATACCTTGGATATGTATATAAACTTATATATTATGAGAAATGCTTGAAAATGATTTCACAATTTCCGTTTCGATTTGCATGTCATTGATAGATACGCAAGTACTCCGATTAACAAAGATGATCTTCTCTGGCGCACCTTAACAACTAGGACGCTGAGTTCACGAAGGCTTTTATCTAATCCTTTTTATTGCCTTTTCCTTCGTCATATTTTTCCCTCAGCTCTTGAAGACGCGAATGTTTCATACCAATCGTGCTCCTAGCAACCGTTGTTCGAACGGTCCTGACTTTAAATCAAGGATCCGAATGACGGTACTAGGCAAGCCATACGACTAGCCACACTAATTATCAGCCCCTATTCCTTACCTTGACAGGCGTTAACGACATTCTAAGCCTTCTTTTGAAGCAAAAGCTCGCCAGGTCAGCTAAGAAACACGCGAGACTCTAATGTGCCCTGACACCTTTTCAGGACTATTATTACGACAAGAAAATTTTAGTACCTAATTAACTAACCTGGCTCCGAAGCGTAGTACAGAGCCCCAGTTGGGGTCTGTTGTTTCAACCCGTGAGCATCGACAATATCAATGCCGCCCCGAGCCTGTAAGCCTGCTTGACCCCTGGGCTGAGCACAAGCACTGCCCTGCCTAGGACTCGAGATGAGCACAAAAATGCATCTCACAGCCCCTTGAAACCTGGCCCCCAACCATACACCGAATACCTATGCTCAACCAGTTATAGTTGAAATGGGATGCGAAAGCAGAGCTCTAGCATAAAATGTAACGTCGACATGGGAGTTTAAAAGTCATATGTTACTTACAAAGGAAACCATTTCACAAAGACCATCATTGCTACATATGGGATAGTTAGGATGACATATATCTGTGAATAAGAGGAGATAATTTATCTGAGCGACAATAGGATCGTTAAAGTACACCACGGAAGGGATGGTGCCGGTGGTGTACGAGCTACTTGGTAATTATAGTAACGAAGCCGATGTGACGATACGATATGTGCCGTTCCATACAGATCCCCACGCACTTTGGATATCTGATTTATCACTTAATAGGACCAACCATAGGATATACATAAAGGAAAATTTATGTATCTACCAAATCATCAAGACAAACACGAACTCACAATCTATGATGAACTAAAATGCCACAGTCTTGACAATGGCCATGTATCAGCAAGCCATTGCCAGTGCTTCAACCACAATGCCCCCCAGCACGCTCAATGGCGAACTGGATACCTACAGAAATTTGGTTAACAATGAATTGAGCCAGAGTCAAAACGGAAACCTGAGAACCAAGGAGTCTGCGTACGATAGCTTGCTCGATTTCCCCAAGCCTGAAAGCGGTGAAGACTCGAGATCCGAGAACCCCAATCGACGTCAGCAATCGAGGTCCTGAGGATGGGATGGATTGCACTGCCGTTCACCCTCAACATCATCAGCCCCGCACTAGTGATATTCATGGTCGCCCAGCCAAGTCAGGGCAACGCTCCTGCTTGGAATAATTCAACACTAGCCTTGCTGCTATACGATGTTCTAAGCCGGAGGCTGACAACATGTATCTTGGAAGGGAAGCCCGGTCTTAGAAAAAGAGGCCCAAAAGGCCTCGGCTAAGTGAGAGAGCGACAATCTAGCTTCTAGGGATCTCAGTTGTTGAGCAGACCCTACTCACCCCCTGGTACATTGATCCTGAGCTAGGCTATTCAAATTTACTCATTAATTCCAACAATTCAATCTGTTACATCTTTCAAGCTCCCTTAAGCCGCATTTGATACTAATCCGCCCCTTTCTTTTGGGCTCAGCATAATTAAAGTTGAGACTTCTTTTACTGTAACCCAAGTTCCTAAATTTCTATTATAACCTTCTAATCATATATTTATCTTAAAATTAGTCGGTATCTACTAGAGCAGATTACGGCAAGCTAAGTTGGAGCAGACTTGACTTGGATGAGCTCAAGTACAATGGTACGCAATCTATGCGAGTACGGTATCCTGCAGGCCTACTCACCTCTGTGTTACCTCAGTGACAGATTCCTACCTAGGTACCTATCTAAGACAGTTATTTGGCCCTTCTAAATATACCTACGTACCTCCCTTCTAGAAAACACATATATCACGTTACTGAATAAACACCCATCAAGAAATGATAGGACCAATATATAACAAGACCATCATCGTCTAGTGGTTTAGGATACCAGATTTTCATACAACACATGGATATTTTCTGGGGACCGGAGTTCGAACCTCCGTGATGGTGTTATTTCTTTTCTTTTGCTTGTTTGCTTTCCTTTTTCTCTGTGTCAGTCTCTTAGTACCTCTTCCACGGCAAGATCTCCATTTACAAGCAGCTTTGGCACGAAGTTAACTGTACGAATACGAGTTTTCTTATTTCATCGCGTTTATAAATTGAAGTTCCTCCCATATTTACCTGAGAATTCAAGGTGGTTATACTTAGAGCCTCTTGGTTGCTATCAGGTACGACAGTGTACCTATGTAGCGTTGATTCAACCTGTATGCATGGCATCGCGGACGTGTCCTCACGCACTGTGTTTGCTTCTAGGGCATGTATATATTTTGATGTTTAGAGGTTTGGCATTGCTGATTTTGTACACATATTGAACGCTCCCCTCCCTGATCTCAATATCTAGTGACTCGGCACTATGATGTTGACCGACACCCCCAGAATCAGCCAAATTACGGATAATTATTCATTCTCTGAATGCTAATCGTTAGTCCCCGTGCTCCAAAGGCATGTGTTTGCCTTCTCACATCCTACCGCAACGCCATACTTCGCTCAAGGAATCTTCACCGCGCCTTTCGCACCGCCGGTAAACATCTCTCGCAGATCACCCACAAGCTCATCGGGGCATTCCCACGCCGCGAAATGACCGCCCTTCTCATGATTCTTGTCGAAAACGACATTGCCCATGACATGCGCCCACCAGCCCGGCAGGATGATGACATCCTTGGGGAAGTGCGACAGCCCGATCTTGAGGTCCTGCCACTCTCCCAACTGCTCCAATGTCGTAGTCGTATCGGTGGCCTTGGCGTGCTTGACCTCGTAGTAGAGCTGGTGAGCGGCGCGCGGTCCGGCTTTGGAAAACCAGTAGATGCTGATCCACGTGCACACCTCGTCTTCGGTCCAGGGGTACGAGTCGGTCCAGTCCACGAGCTTCTCGTAGATCCAGCCGAGTAGTGCCACTGGTGAGTCCGTGAGGGCGTACCCGAGGGTCTGAGGCCTTGTACCCTGGACTATTATCATGGCGGTGATTAGCCCCGTCCTGCCTTTATATAAAGCTGATTCTTACGATAGACATGCGCACACGCACAACGAATACGAGAAACGAATCATTGCGCAACTTTGAAAGCACCAGAGACACGACGCAGAGACTCTCGAAAGAAAATGATACATACCCTGATGGTATCCCGAGCCCTCATCCCTAAACCACTTCGATCTCTCGAAGCCCTTCTTATCCCTCTCCGAGAACCCCGTGACGAACGCCGAGACCATCGTCCGCAAGAACGTAAGCGGGTTCCGCATCAGGCTCGGCTGCGGGTAATGATCGAGATTCAAGTGCTGCGCCTTGATATACGTGGGCGCGTACCGGCGTCCCATCGCCCTCGTGATCATGCACCCCCAATCGCCCCCCTGCGTCGCGTACTCCTCGTACCCCAGCCGCAGCATCAGCTTGTGGAATACCTCGCCGTGCTGGTCCGCGCCGAACCCGGGCTTCTTCGAGGCCTGCGAGAAGCCGTACCCTAGCAGCGAGGGGGCGACGACGTGGAACGCGGGCTGCGATGCGTCCGGCGGCGAGGAGAGCGGACCCAGGATCTTGGTGGCTTCGAGGAACGAGCCCGGCCAGCCGTGCACGAAGAGCAGCGGGATGGCGTCCTCCCGGGCGCTCCGCACGTGGATGAAGTGCACATCTAGCGGCTCGAATCCATCTGCTTGCAACGACGTCGTGAAATGCGGCCATGCGTTGAGTTTGGCCTCGGCGGCGCGCCAGTCGTATTTCTCGGCCCAGTGCGTCGCGAGCCGTTTCACGTCTTTCAGGGGCGCGCCCATCTCGTTGCCGACGCCCTCCAGCTCGCCCGGGAAGCGCGTGCGTCGGAGACGCTCGCGTAGGTCCTCTAGATCGGCGTCCGGGACGGCGATTTTGAAGGGCTTGATTGCGTCGGCCATTGGTCCTGATTGATCTATCCCACTATTTCGACTCTGAAATCAATTGGACTTCTCTTGCGTTGGTACAGTTTTGCGACTGATGATTTGCAGCCGGCTGGGAACGTGTAACAACGACAGTTATGAGATGTCGTTGGACTGCCGGCGAGCGGGCTTCTTATATGTCCGAACGGGCCTGTCATTCTGGGGCTAGGTAACACCCGGGATGTTCCACAATCCCAGCGTTTGTGCCATTTAGGTAGCTAGTAGTTCTTCTGGGCGGCCGGGATCGTGCTCCATCCTGTTCGGATGCGTGCCGAGCCTATAGCTTGCCCCTTCGTATTCGATCCCGCCTATCTACTATAGACTATAGTTGAAGCAAAAGAAATCGTCAATGAGACCAAGAAGAATTGACGGGCGATTACTAATTACAGAATCGCATAATCGCCCGTCATAGGTATATATACCGTAATACACCTACCTACTATATCTATCAACAGCTCCCAACCAAGCCAGGCATCAGTAAGCCCTTGCATAACTAGGCAGACAGCAAAAGCCTCTTTCTGCGGCTTTCGCAAAACTACCTACCAAAGGGGTGTTCAGGATTCCATGATCTACACTACGTATTAATAACGTATCGATCGTCGTGCAAACGGAGCCGAAACAGGATCATCCACCCTCGTCCACAGCGCACCCAAAATAATACCCTCGCCTACTACGTATTGTACGAGGCATTTGGGTCAATCAGACTTGACCCAGGACATGGGTTAGGCGAGGGCGGGGTACATTGGTTCTCTATGATGCGGTGTAGTGGTAGTGGACGTGCATGAGATTGACCGTAACGAACAAAATATCTAATCTATCTATCTACCTAGCGATAAGTATTCTAGATGGGAAGAGACGTGCGTAATCGTGTTCGTGCTATTCACTGTACCGTATATGTATACATAAGCAACCCAGTCTCTTCACCAGCGCCATGCACATATTCGCCATCATCAAATGGTAGGATCCCCCATAAGTAAATAGCACCTGTTGTCCAACCCTAGGTAGGTATCTAGATTCACGCAAGTCTTATATCACGGTAACGTATATATACACACGTATAGTTAACACAAATATAAATAACGCGATATAAATTCCTCTGCTATATACTAAACGGCTGCTAAGTGAGTAGATCCTAGCTCTACCCACATGACTAATGAAATGCTCTATTTCCGCAATGTCAAGTATGCAGTTCTGCAGGCATCTATGTACCAGTAAATACCACCACGATGAATCGCCACCTTCACACGCGCGCAGCTATAAGAACGGAAGAACTACGACAATAATCAGACATCTCATCTCATCTCAACCATCTAATTCTCAAAAGCGCGCACCGAGCATACCCTAACGAATGCTACGATTGATAAATCGGTATTTGCTTTTTATTTTCACCGCTATGCTACCGATATGCCCTCTCTCCCTCAATCAAGCAACACCAGCAAACCAAACGCCCCTCAATCATTAAATCATCTGTGTTGTGTCTCCCTTTCCAATAAAACGCCCTCGAAAAATGTTCACTCCGTCAAGAAGCTTGCTCGAGCTTCCTCTCGCCAAACTCATCCTTTCACCAACCATAACCTCACACCTAAATCCCTAGGAATAAGAGTCCCCTTACACCTCATTGCTAGGATACTCGACCTTGGCCGTTGGCAGGAACTCCTCCTTGATACTCCGCATGCTCACGAAGCGGCCCAGAAGCGCAATGCTGCCCGCCTTATCGTTCGTGCCGCTTGCGCGCGCGCCGCCGAACGGCTGCTGTCCGACCACGGCGCCCGTGCTCTTGCAATTGATGTAGTAATTGCCCGCGGCGTTGCGCAGCGCTTCCTGCGCGGTCGCGATCGCGGACCGATCCGTCGCGAATACGGCGCCCGTGAGCCCGTATTCGGTCGTGCGGTCCACGAGCTTGCATGTCTCCAGGAATGCTGTCTCGCCGGCCGCGTCGTCCCAGACGTACGTCGTTAGGATCGGCCCGAAGAGCTCTGTGCTGAGCAGTTTGTGCGCAGGGTTCGTGGTGGCGTAGATGGTGGGGTGGATAAAGTACCCCTTCGACCCGTCGTATTTGCCGCCCACGAGAAGCTCGAGTTCGGAATCGTTCTTGGCAGCGTCGATGACGCCTGATAGTTTCTTGAAGCTTGGCTCGTGGATTACGGGCCCGATGAAGTTCTGCGGATCCCAGGGGGCGCCGATCTTAAGAGCGCTGGTTTGCTTGACCAGCTTTTCTTTGAACTCGGGCCATATTGATTTGGGGACGTAGAGGCGGCTCGTGGCGCTGCATTTCTGACCTTGGTACTCGAATGCGCCGCGCACGGTCTGGTTGACGGCGTTGTCGATGTCGGCTGAGGGGTGGATCAAGTGGAAGTTCTTGCCACCTGTCTCGCCTACGATACGCGGGTAGCCTTGGTAGCGGCCCTCCGCAGTGCCCTGGCCGATTTGCCCGTAGAGCTTGCGGAAGACGGCGGTGCTTCCGGTGTAGTGGAGCGCCGCGAATTGCCTGTGCGCCAGGACGACCTTGGTAACTTCCTCTGGGTTACCAGGGACGAACTGAATGACGTTCTTCGGTAGTCCGGCCTCCAGCAGAATGTTGTAGAGCAACCAGTTCGAAGCAATGGCTGAATCAGACGGTTTCCATACTACCACGTTACCCAATAGAGCAGGGGTGCCGGGGAGGTTACCAGCAATAGCAGTGAAGTTGAACGGGCTGACGGCGTAGACGAAGCCTTCCAGGGGTCTGTATTCGACGCGGTTCCACACGCCGGGGGAGTGGTGCGTGGGTTGTTGAGCGTACAATTCTTCGGCATATTGGACGTTGAAACGGAGGAAGTCGGCCAATTCGGCGGCCGAGTCAATCTCGGCCTGCCATGCATTCTTGCCTTGTCCGACCATAGTGGCGGCCATTATCTCGTATCGGTATTTGGTCGAAACGAGATCGGCTGCCTTTAGAAACACGGAGGCTCTGTCGGCAAAGGGTAGCGATTCCCAGGCGGGCTTCGCGGCTAGGGCAGCATCAATTGCGTTACTGACATCGGAGGGCGAGGCCAGAGAGTAGGAAGCAACGGTGGTGGCATGATCCGAGGGATTCTTCTGGGTGGCTGTCTGTGAAGTCTTGATCTGCTCGCTGGTTAGAGAATGAAGCTGCCATATCCCTCTCCGAGGTTAACGCACCTCTTTGCCCCCAACAACAAGGGGGACTTCTACAGCGCCCCTACTCCTGTATGCGTCAAGTGCTGAATATAGACCCTCCCTCTGCGTCGAGTTCTTTGCATAGTGGTGCTATACACACAGTCAGCTCTGATGGCCTCGTATAGCAACCAAACTAATAGGAATCCAATTGGTCTCGAGAGAACTTACGTTGGGCTCATTGAGAATCTTGGGGATCTTGAAAGCAGCAAGCTGTGATGAAGACCTGCTGGTGGTTGTGCTTAATAACCTGGATTGTCTCGGTAGGCTAAGTCGTGATGATTGGGCCAGACCGGTCCTTGACACCAATTGTCCGTTAACAGCGGGCGTCTGTAATGCTCTTGCGAGACCGACACTCTTCCGCGACATTGTCATTTCGGCCAATACAATCAATTGATTGTTGGGTTGAGAAGGAATGTATTAAATAATTGCGAAGAAAGGAAGCCAAGTTGGAGAAGGGTGATCTTCCGTTCGGCGGGGGGAAGGCAGAGATAGCAGTTGTAACCGATGACCAATTCTGTCGCAACCTCGATTGCAACGCTCTTACAAGTTAGCAGTGACAAGTCTCCAACTCCAACGTGGCCCGGACATAGATGAGTTCATAAATACAGAGCCAGCTATTCCCAACGGCCGAATAAAGGAAGCAAGATCGGCTGCAGTTGCTCGGCTAGGGAAGCTGCCCCAGTGACGACAGCGAGATGTGCTCGCTTTGCGGCGGCATAAGCGACGCCATCCCCAGATAGCGACCCGCTCTGCACGAGTCGGAGGGCCTGTGGAGGGGCTCTGGAGGGGCCTGTAGTCCCCTCGCTGGCCCCTGTAGGCGGGGCACTCCGCCCGAGAGCCAATCACATATACGCTATCCCGTGATAATAGCCCCCCGAGCTCGGAGCTTATCTCAGGTACCAGACCCGACCTGGCTGGGCATTAGGATAAAACTTCTTCACCTGAATATAATAAGTTTGTCGATGGCTCAGCTACAAGCTTCCGACCCTACATGCTAATGCTAGATCCAAGAAGATGAAGACTAATTACGTGTGTGCCTTGCTTAGCCGAGTGATGGACTAAGTCCTGGGCTGAGTCGAGGTGCCCGGCTATCATATATAGTGGCAAAGGGAGGAAGGAATAAAGAATCATCATCGTCAAATTCAAAATACACGTCTCGAATGCATCAAGGACATTGAGGACCAATTAGAGCATGTCATAAACGCACTGCTCCATCACAGGCACACCGCGTCTTATCTAAACAGTTGTATGGGTATTATCATTGAGCCGTCTTGACATAACAAAAAGTTACAAGTGTTCCTTCTCTTCTCTTTTTTTTTTTCTCTCCCTCCCTTTCATTACTCTTGCGCATCGAATTAGATATATATTTACGAGGGGTATAGGAGGGAGGCATGAAACCGGCCACAATGAATCGCATGTGCTTCACCTCATCCCGAAACACACGAAGGGAGGCATTCGAGTCCGACCATTTTCCTAACCATCTCCTAGTGGGTAGTTTCTGGTCCCGGCGCGGATCGAGTGCTTGGCGGTGCCGTGCTAGTGCCTCCGGTACCAGGTCGGCTGCGGATGTGTCTAAGCCCCGGACGGTGGTGTATGTTACTTCCATACTTTCCCGGCTCGTAGTTGAGTGCTGGAATGGTGAGGCCATAAGGCTCTGTTTTGCCCTCCTTGTCGTGCTGGTCAACCTCTATGCGTATGCAGCAATCTAGTGATCCATCGTTGTTCTTGCCGTGCGTCTCTGGATTCGCAGCCTTGTGCTGTGTACCAGCACCATCCTCACCAGCATGTAAAAAGGCATGTCCATCTTTACCGTCGAATGCGTTTGCCGGCGCGGCTTCTTGTTGTCCATTGGCAACAACGCGATTGTTGGGCGAGTTTTCTGTGAGTATGGCATAGTTCCGACTGGGCATCGTGACATGGTTGGAGTTTCTTGTTTTGCTCGAGTTACCGGGATCCTTGTTGAAGAGTTCCATTAGAGTCTCATCAGTGTCCGCATTCAAGTGGTGTATCTTGTTGCGGCTGGCGAGCAAGTTGGCAATAGCAGCTGGCGGAGGCTTGTTCACAATAGCCGAAGATACAACATTGACTATGTAGCGGTGATCTTCCTCGGCGGGAATATGGAGGTTGGGGTTTGAATAGAATCGTCCAAGAGCTGCCAGATGAACGTCACCACCCAGGATGGTGAGACGGACAGAAAATTCTGCACACAGGCCTTGTAGTCGCTCGATGAGCGTATTCCTTTCTTTCTTGTGGGTTCTAGCCGTGTAATGGTCATCCAAGTCATCGAGAAGGTCAACGCTTCCATCGAAGTGGTTGAACACACCACCACCTATATTAAAAAGCATTAGATAAGCCCGGAGTGAAGCAACACGCGATGAGGCTTACCAAAGCCGAATCTTCGGTTCATGAACTTGATTGGCGCAATAACTGGGCTTGAGAAGATGTTCTCAAGCCAGGTCAACCGCTAAATAGCGTTAGCAGCAGTAGTGATCTCGAATCTACCTAATGTGGGGGTTATCTTACCGGGTAAGCAATCGGAATTCCTAGTAGTAATATCAGATGTCTAAAAGGACGACCAGCATCGGCGGCCGTGGCGAGTTCGTTTTGCACGCGGCTGAAAATTAAATCGTAGGTCTCGGGATAGTTGACCTGGTGTCTCGTGCGTTCAGTGCGTGCATCAATGCCCATGAACGCGATTCGTGCGCCGAGCTTCGCAAACATATTCATAGAATGCTCTGCCACATATGGCCCAGGTTTAGCACCAATGATATAGCAAGGTTCAACTTCTGATTTCGGCTTCACATAGGTATCCATGAGTTGTGCGCCGTCCTCCGGTCCGCCGAACTCCATTGTCTGGGGTGAATCGGTGGTATACGTGGAGGCTGGTGGTGCGAGGTGATGCTGGAATAGCATATAGTATTTATGTGCGGTGCCGCCGATGCCTCGAAATACGTCGCACTTCATGAAGTCGTCGACATAGGAGCCAAACCCATCAATGATATCGTGATCATCCCAGATGTTGAGTTGCGGTATTTGGCCATTCATCGTAGCAAATGATTCGGTAGAATACCATCGTATATAGTTATTCAGATAGTAGTCATCGCAAGCCTTCCTCAAAGTCTCGGGGAAGGGGTAGTCTCGGCGCTTCTTAGGGTTCCCGATTGCGGTCCATTCGCGAAGTGGCCCCGAAACTCTGATCCCGTCATTGTAGATTTGGTCGCCACCACCGATCATGACATGGAAAGGTGTCTTGGCATGGTTTCTTACCACGTCGTTCCAAAGAGCAGGCCCGCTCCAAGCATCCTCGTCTGTTCCTACACTGAATCCATTGCAGGAGTGAAACATGATACGCATTGACTCGTCGAGAGCGGGAACAAAGAAGTAGTTGGTCTTGGGTTTCGTGGCGCTCTCGTATCGCACATCGGAGATAGAATAGGCCCATTTGGTCTCGGTGGTACCCATGTCACAAGTCAGGTTGAAGCTCCAGAAGGTGACCCGAGGATCAGAATAAAGACAGCTCCCGGCGATGTCAATTCCGTGGTCGCTCCGGATCTGATCCGCGCTGTTCGTAGGTGCAGCGTTGGCAGATGTGCTGTCCGACACGAAGCCGGGTTGATCGTTCGCCAACTCGACGCGGCCGAGATGCAGCGTAGGCTGGAATTCCTGTGTCTTGCCGCCGCCCTTTGTGACTATCAACACACTTCCATACCATGCATTGCCCTCCATGCGCCTATAGTTCAGTAATGGGCCACAGATCACTTCTTTCCCGTCATTGAGGGCGGTGTCGTCGGTTTGGCCATCGGTACCACCAATGACAATGGGTTGGTAGGCAGCTGCATTGCCAGTGCCGTTGGTTGTCGGTCTGCTAGGCTCGACTCTGGAGGCATTGAAAAAGTCGGATAGGTCCTTCGAGTTCCCACTCGAATGGGCGTCTCGGGCGACGGCGGCACGGGCGAAGGCGGTCGATTCTTGATGATGCCACCTGCTAGCCGATGCGTAAGGGTTTCGGGGCTCCTCGTCCATGTCTAGGGATTCATGTTGACTATGAGCCATTGTGGTGCGGACAGGTTGACTCTCCCGGAAAGGGTTATTTAGAATTACAAATGATAATGTCCCAATAATAATAATAATCGATTGCACAAGGAGCAGCGCGAGATGAATCTAGCAGAGAAACTCTACGCTAGTTAGTATGGTCAAGGCGCAAATAGTAGACGCAATGCCTGGTTCCAGTCGACGCCGCGAGAGCGAAAGAAGGAAAGAAAGAAAGAAAGAAAAAACCGAGTGCGAGGCGAAGACAATGGGAAAGAGCAAAGCCCAAGCTACACAGCAGTATGCAGATACAGTTTCTGGTAGGACTACCGGTAGGCTGACAACACCAGGTGACAGACGAGGCAGACGAGACAGACGATGGAAGACCTGTCGGGTGTACTTGGCTGCCTCTCTTTTTTTCCTCTTTTCCCTGCTGGTGTTATTTTCTTTTGGAGCTCCCGTTTGGCTGGCGCAGAGCTGGCGCGAGGAACGTGGAGCTTGAATTGCATTACAGGGAATAAGACGTATGCCAAGGCCGAGCCCAGGTCACGACCGGGTCGAGCTAAAGACGAGCGCGATCCGCTTTACGTGTAGACGGAAATGAGCTGAAGACCCATTGGTCCCAGCCGGAGCAGCATGGCAAAGGGGACAAAAAGACCATCGATGCCTACCTACACTTGCCTCGAATCCCTACGGTACCGGTATGTAATTATTGTGTACAGAGACAATAGGTTCAACTCCTTTGTCTATCATCTCTCCCTTCACGACTTATCCCCCACCTCATTGATGCATCATGTACCTACTAGGTAGTCTAGTGGTCTCGTGTGCTCAGACACTTACTTGCCTTACCGTATCGCCGTATGTAGGTCTTAGCAATCGGCAATGGTCCTGCGACAGAGCGGTACTATACCTACTCGACCTAGTACTAGTCCTTGATGGGGAAAAGGGCATTATAAGTATGTAGATTCAGGTTTGATTTCGATGCGACGACACACAGTGACGCGACGTGGTGGCGGGCATCTGCAGATCGCACTAAGCTCCGCAGCCCATTCGTGCTCTGTTCTGCTGGATCTGTGCCTGAGAAACCCATCGTCAGGTGAGTTCGTTTCGTCGATCCCGAGATAGTGTATCGAGACGGCGCAATCTTTTCTGCTGACATGGAGCACCTTGTCTGGTCCTACTTAAGTAGTGACTATCACTACAGTAATAGAAAAGGAGCCCGTCTGTCGGTCGAGTTCGTGAAATGAATCAGTTGTACAGCAGCTACACCTGAAGAACACCATCGCCTATCGTACCATGCTGAAACATGCTGCTGCATGGGTACGCGCATTCTAACCGTATCTCAGAAATACATACATACATACGTACCGAGGTAGCCGAAAGCGTCCACGAGTGCAGCATGCTAAACACAAGTAGACTTGAAAGTAGTGTACACCACAACACGGCATTTCCATGCCGAAAAGGATTGGCAATGGTACGTTCTTTGCAGATGACGTCGTATGCTAGCTGCAGGGAATGTTGCACACCGCACGTTACATCCTGGCTCGCCTGGTATGGGCATGGGGGCAGATGGGGGGAACGGGAATGGCGTTGCCAATTAGCCGAGTCCATTCTCAGCTCTATTCCAAGGTTGCGAACAACAACGAACTCCAAGCCACGCCGTTGCGCCATCACCAGCCTCAATGTTGGTCGGAGGTAGGTAATTCACGCGCCATCCTTAGAGCCCAGGATAGATGATAGATGATTGAAGTTTGATGGTACTGTACAAGAGACATTGCAAGCATCGCTCATGATATATACATATATGGCCTGAATGTAGGTACATGAAGATAAATATCATCTACGATATCTGTACATCACCGCTTAGAAGGCGACGACGACGATTCCTCCACAGGAGCCGCCAGCGAGATATCCTTTTCCTCGACAGTCGTAGTCAGCAGTCCCATATTCAGCCTCTCAGCGCGTGCCCGCGCTTTATAATCCATGTATTGACGAGCAAGGTCAATGCCCAGCGCACCCGCCAACATGCCGCCAAAATGCGACGCCATGTCAATATTATTCGTGCGCCTCAGGAACAAAGGGATAAGGTGAACTCCCAATATCAAGCCGATGAACCCTAGCCCCTGTGGTCCGGAGAGGGGGTCCGGCGGGTACCCGAAGATCTTGAACTCGTCGAACTTGTGCATCCAGAAGAACGCCGTGATCAGGCCGTACACGCCGCCCGAGGCGCCGAGGGTGGTGCACACAAGTCCGCGCCAGAGCACCAGATGCGTGAGACTGGCGGCGAATCCGAGGGCTCCAGAGGAGAAGTAGAGAGCTAGGAAGTTGCCGCGTCCGATCTCGTCGTGCACGCGTGTCCCGAAGAACCATAGAAAGAACATGTTGGCGAACAAATGGCCAAACGACTGGTGTGAGAACATAGCTCCGAGAATCTGTAGCGGTCTTGGCGTCGCTGCCACCAGGAGCATATACTTGTTCATGAATGCCCAGGCTGGCGGGAATTTCCAAAGCGCCCATACTGCTACGTTAGTGGCTATCAAGGTGAGGCAAGTCGCTGCCGCCGGTGGAATGTCTGGCCAGAGTCTGCGAGATGAAGGCGGCGCTTGGTACATGACTGCAAACCCAATGGACCCCAGGATCACCAGCCCCGCCATTGCGATGCTAGGGAATAATCGCTGCCATGCTGGCATTTCTGGCGGCGCTTCGAGGTCGGAAGTGGCGCGTTCCATGTGTCTCTTTCTGAACTCGCTTATTTGTCTCGGCTGTTCTTGTTGTGTCTGTAGCGTTCCGATGTTCTCCTTAGCCAATTCCTCTTCTCGTAGCTTCCGCTCCTCTTCCAGTCGTGCTTCTTCTGCTTCACGCTTTGCGATGTTTGCGGCGCGAATCTTGTCAAAATTGCTCTCGCCATACGGTGAATCGCTGCCTGGCTTCCTGGGTAAGCGCCCTGTTGGAATCTCAACAGTCTTCTCCTGGGATGACGTTGGAGAGCCTTCGGGGCTTGTCTCTTGGAATTTCTCAACTCCTTGAGCGGCATCTTCCTGTTCTTCAAGGGCCTTCAGCTCATCCTCCGCCCTCAATCCAGCCATAAGTATCTCGTCAACAGGTATGTGCTCGCGCAAGTATTCCAAGGCTCGTTTCTGATCGATGATTCTGAATTGCTTTGTGTTCCGTGCTAGAATGGGGTCGTCTAGCGTGCCCGCTACTCGTCTACCATGTACAATCTTCAGCAGGAGATTGGCTTGGGGGGCTGGTAGATTTGACGGGAATATCCTGTTCGCCTCCTTTTGCGTGAGGTCCTCCCTCCTAAAAGGAAGACCTTCGGCATCTTGATACCAGTTAGGTATATCGATGTAATGGGTAATCGCGCGGAAGGTAAATAAGGTGCGTAGTTGGGAGTGAGGGTTTAAACTTTGCGTATTTCGTATATATGAAGCTTTGCATGGGCGTGCGACGCCCCATGCGCTATATTGGAAGCATGATTGTCGAGCAAAGGGCCGGCTCGTTGAAATGGCACGGGCTGCTAGAGCGGCGACGGGGTAGGTTTGAGAGGCGCGGATGACGGCTCGCAGACCAATTCTGGAGCTAGACAGAGGGTTAGGAGATAAAATAATCGGCATGGTAAGCCTTCTCATACCATCATGGCCGAGGATGCCTACGTCTCACAAAAAGCAAAAAGTGGGCGGTCGCATGATATGTCATCAAGTGGATTCACGACGATGTTGGAATGGCACAAGAAATTCTTTGGAGTGGGAGTGAACAGGTGGGTACATGCGATGGCGGGCTGGTGTGGGCCCATCCAGACCTGGACAGGGTACATTCAAGTTGTACCTTCATGCTGCCATCCCCATGTACTCTGACGTCTAGCATTTTAAATTACATTTCCAGTGCTTTCAAAAGCTCTCCTTAAAAGCTTCTTGGATCTTATGGGTGTATTGAATATGAAATGGACGAATCAAAGTTCACCGATATCGCCTACTTTCTCAATCGAAGCAGCTTTTGAAGCATCAAAGTTCCTGATCAAGTCATAGTAGAATCTCACCATCTCCAAATGACTCTCCATATCAACTCTCTCGTCTACTGTATGGCCGTTGAGACCACCGCCTTGGCGCACAGGGTTCCAGCGATAGATATTGGGCGTCAAGTCTGTGTAGAGAATCATTAGCACATCTGCGAGTACTAGTATACCTACTTAGGCTCAGAGAGAAATCGCCAGGCCACTTACTTAAATAATGTCGCGTGTCAGTATTGCCAGTCATCAGTTCTCCTACAGGCACAACCCTGCCACCATCAAAGGCGAAGCTATGCTGAATGGTTCCCGAAAAGACGTCCCAGACCGCTCCAGTTGTAGGCGATACTGGGGTGACGTGTGTCAGCTGGGACGAGGTGAGTACAAGTGTGCCATTGTATTCAACTTCGTACATTGGCTCGATAGACGCCTCGTCTAGGGTCTCGCTGAAGTCGAAATCGGGATTTTCCTCCTCACCCTCAAAGGCTTTGACTGTTAAGCTGAACTTCTTGACAATTGGTTTGATTTGCTGTAGAATGTTGCTCTTAACTGCGGGAATGGAGTCTTGCGGCGCAATGCGATGATTCACGCCGATCTTGACATATTCAGGCATCGCATTGATCTTGACACCGCCGAGAAAATAGTCTACCGCTTGCGAAGTCTGTAGACGGTAATGCGTCGAACGGTCGATTGAGGCAAGTTCGCTGGCCAAGCTCTCCAAGTCACCCTCCTCAATGAGCTTGGTGATCTTTGGCGAGGACTTTGGCGAGTACTTCGCCTGGCAGATGAAATGTTTATGAATAGGAGAGCCCTCGATAAGTTTTGGTTTCCAGGGGTGGGCCTCAAGCTGTGTCACTATCTCAGACACAATGCCAATGCCGGTATGAGGAAACGGGATCGAAGAGTGTCCTCCGTTGACATGCAGTTCAACCCAAACATCAATATGCCCCTTTTCCAGCACAGCGGGCAGCGCGTCTATACTCCTATTAGACAATGTCACGGCGAGCTCAAGTTCTTGAAGTACTTACATAAAGTGTCGTTACCGAGAAGCTCCAGTCCCATGCCGCCTTCATCAAGCACCAAAGCCATTGAGTTCGGCCCATATACATTCTCCAGGTACGGTCCAATCGTACCCGCGCCACGACGCCCGGAACATTCTTCATCAAATCCAAGAGCCAAGATTACGGTTCTTTTCGGAACCCAACCAGCGTTGCCTAGCAGGGTTTCGAGGACAGACATTAACGCAGTCAGGCTGTTCTTATCGTCGGATGATCCTCGGCCCCAGAGCCACTGGCCATCAAAATGACCGGAAAATGGAGGATATGACCACGTCGAAGCATCTGCAACAGGTACAACATCCTGATGAGCCGCAAGCATGAGTGGTTTGAGTGACAAGTCTGTCCCTTTGATCGTGTACACCAATCCTAGCGTATTCACCGTTTCCCGAGTCATCCGCTGGTGACTATAGCTCACAAGTCAATAGGGGCAGGCCTATCGGGGCAATCATTGCCAGACTTACACATTCGGATATAGTGTTTTAAGGGTGTCGTGTAGGGTATAGAAAATTTCCCATCGCGGATCCTCGGTAGGTTCACCATTATCGTCATATGAGATGGAGGGTATTCTAACAATGGCAGCGTGCCTCTCGACTTGGAGTTTTAAGGCATCCTCGCCGGCGAAGATGTCTCGAGCTTCAGACAGGCCATCACCCGAAGGATCAACTAAAGGGGAAAGTTCGCATTTGAAAGGAGCATTTTGTTCATTAGTAACCAGCTGGGCAGCACGGTCGAGTTTAGTATGGGCGAAAGCATAGGCGGGTAACAGGCCTGCCACCAACGTAAGTGGAAGAATCATCATTTACACAAAGACCGAACACAACCAGAAATGAGCCAAGTGCATGAAGGATTCCATCCTATACTCACTTAGATATCATATAAGGAGACCAGACAGACCTTATCTACTACGGCTCTCAAAGATAAAGATGCCGATATACAGGGTGTAAATCACACCATTGACCTTCCGCACTGAGATGGACCCAGGGCGACGGCAATCTCCTCGACAAATAGGTGTGGTCTCTCCGTGGGGTTTGGTCGAATTGAGCCGACGATCGGTCTGATTGAATGGTCGAGAATGTGACCTTTGAATCTACCTTTTAGGTGAGATACCCTTGTAGGTACTGCCCCTCTAAGACAGGGGCCTAGCTTCTCCTGTATCTACAGGCTACAGCACGCTATTACGTACATACAAGCCCCAAGCTCCCGTGCTACCCCACTAAGAACCACTAAGCATCTCGTGCAGGCAGCTTTCGACTGGCGACGACATCATCATCAAGTGAATCCCCAAACCTCGGAGGCAAGCAGATCGCATGTCCTTTACCTATCCCCATGACTCGTTAATGACAATAATAAAGAAATACTACATCAATCCATCACTAGTCATGTCGTCTGAAGCTATGCCTATATCTGCAACTCGGTTCGCCGAGGCACTGAAAGAACTCCCCGCCAGCACACTCGCCTTGAAAGTTCTCGAGCTGCGCAACTCGATAGCGCACCTCGACTACTCGAACGCCGAGCTGAAGCCCTTCGCCGAAGGCACCAAATCCACACTCGACCAAGAAGGCAACGCGAGCGAGGCCGGACAGCCAGACCCCGATTGTCAAGAAGCCATCGCCGAGAACGAAGCCGTCATCGCCCGCATGCAGGAGCGCATTACGCTGATACGCGCCGAGGTTGAAGACAGGGGTCTGAACTGGCGGGAGTTCCAAGGCACAGCTACAGATGAATCAGCTTCGGCAACAGCAGAGGTCAAGGAAAATGGCATAAGCGAGACGTCAACGCCTGCAGTCAACGGGCATAGCCAGAGCGCTCCCGAAACCCAGCAACACGAAGCTTGGAGAGACGGTACGTTCCAGACAGGTACGATACGGAACGACGACGAACTCCTCAGAGAACTCTTGAATCGCGTGCCGCCCGAGAACGAGGATCAAGATCCAGATGGTGGTATGCATTTGTAGTGAGCAGGGGACACTTGCCTGTCACTGTAGAAAATGGTTGGGAGTTCGGGCTACGGTTGAATTAGATTCGTGTCGTACGTTTTACGGTTGAAGGGAAATGCATTGCTAGGAGTTTTTTCAATAATAAGGATATCAGGCTATTCCATCCGGAGGAGGGTTCGGTACTTCTATACCATATTTCATCTTCTACATTTTCAGTTCCGGCTGTTTGATGCAGGTGTTCATACGATCGACTCATTCCTCTCTGTTAAACTGCAAGGAAGTGATCTCTCGCTCGGACAAACACCAAGCTGTTGTATCATTGAACCCGTGCCTGCAGATGGGGTAGAGCACGTGGACATCTGGGTTCATTAGTGTGGGAAACAACGCTTTCATTTCGAGCTCGCTGTATCAAGGTGCTACAGTGACCTGCTAGTAATTACACGATGCTTGATAATCCAACTCGCTAAAGGTAACCATGGCTAAAAACTCGCTAGGGTAGAGGATACCGAACAAGGGCCTCACGTGGCGTTACATAGTATGCGCGTGGTCGCCTGATCACCTGGATGAACTTGCCCCTACCGTCCTCCATGGGTCTGGTCCAACTGGTAACCACCTCGGGATGGAAGGTATATCGGTATTTGTCTTTGAGACACTTGTCTGTTGTGTATTTAGGACGCACAAAGAGCCACCACATGTCCGACTTCATCCAATCCTGTCGAACGGTCGGAAGATCGCTGGGTCGAGCTGCCCACTTTTGAGGCTGAGGGCAATTCCACTCATGGCAATTCCCAATACCATGGAAAAAAAATCCATCCACGCCCATTTCGATAGGTCTATACGTAGGGACGCCATGGACGGTGAGTCTATCGTGTATAATAACATGTACATTGATAACGCTGGTTCGCACCGGCACCCACTCATCTCGCTGGTAGAAGGAGAGCTCGACCTGCATTTGGTCGTATCTCTGCATCGCGCATTCTCGGGCTTCGCGATTGACAAAGAAAAACACAGGCACGTGCACGTACCTTTCCCCCCAACATACCGCGGTGTCATGTTCGTGGGCTCTCCATGGTGAGTTGAGATATATGATTCGGCCTTCCCACATGGCTCGCTCCCAGATTATAAGACGCAGCTCTATCGGAAGCTTCGAAAATATGGGGAAAGTAGTGAGAGGAACGAGAAAGCTCGAAAAGCTCGAGGAACTATTAGTTGTGGTTATATGATAGCGGCTTTCTACACTGTCGCTGGACGGTATGATTTGTCTGATAATGCCGGGGGAGCTTGGGCTAGGCGTTGCCCCTGTGTCGTCGACTGCTGTTTCTCCTGAGACGGAATCAGAATCGGAGCCGACGGCCGTTTCTGCGCCATCATTGGCTTCGGGGGAAATAGTAGCTCCTGGCTCTGGATTTTCTTGACGCGGGGTGAGACTCCGTTCTTTGCGAGAAACTCGTAATCGTCTCAGTGATCTCAGGACAGATCCCAACAACCTTCTACGTAGTCGATTTTCTCTGGATGACGGGTTGTCTGCAGGAGGTTGGTTCTCCACAGGGGGTTGATTCTGTCCTTGAATGGGCTGCTCCAGTCGTCCTCGTAGCCGTCTTAGTCGTCGTCGGAGAGAACCTTTCAATCGCAGGCGGGCATTCGTAAACGAACCTTTGGAGCCGCTGCTTGAGGCGTCTACGGGATTGACGGCTTGTGGTCCCGACATGATTGCAACAAGCGAGCGTTGTACAATCTGATAGTAGCTGAGCTATAGAAATCTACGCCTGGCGCTCCGGGGATTTCCTTTTATCTTGTGTATTAGTAGTGGATAATGAAGTTGAACACTCTATAGTCAATTATAGGGGTAGTGACTGTTGCCATTGGTATCTGCCGCACCGGAACACGAGTAATATCATGTAAGGTAATTTTGATGTGTATTGTCAGTCGGAAGATGGTGTAGATGTGCTCTGATGATCAACAAAGACATTGATGGTGTACCGAAGGGGACGGCCATGGTCGTCGCTGCTTTTGGGTATGGAGCTGAAATGATGGAAGGTAGGTTCTGGAATAAGACTAGAAAGAAGCCACATTGCTATGAATAGGGAGCGAATGGAAACCTGAAGAAGAGGTAGATGCCAAGCTTGATTTTGATTCCAAGATGTAGCTGCTCTCTCACTGTTGTTGATCGAAGAAGCTGCAAATGTTTGGACAATTTAGCTAAACCTTTGAACACTTCTTACTATACCGCGAGCTGAACTACAGCACCCTCGCTAGTTTAGAGTATTGCAGAAGCCACAAGCATAACTAGTGGAAGGGTATATGAAATCAAGCCTCTCAACCACTACTGTCCTATTGTATCTGATGCAGCCTTGTAAGGATGATAGCAGGCGAGATTAGTGACTAGCGGCATGGAAATTAGAACTCTTAGAAAGACTCACGTATTCAGTGTTTATACCTTCACTTTGACGTCACTATAAGAATTGTCAGCTAAAGACACAATTCGTATTTTTGGATTGAATTTTGTCTATTCAATTAGCATACTTTCCCGTAGAGATCAGTGGTACATTGCTTTTGTACGCAATTGACCGTGACTCTCCGCATATAGTATCTAACAAAGCAAAGAAACTGCCATAGACGAACACTCATTTCATTCTCCGATACGGGGCTTTTAATGGATAGCAATTGAGAACTATGTCACTGGGGTAAAGTACAATACTCGCCCTCATTCAGTCTCTTTCGTAACGGTGGGTAAGAGTTTGTTGACCCTGATATTAGCTATTTGTATGCACCCAACTGCAACGAAGTATTCCGAGATTCGATGGAATGCAGGGCTGTACATAGTGATATATGTTATATCAAACGATGATCGCTAGACTCATGAGTGAGCTGAGTAATGACGCAGTACTCCCAGTGCCTAGCTTGTGAAAACTACAGTAAAGCAACTCAATGAATTCTGAGTATATCTGTTTACAGCTTTTACAGTGCTTGTCGTAGCTTTGGTCCGATGATGTTCAAGCGGGAGATTTGCAGCAGCCATGATAACCAGTTCAAATGCAGCCTCTTCCTATATTGCATGTGCTCCCAATGCAACCCAATATCTGCCGGCGCCACACTGCCACAACAAGTTTGCAGACGCGTTCATGCAGGAAGTGGGTATCAGATAAATAGTAAATGTAAGCTTAACACAGCCACATGGTCGTTTTCGCCTCGCAGACACTTCCCCTCATTAAAAATTTGCATGGATGTGTGAGATGTGCAGTCTTTGAGGGAAGTGCGCAGTATGTAACAGTAGGTTGTCGTCCTGCTGTCAATTCATAGTATGCTTATCAGCATATCGCTCTTTGGTTGTAAGAGAGACAAACGGAAAAGATGAAAAACTCCCTTGTTCAAATAGTACGACCACAGCCATAGAGTTCAAGAGAGCATTGAATAGCTATCTAGTCTCTTATATCAAACTAGCATATCGGCCATGGAGGTGCCGTCGGCTAAGTCTCGTGTCTATCGAAGTCCTATTTCCCGTATTTGAATTCCTGGATCTTGTAACCGGCGATTTGGATACTGATATTGCGCTTAGGTGATTACAAAATCAAGTCTTTCACCCGGTCGCACAAAAAGCTTGGCCGAGGTCACAATGAGGTTACGGTTTATAACTGGAATTGCCAGAGTTATGGTGCCTACGATCCTCATCCCAATTACAGGGTCAGAAATCAGGAATATACCGAATGGGAACAGGAATCTAACCGGTACCTTGTCGAACGCAGCGAGCGCCCAGAGGAAGAAAGCTCTCAACTTACCGCATACCTTGTTGACTACCAAGAGAGAAATCCGCTTTCAAATGCACTTAATGACTTACCCATAGGTCCCAATGCTGATACCCAGGATATTTTTAATGAGGTAGACGCAATTACCCAAGCGGAGAGTAACAATGCTGAGTGGCGGTATATTACTGAAAGTGTCAAGAACCTCGAAAAATTCCACGATAAGCCCAGGGAATATCGCGATAAGGCACGAGGAAGCCATCCCCTTGTGATACAAGGTGAAGCTGCTATAGACCGAACGTGGCAGCAAGATTCGCCGGCGACATCTCAAACATCTTCACAAAGTATTGACGAGAACAGTATTTTTGATAATCACAACAATAATGGCACACTTAGTTACGGCCTTGGCAACATATCCGAATTCGACCAGAGCGAGTCCCGCGAATTTAGTGAAGAAAGAACTGATGAGTATGGTGGACATAGCAATCTTCTCTTCCCTGCCCCGCCAAAGCCCTCTCCGCGGCTGTTATGTGAGTTCATAGGTTATGGAAAGTGCAAGAGGACTTTTGCACCAGTGGACTTTGACGCCTGGGTTGAGCATATAACCAACGACCATATGCAGGGCCAACTACCAGTGGTGCATCTCTGCTGGTTCTGCGATGACTCTGTATTCCGAGCCGAGAATCCAAGAGATGAAGGGAGCATTAAAGCGAATTATGTAGAGAGTTTAAGCCATATTCGCGACCATTTGATTGAGGATGGCCTTCAAGCGGAAAATATCCGACCTGACTATGCACTGAACGAACATTTACGAGCCTCTGGTTTGATCCCCGACCTTGTATACCGTCGGGTTCTCGAGTTTACTGAGCTGCCGAATATCGTAAATGGCCAGAGACCTCCGATTCTCGCTTCTCCAGCGGCACAGCAACATGAAGGACGTTCACAGTCCATTTTTATCGATTTAGCTAAAGAGAAGAGGCATTTGAAACAGAACAAGAAAAGCCCATTACAAGCCCTACACGGACTGGACAACCAAAAAGATACCCAACTGCGCTCTACAAAAAGAACCTCGGCTTGGATACTAATCCACGGATTACGCAAGCTTTTCTGGCCGCGTTTAAAACGTAACTTGATACGAGTTAGTTGGACTTGTGTACGTGACACGCCATCTCAGTGAAGTAGTCATAAACTAATGCCGTACAATGAAGAGATGCGGAAAGCCCCTTTTCATTGATGTCCATCCGGGGCAGGAGCAAAATGCGCTTGAATTTGCACAAGCCGCGGCGGGAGAAATAGGACAAATCCAGATTTCGCATAACAATAGTGATCAGTCACAGCAAGCGTCAATTTCGGGCTCCAATATAGCCTCAGGGACAATAAAAGATAGCTTGAGTACTAGCCACCCTTCTACGCCCTCTCCAACTTTCTGGCGATCCACTCGCATGCCACAACCTCCAGAATTACCACCAGGCACAAAGAGGTTTCTTCTCCTATGTGTAAATACCGGGCCATATCAAATTCGACTGGGCCATATCGATTTAACCAACGTTATTTGGGATGTATCGCTCTACTGCCTAATCCGAGAGATGTATCAATCTATGCGAGGGCCGCTAGCAAAGAACATGTTTATAGTCCCAAAATCTGTGGAATATGTCAAGGTATGTTTTCTACTTACCATAAAACTCACGCAACCCTTAGTTTAGAGCCAACAGCTTAAGATAAAAATTTTTACTATCACAGTTCGAACTTATCAACCGAAGTAAAACAGGCGAATGCATTGGCAATTATGAAATAGATTCGATCCCGGGTACAGAGGAGATAGCTAGGAAAGAGTATACCTTATCACCCTACCCGCCCCCTATTGGCAGGGTGCCAATACAACCTCATGTATTCATGCATTCGTTCCTGAACCCAGGAGATCACCTCGGGGGGCTTTCCGTTCAGCAGCTTCCCAAGAAATTAGGACGGAAGCTGAAGTGTACAACACAGCCCAGAAACCCTCTTGACATTCCGTACGGCTGGGGCATATATATTGTGGAGGGAGTGAATATGGTTCTAGTGACACTTCTCTTGGTGGGGGCCCTAGCTCTGCTTACATTAGTTGTACTACTTTGGAGCACGTTGAGAGGTGACGTCCAGGGCGGGACAGGTATTGGCCAGTACGGACTTGCTGTTGTTACAGTTGCTACGGGAGCCTTGGCCTGGAAACCTTTGCGAGACATGTATTGAACTAGAGCGGGGAGGATTTGAAGAGTATTAGCGTCATATGACGAAGTAATACTCCTAATGCTAACTACTTGACTAGCGAACGCCAGTTTGGACCCTTATGTTTGGAATTGCCTACCTTTGCATTTCTAAAGATTCTCACGAGTGTGATCATAGCACTTAAACGCAAGTTGCTTAAGTGGTTACGATATCCACTTAGATCATTCTTAAGATCTAAGTGTAAAGGTGTAATATTTCGATGATATTATTCGACTAGCTTGATAGCCCCCTAGGATACACTTTAATCAAACTTAATATTTATATACTATTTATTTACTGTAGTTCTCTACATATATTATAAAACCTTTCGTATAGCAACCTAATCACTTTTTATTTTCTACCTGTGAGACTCAGAGATAGTCAAACCAGAGTTCAACTAAGGCCCAAAGCTGCTGTATATATTAAGCACACTGCCCAAATGTATGTCAAGTAGAAGCCTAGCTAGCTAGAATACACCCCATGACGATCAACACCATCTAGCTGCGGTCCCAGTGATTCAGTGTACAGCCTATTACATTCCTGCTCAATGAAGACAGGCGGTACGTGCGGCGCAGGCTACAGCGAACCATTATTTTACCTCCTATAAAACTGACCAACAACAATAGAATATAGATGCAAATTGGGCTCTAGTGGCCTTAACTTCAAGCCAACTGCATAATCTTAACCACTTGGGAAGTGTCAATTCCCATACTCCTCTTCAACAGCCCCACCAACTTGCACACTAGCAAGCAGCGATTAATGCACGACAGCTTGTGAAACGGTGAGATGTTATATGCGCCGCACTGGTGCTTTCAAATGTTACCGACTTAGCAAGTTTGAGGAGCGAGAAGTATACCAAGTATTCATCATTGAACGACAGTCGAGTCTAGGCATATGCAACATCCGCTTTTCCACAACAGGTATAATGAAGCGAACTCCATTCCATCCTGCAGAAGGCCCTTTCATACGAAGTACTATGCAGGATAGCGGATAGCGAGCACGGCAGACTCGGGTTCGGCGGCTACTTGACACCAAGCCCGCCTTTTGAGAAGGCTGTGATATTTCTTGTCCACGTTGATGACTAGAGCAAGCTTCTCAATATTTTCCGCTTATCCTGAAGCTAGCGTATTAAGATGACAAACTGGGCGCCGCCTTACAGTTGAAATGATGTGTTGCAGATTCACAAGGCATATGTCAAGACGCTTTGTCTGTGTTGGATGGCTGGGTCTCTGTCCCTTATACTTGGAATTATGTGCCGTTGGCTTTTAAGGAAAATGATACTTTCACAATACCCTGGGGATCCTAATGCAATGTGCCATTGTTGTGTTGATTATCATCCGGTCCCAGTACTGCTGAGTCGAGTCTTGACCATCTAGAAATTCAGATACTATATTTACAATCATATCGGAATACGATCTTTCAGAATACTGTACACCATTCAGAAAAGCTATGGGAAAAGACTAAAAGTAGTAGCGATGCCCTTACGAAATACGCCCTATGGGTCGTACCTCGCAGCAACAGCCTGTATAAACTTCTTATTCTCCTCACCGTATGAGCTAATGGGATGGCCGTGCCTCTCGACACGGCGTATTTCTTGATATTCTCCATAACCTTGTGAAAGTGATCTAAGATTGCCTTGTCGTCTTTTTTGCTTGTCCATTTTATGACAAAGGAAAGAGATATTAGGGGACCTGCTGAAGGGTCGAGGCCAAAAAGATTGCGTGACTCCGACGAACCCTTGATGAGTGACGTTGATAAGGTCTCAAAGAGGATTGATGCGACAAATCTAGAGTCATCCAAGCCCTTGATTGGATCCAACGTCCACATAAAAATGTCAGTAGCAGCTTGTAAGGTTACAACATCTGCTTTTACAGTCATATCTATATGCGCTCGCCTGCGTGGACGTCAGCGAGCACTTTGGCGGCTGGTTGGGGGAATGAAACTCACCTCTGACTTCCGACGACATCTTTAGGGTCTGCTGTGGCATTAGAAACAGTGACATGGCCGAGAGACGTGAGATTACCGACCCTTGGGCCGACTCTGGTGAAAGGCTGCGTCTCAGGAGCATCCTCCCGACCTGTCGTGTGATAAACCCTATTAAGTGACACAATCCCGCCAAACTGTGCTGAAAACAACGTGCTAAGGATAATGCGAAGCTCTCTCCCTTCGGTGGGAGAGTGCAGCAGATCAACCAACGCTTGAATCTAGCCATTGAATGATTGAGCATCATAATACACGTAACCGCCCTAGAGTGGCCCTTGTGGGAAGGATTTGAATTGGTAAGATGTGACTACGCCATAGTTATTCGACCCTCCTTTCAGAGACCTCCAGAGGTCTACATGCTCTGACGGGCTGGCATTGATGGTTTTTCCCGAAGGCAACACGATTTCGTAATTGGCAACGTTGTCAGCGACGAAGCCCTGACTTGATGAGAACAGTGACAGACCCCCCTGCAATGCGAGCCGACCGATTCCCCTCCCTCCATTCAGGCCGCCAGCGACGCTGATGCCATGAGTATCGAGTTTCTGGTTAACAGAAGCCCACTTCTCGCCCGCTGCAACGGTTATAGTGTCGTCTATCCCTATCTGCACTCCTTTCATCTCCCCTAAATCCAACACGAGGACTTCCGAGGGAAACTGCTGACCATCGGGGGCCAACTGGGTACCTCCATCCCGAATAGTGAACTTGAGCTTACCGCCGAGAACAAGCGGGGAGACGGCTTGCAAAAACTCTGACACCTGACTGCTAGTAGTCGGCTTGACGATGCAGCCGCCATCGGGGGTAGGGTTGCACTGGAGGGTGGAACACTTGCCGAAGATGGCAGCATGTTGCGTCGTCGACTGCGCCATTGCTGCGGCTGCAAGTGTGAACCACGAAAGAGGAGAAGATCGCATTGCGGCTATAGCAAGGCAAGAAATGCGGCGACTGGTAAGGCCGCAGCGAACCCCCTCTATTATAGAATCGTCGTATGTAGATGGATACAACGTATGCCATCCAGTGAGAAGCGTGGGAGCGAATGCGGCATATTTATAGTAGTATCGAGTAGCGGTAACAACACGACCGATGACGCCGCATAATCAGTCTTCTTCTCACTAATGATTTCAGATGTTTGTTGCATCCCAAAAATAATTCCAGGGAACGCTACCTACTTTGACTACGTGCATGCACATATACGGCATAGCTTCACATCGCAGTAATTAGCTTTCTAATGCGAAATCGCCCACGACATTGAGCAGCGAGTTTGCCTCTCCTAACACATTCCCAATCCGTCTACATGTTATTTCGTCCAAAGCTTGCGCGCGAGTAGCACATCTTTCGATTGATTCCCAGACACGTATTCCGCCTCATCGACCTTGCTTGCCTCCTTCATGTCATCTTATGCTTCAACGAACCACGCACTTCTGCCGGCGCTGGTTGGTGGGGTAGTCATAATTGGTATCACAGCCCTCCTCATCACCATTCGGCTAATTGTCAATATTCTTCAGAACCGCAAGCTCTTCATTGATGACTGTAAGGCTTTCCCCGAGTAATTAATGTTTACTTAGATGATGTCTAATTGACCGCATGTTAATTTCAGACTTATCTGTCATTGCCGTCGGTTTAATCACCAGTTCATTAGTATACAGTTTCAAGTCAGCTCGTGGTATTTATGTCTTCAATTACCCTCGGCCAGCTTCAAAGCATTGATGACTAAACTTATCTTAGAAATTTCTGGTCCCAATCCTTCAGTAGCCAGACTTTTTCATGTCAGTGATGCAATATTTACTTCAAGTTGACAACTCATCGGTAGATTTACTTACTTAGGCACATAGTATGCTTTTATTCTCAATTTCATTGGCAGTTATGCGCTTGGGTTCTCCAAGATGCCTGTGCTGTTTCTGTATCTTCGAATCTTTAACCTCAAGTCATGGCTAAAATATACGTGCTACATCACGTTGGCTGTCATATCACTACCAGTGGTAGGCCTATGTTAAGAAGATAAGGGCCCTTGTAAAATCTCTGTGTAGCAGGCTAGTCACACAGAGAAGACACAGACAACACAATCAATACACTGGATGTTATATGCCATCGCTTATATCTGACAGCTATAGCCGCGTATACAAGGCCTTTATCTTTAACATTAGCTACTACTAGCCACACCACTAGCCACACTACGAAAAACTACCATACAAAGCCTAGACGGCTAGCCCAGAAGGCTAAGGGCCGTCACTTTATGTACTATGTATACAATATGGCTTTAGAAGTCCCTGCAGCAAGGCCAGACAGAACCCAATACAACACCTTCTGCACCTATCACAAGTGCTAAAAATCCGACAACATGAGCATTCCTTGCAGGAAAGTTGCACCAGTCTTATTTTCCATTCCTCAACTCTTTATCCTTCGACATAGCTCTACGTTGACGCGCAATTTCGAGGTCGACATGACTGGGAGACAGAACGCCAAGTCCAAGCCCTCCAACAAATGGAGAGGCAAGGGAGCATCTACACATAAACCCGGTAAACAGGCGACAAGACACACCCACACTGGCACTGAATCTCATCATGAATCTCACAGTGAACCGAGCAAGACCGTCACGGGCTCTACTGCCCCCTTGACTGCCCCATTGACTGTCCCATTGACTGTCCCGGAGTCTTCCACCGAGCAGAAATTTAGCGACTTGATGGAAGGCGGCCTTGTTCACCCTACCTTGCTCCGCACCATCACTGAAGATCTCAAGTTTGAACACATGACTCCCGTCCAAGCAGCTACTATCCGGCCTATTCTCACCGAGCGCTCGGACATTCTAGCCCAGGCCAAGACTGGCACTGGCAAGACCGTCGCATTCTTACTACCTGCTCTTCAGAACTTAGTCAACCGTAACGTGACGCCAGGGTCTGCTGTTTCTCTTCTAGTCATCACGCCCACCAGGGAACTGGCATTGCAGATTGCCGCCGAGGCTGAGGCCTTATTGCAGCGGCTGCCTCAGTACAAGGTCTGCATTGCCATCGGCGGCACTAACAAAGATGCCGAGGAGAGACGGATCCTGAGAGGCTGCGACATCTTGATCGGAACCCCCGGACGGCTTTTTGACCATCTGGGAGGAGATGGCAGTCCCGTCGTGGAGAAGCTGCAGCAGCTGGATACCTTGGTGCTGGATGAGGCAGACAGGCTACTCGACATGGGTTTCCTCCCGTCCTTGAAGCAGATCGTCGCATGCCTGCCGAACAGGACTGTCAAGCCCAGACAGGGCATGCTCTTCTCAGCCACTGTGCCAGAGTACGTATCAAAGGTGTCTGGTCTGGTGCTTTCGAAAGACCACAAGTACATCTCGACGATACAAAAGGGCGAGATCAACACACATGAGCGCGTCCCACAGCAGTTGATCATAGTCCCCGAATTCTCCGACGTCACGGCTGCTCTGTTGGGCGCGTTACGCCAGGAACAGCGAGGAGTAGGCGCAGAGTCGTTCAAGGCAATCGTCTTCGCCCCCACAGCAGCCCTCGTCAACTTCTACGTCGACGTCCTCCAGCAGTTCCCCGATATGCCCACTATCCTTTCCCTACACGCGCGCATGACCCAGAGCAAGCGCACTAACGTGACCCAGCAATACCGGCAGGCGCGAAGCGGCATCATGGTCGCCACTGACGTCATAGCACGCGGAATGGACTTCCCCGCCGTGACCAACGTCTTCCAGGTGGGCATCCCTTCCGACAAGGAATCGTACGTGCATCGCCTCGGGCGCACGGCGCGCGCCGGCGCCGAGGGCAGGGGCTCCTTCATCATCTCGTCCCACGAGACCTGGTTCTCGAAATGGGAACTCAAGGGCATTGACTTCAACGAACATCCTGCCGACCTCGCCGCGCAAGACGACATCAAGAGAATCACTATGGGGATGAATACCCAGGGGAAGACTTATCAGGCTTGGCTGGGCTTCTACAAGAGTTATGTCAAGCGCATGGGCTGGGATAACGTTAGACTCGTGGCGGAAGCCAATACCTTCGCGCTCGATGGCCTAGGTGCTCCTGAGGTCCCGAGCCTTGAGAAGAGTACCGTTGGCAAGATGGGGCTTAGGGGAGTCAAGGGCTTGTCGGTGATAAAGAATCGCCCTCGCGAGTAGGCTGGTGTCGGTCGCGCCGAGCTAGGGTGTCTTGTTGGGCATGTGGGAGGTAGGCAGGGGGGTTGGCACCATATGCCCTCGTGATTCGGGTACAATGGCTCGTTTCTTGCCGTTGAGTCTACCTTGAATGAGTTTCAACATTCTCAGTTTCATATGATATTATAGACGATAGATCCCGTCAAGCTTCTTGGCTCTTGACGTAGTAGCTGTTTAATTGACCAGCGAAGCTACATTATCAACACCTCTTTTCATTTTCCATGCGGTGTTCCGTGGCGAAGGTACGCCAGCTGTATAGACAGAGTTAATACCCTAACTAGATGGGAAGCACTCGAAACCAGCCGAAATACAGCACCTCTAGCGTCGCCCCTATAAATCACGAGAGCGCTTCAGCATACCAAAGTCTCGTCAATATCCTATAGCTTCTACGCTCGTACAACATCTCCTTTTCTATCTCAAGTAGCGATCATTCTTAATGAGTTGCTACTCTCCTATACGGCCGACCAAGAAGCTTGCGACGAATCGATTTTCTTCATTCCTAAGGTAACGAACCTCAATCTGACGTCCTCTTACTTCACTCACATCCCGTTGAAATCGCCCTAATTATATAGATAATGTTTGTTCAATTCGCCGCTTCACCCCAGGCGGCCTTCTTTAACCTTGCAAGCCAAGAGCTGTTACATTGGCGCGACTTGTCCCTAACGAGGCCATACTCTGCTCTCAGCTGCCACTGTTGGATTGGGGTGGCGCATAGAGTGGTAGTGTCAGAATAGGCGAGCTAGTTAATTGTTGTTGTTATTGTTCATTTTTAACGTCGGTGGGGGCGCTAAACACCCGCGCTGACCTCCCTAGGGGTACTTAGATTCTCGCGCATCACGTTTTTGTATTCTTCTATCAGTCTAAGCCATTCTTGGTAGTATTCATTGAGACTTTGTGAAGAGCCCGCTAAAATAAGAACTACCAACCTTATCCCTTTAACTTCCATGAAGGCTCTAATGATACCTTGCTGATCTAGAACTAATGGAAAGATTGACATCGGAGTACTAAGATCATATCAGGGCGTTTCTTTTGACTTAGGTATGATTAAAGTTGGAGGGCTTCTGGTTTAGCGTAATACGAGAGTACAAAAATGTGATGCACAAGAATCTGAGTCGTAACGGGCAAATTGAAGGATTTATATTCTGCTCACATGCTGGCGAGGCTCTGAGTTGCCGATTGGATCCTGAGTGCATGCAGATGACAACACGATGCTACGTCGGGAGGAAATAATTCCTCAATGTAGAAGACTGTTATGGTCGGAGATTTACAAACGCAAGGCTCTGGGGAAACTCCGAGCTACGGAAACAATTTCTCGAGCGCGTAAGCTTCGGAGTGTAACCATCTTGCATACCAACAATCCCAATTCCCAAACCCTCGACTTCTACATAAGTCCTCGCCGCATATCGCCGCTTCGGGTCTTTCAAGAAAAAAACTAGCACGAACACATGTACAGCATCACGTAGCAGTTAGCTTGAAGTAATGCTGATACTTTGGGGGTTATGGAAAACGTCCTGCGGATCTATATCCCTTTTGACTTTACCGAGCCTCTCCAGTTTGACACCCCAATAGGCTTTTTGTGCACTTCTTAATGGTTGCCTGGGGTCAACGAAGCCGGCATATTGGCCGTGAAAAGCGGTTTCGTTGCTTCCTTTGACGATATCATTGAGAAAATTTAGCGTGTCCACTGCGATTTGAGGCACCGTGTTGTTGGTACGAGAGTAAAGCAGGAATGCAAATTTGGCGTCGCGATGGGGATAAGATGTGGATGATGCGGAGATGGTCGATGTAAAACCCCCAAGAAGCTCAAAATCCAGGGAGACATCCTGTGTAGTATTGTCGCTGTCACAGTACTGCCCAGCTGTGGTTTCATGTATTTGTTCTGTTATTGCACAAGGAGGGAAGTTCTAGTTTTCGCCCCTTATTCCCTTTCCTAGCGTTATATACAATGTTCCTTGGTCCGTGCTGTATATCGGAAATTAGGCTTCCTTGGTTCCGTGACAGTCGCTGTTAGCCCAAGCTTCCACCAGATGATCTACGACGTCGTCGGGAATCTGAGTTTCCTGGGACCAGAGAAGCGACTTGGCGTAAAAGTACCCCCGCTGTGCGGAAACAGCCTGCTTCAATAGTGCGTCCCAGTCTACTGAAAGTTGGCGGAAGTTGTCATACACCTCAACGCTCACAGCGCCCGGGGTGGTGAAGTTGCCCAGGATGTTTAGGGAGTTAAAGTCGGCCTGGGTGCCGCGAAAAGTACCGTACAAAAGGATGCCGGTGGAGGAAGCGGTCAGTGTAGCGGACAACTTCCATCTCGGAGATATGATCCATAATGAGGCCCGCCTGCCGGGACGTCTGTCCAAACCCCCCAACGGTGGCGTGGCCGCCTATTCCCACACTGAATGCGACTCCGTGAGGGACATACCGCTGGCCGGAGTTCCAGAGGGCTTCGTTCAGACTGCCTAGAAGCGTACCACCACCAACCGTTGCCTGGTCAGTGGAGCTATCGAAGCTGAATCCTTGGAGATTCTGCAAGTTGATCGTCAATCCACCGTTGGTGATAATTAGCTATCACCTGAGTTTCAGTTCCTTTTTCACAACAGCATTTCACCTAAAGTTTCCGTGTCGATGTTGGGTCTTCTGAAAATGGAAGCCCTAGGCCAACCATTTTTGAAACCTCAGAACACCTCAGTCAGGTATATTTTTAGTAGGATATGTGTATTTCTCGAAGTTTAGTGTACGCAAATACTTTGTTTAATAGTACAAACTATAGCAGGCAGCGTAGCTCTAAACAGTATACATGAAAAGTCAGGATCTGGATAGTAGCTTAGGAACAGGACGCAAGAACACAAGAGCGCTGTTTCCCGCTGTAGTCGTTGCATGCATGAAGAGACGCTGTGTGGCAACATGTAAGATGTTATCAACCTAGGCCGTGGCCTATCTAGCTGTCCGGTACATCCGAGCCTGTACGCTCTGTATCACACACCCACTCTCCATTTGCCAACAAATGATTCCCATTCCCAAGCTTGTTTTGTGCAGGACGTTCCCAATTCAAGACCTTAATTCCTTGCTCTCGCAAATCACGACGCATGTCAACCATGACGACCCCTTTCACAGTGGTGGGGTTCCCACACATATCCGAGAATACCTGTTCCCTCTCAGGTGGTTTTGGAAATTCTGGCCAGTCAATATACTCAGGTGCTTCTGTATAAATAGAAATCTGTTTTTCTTCTCGTCTCTTCACCCATTGGTTCAATACTGAACGATATTCCCAAACAGAATGATCAAGCTTAACATCTGGATGTTGTACCCATTCCAGCCTTTCTAGATCGATTGGATTCTGTTGAGCGTAAGAAATGTCCCGGAAATGTGTATCGCGGGTAATGATTTCGTAAAGTGTAAATATAACACCTTTAACGTCATTGCGGTCTTTATCGTATCCAATGCACCTTCCCTTCAATTTATTGTCCGTACGTTTGGAACTGTTAGTACACAGGCGTATGCTATACTAAAAACACTAACACCGCCCCAAATTAGCGTAATTTGCGCAAAATACTAAAAAGGATTTGCTAATAAGATTTCCCGCTTATGGCGGACCTTTATATACCGTAACGCTAGCCCGTTGCCCCCGAACCCCAATTTACTAGGTAGACTGAGCCTTCGACGCCGTTTGCAAATAACCTATAGTATAAAAAGGTTAGAATTAATAGCATATTTGCATTAGTTAGAATAGCTATAGGGAAGAATACTGCTAAAAATGAGCCTTCGTTATAGGGCTTAATTATAAACTACTTTATAAAAGCGAAATGTAATGCTAAAGTAAAAAAAAAGGTTTTTATGGGCTTTATTATAATATTAAATAACTTTATTAAGTTATTTAATAAAATAAATTAAAGCTTATAGCAAAGATTAGTTTAAAAGTTTATTAATAAGGTAGGTTAATACTTTAATACTATTATTTTTATTAAATCCAGGGGTATTATATTAATATACCTAAGATTATAATTAACCTACCCTATAAGTAGTAAAGCTATTATAAGTAGGAATGCTGCCCTAAAATAAAAAATAACCTATAAAGGGCCTAAGGCTACAAATATAACTAATATATATATAAAGGTAACCTATTTTATTATATAAAGGATAAACCTAAAAAAAATAGCTAAAGTATTAAAACTTATTAAAATAAATAATATATATATATTTTTTAAGGTAAGATTAATAACTATTAATATTAAAAACCTATATATCCTTATATAAATAATGGAAAATAGGTTAATTTATTGCTTTATTCCTTTTATAATATAAATTGTATTAATTAAAAAATTATAGCTTAAAGCAAATAAAATTATTAATATATAAGTAATAAAAACTAGGTAATTTATTTATATTATAAGCCTTAAAGCTAAGAATAAGTTAATAACGTTAAAAATATAACTATTAATTTTATAAATATTAAAAGCGAAGAAAATTAAACTATTTAAAATATAGGTAACCTATATTATACCTAATATCCCTACCTCCTTTTTAAATTACTTAAATAAAGGAATATTTAACAATATAACCTTAAAATAGATAAAGGAAAAAATAAAAGTATAAATAAAATATATGCTAATAAATATTTACCTATTTAAATATATAGCTAACCTATAGATTAATAAAATAACCTAGGTAATATTATTTAAATACTTAGTAAAAGCATTTAAATTCTTCTTTATTAATAGGCTTATAAAATAAATAAATAAAAAGTTTATAATTTATAAGTATAGATTAAATAGAATAGGCTATTAAGGGTATTATATAGCTAAAAATTATAAATAAATACCTAAATGCAAAAATTATAATAATAAACTTTTTAATTATAAATTAGGTCCCTATATAAAAGTATTAAGGTATATAAATTATTATAGGCCTTACCCTATAAACTATAAAAGTTACCCTATTAAACCTAAAAGGGCTAATGGTAAAGTCCTTACCTTTTTAAAGGTAAAATTATAAAAGGTAAAAAGAGTTAGCGGAAAATAATATAATAAAGTAAACCGCTTAATATTTATAACGGAAAATATATTAATATTAAATTTAAATAAAAATAGAAAAAGCATTATAATAAGAATAGCCCGAAAAATATAAATTAAATAAATTAATTAAGGAAGGAAAAGGCCAGCTTTATTAAAAAATACTTCCCCCTTAGCTATAATCCCTATTAGCTGTTTTATTATATTAGGCTTATTTTTAAAAAAAGGAAGTAGATTAAGCAATAATATAAAAGGAATAACGGAAAATATTATTATAATAAATATAATAAATGCTAAGCTCCTTTAGGGTAACTTATAAAAGGGTACTTTAATAATTAATAATAAAGTAAATATTATAGGAACTTTAAAGTATAAGGGAAGATTAATAAACGTTTATATAATATAAAGGATTATAAATATATATTTAATATTTTACCTTAAATTTATAAATAAATAATAGGAAAAAAGGGAATAAATGGTTTAACTATTAGATTAAGCTGCTAAAAGCTTTATAAGTTATAATCTATAATATATAAAGGGCTTAACTAATTTATATTACTTTTTTTTAATATTATTAAAATAAAGAGATAGATATTTTATTTATATAAAAACTATAGGTAATAATTATTAAGAATACTTTAATGTAGAACTATCCGGGTTATATCTTATATACCCCCCTTAATTATTAAAATAGTAAGGAAAATAAACTAAGGGTTATAACTTACGTATAAAAAGAGGCAAACTTATTAACTATATTCCAATGCCTAATTTGGTTAAAGGACCTTTTATAGGTTAATATTAATAAATATTCCATCCTAAACTATTATAAAGCATTAAGTATATTAGAAATATTGGAATACCTATATTTATTTAAATTATTACTTAATTGCCTAATAATAAGTAACGTTAATATAAAGCATTTAAATTAAAAACTAAGGATTACTTTACGGAATAAAAGCTATTAATTATTTATATAGTTTACCTAAATAAAAATGAACTATATAAACAAATTAAGAAGACTTACCTATAAGGATAACTATATTATTAACTTACCCTTTTTTAATATATCCTTCCTAAAGGCCTACCTAGATAGGAACTGCATTATAAGGTTAAACTATTACCCTATATAAATAGTTTACCTAAATAAAGGCCATATACCTACCTTAAAACAATAACATTAACAAGTTAAAAAGGACTCCTTAAGGAAATTAGTAAAAATAATAAGGATAGTGGCCCTAACCCTCCCTTTACTAAATAGGCTAAATAAAGAAGAAATATTAAATAAAGCAATAAGGGCATTTACCACTCTTTTAATAAATAGGATTAAAGCTATAAGTAACATCTAAAAACGCTAAGGTAAATTTATACCCTAATAGATAAAAGAATATATACGTAATTATTAAACTTAAAAAAAATTGTAAAAAAAGGCACCAATGGAAAAATAGGAAAAAAATATAATTTTAAAAAAAAGGAAAACCTTCCTTTCTATAATATAAAAAGCAAAAAGAAATTATTAAAGGGTAAAAATTAATAAAGTAAAAATAAATTATAACCTTTATACCCTTATTAGTTAATATAAGCTTAAAGTATAATTCTATATCCTATTAATTAAAAACCTAAATATAAAATAAATAATAAAAAGGGGGAAAAAAAAAGTATAACTATTATATAGGATTATCCTATAAAGATTTAACGCATTTAACAACCTAATAGGAAAACTTCCTAAAATGCCTATAAAGCTACCCTAATATACCTAAATTATTATAGAAAAAATATATAGGTTTATATATAAAGTTACCTTTACCTTATTAAAGGAAAACAATATTATAATATAAATAGTTAAAGCCTGCTAAAGCTATATAGGGAAGTATTGCTATAAACTAGGGAAAAGAATTCTAAAAATAGGGTATTTCCCCTTAGCCTAAAAGGTAGCCTAAATAGCTATAATCCCTAAAATGGGAAAAACCAATTTCTTATCCTTTAAATTATTTAAATTAATAGCACTTTTATTTTATATTAGTAAAAAATATAAAAGATTAATTATTAAAAGAATAATATAAATTAAGCTATAAAAGGGTATATTTAACCTATAATACATTAAAATACTCCTTATAAAATTAGCTATAAACTTAATAATAAGCTTTATTTATAAAATAAAAATAGCATTAATTATAGGAAAGAAGGCTATATTAATTATTTTAAATGTATAAAGGGCATTTAATATATTATTATATAAAAGGCTACTAGTTTAGATAGTAAAATAAGGCTGGCTAGCATTAGTTATAAAGCTAACTAATAGCTTTTTAACTATTAGGAATATTAGAATTAAATTAAAAGAAAATATAACGGAAGCTTAAGAATAAAAATATAAAATGCTTTAAGGATTACTTTAATCCCTAATTCTTTATATACTTTATATAGCTAAATTAATTACCACTAACCCTAACTATTAAGGATATACAAATAACCTAATAGTATTAAAAATAAAGGATACTTTAAAAAAAAGTATAAAATTAATAAAAGAAGAAATAAAAAGGATTTTAAAATATAGCATTAATAATAAAATCTTATTTACCTTAAAAAAAATAAAATTAATTTATTTTAATAAAAAAAGGGGAAATAAAAATCCGGAAATATAAACTTCAATAGGTATAATCGTACTTATATTATTATATAATAAAAAAAATACTAATTCCTTAATTAAATAAATCCTTTAAAAATCTTAACTAACATTATAATAATTAAAGGTATAGTTTAATAAATAATTTATATTTAAATAGTATATTAAAAAGCGGGCAATAATTATAATATAGGTTTTAAATTATATTAAAGCCTTTATAACAATTAAACGGGGCCCTTTAATAATAGTATTATAAAAAGCAATTAAAACAATAATCCTACTATTACTTTTATATAGGTATAAAGTATAATATAAAAGAAAAATAAAATTAATAACCTATAAAGGTCCAAAAAGGTTAATAAAAACTAATATAAGGCTAGGAGGATATATAGAATTAATCTAAAAGGTATTAGTTAAAACAATATATAAAGTGCTCCCAATTTAAAAAACATAGCTAAATGTAACCCTCTTTATAAATAATAACCTTTTAATAGCTTAACTAGCCCTAAACAAAGTAAAACTTTACTTTTCCTATAAAGTTAATATAATTATAAAAGGCTACCCCTTAATTATTAAAGCGGAACTTAAAATTATTAACCAGGAAAAAAGGGCTAAATAAATATAAAAGCTATAATCCAACATTTAATTTATTAAAAAACTTCTTTTAATAGTTAAATAGCTAATATTCTACCCCCTTAAAATACCTTAAAGGATTAAAAAATAACTTAATAAAGGGTATAAATAAAAAGGAAGCATTTAAAAAATTTAAAAAATAATTTAAGGACTGCTTTATTTTTAATATAATAATTTTTTCGAATAGCTTAAAAAATATAATAGGGTTAAGCTATAGATTTATAATTTATAAAAAATAAAAAAAGGTAGCTAAAGGCTTAGGGGGCATATACCTATTAAGTAAGGTTTATAATATAAAAAAGGTAAAGGCACTTAAAGGCATATAAAAAGCTATAAAGCTTTTCCCTACCTTTAAAATTATATTATATATTAATAATATATTAATAATATATAATATTAAAAAGGATATTTTAATTACCTTTTAAAGTATATTTATTTAACTATATAATATAATAGATATATATAATATAAGATTAAAATAATATTTAAGCTATATAAATATAAAAGGGAATAAATAAATTAATACATTAGTAAAAAAGGTAGCCAAAGATAGGCTATTTAACCTAAAGTTTAATAGCCTTATAGTTATAGGAATTAAAGCAATAATAAAGAAATAAATCCGGAAAAACGTATAAGCCTAATAAAAAAACAACCTATTAGTTAAAAATAAAGCAGGTAAGGATATAGGTATAATATAGCTAATTAATTATTAATTAATAGGTATTAAATATATCCTTAATTATTGCCTTAAAGTATTAAAACTATTATAAAAGATTTTAAATAAATACTTTATATACCTTTTAAAATATAGGAACTTTAATTAATACTATAAAAAATTTAAGCATAAAGGGGTAGAAATATATTACTCCTATATAAAGATTAAAAACTAATAGAATTATAATATAAAAATAAAGTTATATTTAATATATTATAAAAGGTTATAAAGAAGAATGGCATAATAGTTAAAGCTATTTAAATTAAAACTTAAAATAAATAATAATAAATAAAAAAAGAATAATTAATTAATAAAATTTTATAAGTTAAAATTATTAAATTCGAATAATTATAAAGCTTATTTAATTTAACTTTTATAAAACTTATTAAACTTTTAACAATTTTGTTAAATTATAAGTTACTTTATAAAAGTTTATATACCCTTTATAGCTTAAAAAGTTTATTATAAAAAATAGGTTAAGATTATTAACCTAATAGATAAAGGGAAAAAGGATAATAAAAACTTAAACATTATATAACCATTTATATTAATAAACGGTTTAATGCTTTTAAAAAATTTATAAAGTTAAAGATTAGCTTTATATCTATTTATTATTAAATATTAATTTAAGGTAAAAAATAATAAAGTTTAAAAAAACTTTAATAAAACCTACCTTAAAATATAAACTTTCCAAACTAATAAAACCTTTCCTTTAATTAACTTAAATATTTTTAAAACTATTATATAAAAGAAAAAAATTATTAACCTTTAAAACTATTATTAGAATTAATTTAATAATATTATTAAAAATTAACTATTTTATATTATAAAATAAAAATAACTATCTTAAAAAGCATTATAGCTTAAAATAAAAAGTATAACTTATTATTATTAATTATACATTTAATCGTTAAAATTAATTTTAAATAAAGCTCCTTAAAAGCTTTATAATAATTAAAGTTCTTAAGTTAAATAAAGTAATTAATTTTTATTAATAATAACTCCTTTACTTCCGCCCTATAAAAAATAAATAAAGGGATAACTATATATAATATACCGCCCTTATAACCTATTACCCTTAAAAAGCTTATAGCAAATCCCTTAAATACCTATAAATAATCCCTAAAATTATAATTAACTTATTAAAGTTTTTATATTATAATATAACCATTAATTCTTATTAATTAATAAAGGTTATTATCTATAAATAAAAGGAATATTATTTTATAAAAAGCCCTTTATATTTATTATATAGTATACCTTTTTATTTATATTTTAAATTATACATTATATATTATATATTATATTTTATAGGTTTTTAATTTTCCCCTTTTTTTTATTCCCTATATATAAAAGCTTAAAAGCTTAAAAACGGAAAAATATATATAAAATAAAAATATAAAAATAATATAAATAAAAAAGTAAATATAACTATATTAAAAGATATTTATCCCCTTATACCCTTTATATATATAAACCTTTAAAAGTTCCTATATATATAACCCTTAAAAGCCTTTTATATATAAATATAAATATAATATAAATTAATATACCTAAAAGTATAAAACTACTTTAAATATAATATAAATTAATATATTTAAAAGTATAATACTTCTTAATTTTAATAATAAACCCGCTTATTATTATTATACCTACCTACCTATTAACCTATTATATACCTATTGTAGCCTAGCCCAGCTATAAGCCCTAACGGTAAATAATTATAAGGATTACGGATGCTTAACGATAATTAGCTAAACTACCGCCCTAAATATAAAGTCGCATCCATTATTACCCTTTATAACTAATATTAAATCCCATAGGTACACCAAACTAAGTTCCAAACTTAAAAGGAACAAACTGAACGTATAAGGCACAGAAATCCTAAAAGGAATGGATACATAGTTATAACCTAACACGCTTAAAAAGTAAAAAAATAGCTTTAAAGCCATTATATACATAAAACAGTAGTAGACAGCTTACCACGTTCCAATGCCCTTACGGAGGCCTGGACTAACTGCAACGCAGATTAGTCCCTACAACGTTAAACACAATCAATTAATCAATCAATCAATCAATCGTATCCAATGCCACCGATCCGGCAACTATAGTTGAAGTCGAACAACATGATAGCGTCCGTTTTTGGACTGACAAGAAGATTTCGCGCAGCGACATCCTGATGAGCAATCCCGTACCGGAAGTTTAAATCGTCGATAACGCAAATCAGTTGTTCAAGCCATTTTAGCTTGAACATACGCGATTTATTCTCGCTTATTGTACCGCCAGAAATGTAAAGACTTGTGAAGCCAACAATATGACCATGTAGCTCGTCTAGGACAAGTCGATCGAACGGTACAATGTTTGGATGCGGGGGGAGGCGTATCCATAAGTTCACTTCATGCCATAATTTATGGAGGAATTGGATAAGAAAATAATACTTGAATATTACTTTAGTGTTTGTTGGATTGGCACATAAAGTATACGAAACTAGGTCAACGTTTGGAGAGAGTCTGTCTAGTTCGATTAGATCAGAACGAAGCACAGTTTTGATGGGGCCGGAGAGCCGGTCCTCGATCGTCTGTAGCGGAGGATAATATACGCATCTCGTTTCGTCGTCTTCGGGACTGGTAGAGACCGAGACCAATTCGCCGTCCTGTGATAAATGGATGCCGTATACGTCAGGTCCGAGAGTATCGATATGCCTGTGAAGATATTTGATAGCAACATCTTCGCTCTCTTGTTCCTCGTCCATGGTAACAGCAATAATACGTCGTTGGTCCCAGTCGAGAATATACCATGTGCTTGGACCCCCCGGCATAAGAGCGCCGCCGGGTGCGAAATATCTCCACTCCTCGTCAATCATCTCTCTTCTGCTATTTCAGACTCGGGAGGGTATAGAGTTTGGGGAGACTTCGAAGGGAAATGATGCAGCAAGGAGCAGCAAAGGAGAGATAGAGAGTGGTGCAAGCTTCGGTTTACTGCGAAGCCAAGGTGCCGGACAACAATGGCCCAGGGTAGGTCGAGAATATATGCTCTACAGCACATCACAGGGCACACTGATTGGTGGTCGAATGACTTGTATCGGGGAGAGTGAGCTTTTTGGCTAGCCTCTGCTACGAAGCCGGTACTAAGTTGGTGTAGTAGGTTGAAGGCTAGCCTAGAACCGCCTAGGGCTAAAAAACAAATGATGTCGAACAATAAGTTAACCAACGCAAGAAACAACCCTAGTATTGTAATAAGGGCGGTGGGCGGGACGAACTTGCGTCGTATTCAAGATGGATGTGCCTCTGAATGTAGTTGTAGAGGTGAGAACGCTAACCCTAAAATAGATTGGCACCGGCGCTTATTGAAGTAGGCGCGCGGTACGCCTTGTGGTCGTACTCTACACTAATACTTCAAGTTATATACACAAATTCATAGTCACCTTTGGTGCTTAGCGGCTGCGCCGCGAGGACTACAACTTCTACCCTTTTTTTTTTGACTTCCGGGGGTTATACACTCTGCGCCGGCCCCCGCTCCAGAAAGAAAGTGATAAATTCCTCTCTTGATCCGCCGCTCGCGCCCTTCAGGGCTCACGACGCTCCTGTTCTAAGTATTAGTTGGTAGTATTTGGGCGGCATAAATCGCGTGGACTTAGCTTGGTATAGGTACGGCCTCTCTAGTGAAAATCTACGGCCCAACGGGCAGAAGGGAGCCATAGAATGTATGAGGCCTGAATGAGCATCAATAGCTCAGGGAATCTCCTGCTCGAAAGGAAGAGAGAGAGAGATCAAGGCCCTAGAGACCCCTAGTAGATTATTATTGAATATGGCTAAGTTCTAAGCCCTCTACAAGAGCCCTTGTCACAATAGCTGAACCCGCCAACAACCAACAACCAACAACCAACAATGGCATAAATCGAGATGGCAGGAAGAAACTGCCTAACAACAGAGAAAGTTTTCATATAGTATATATAAACAAACTCGCCGGATCTCAAGGACAAGAAACTCCCTTACCTGGACCGACACCATCTTTTAAATTCCCAACAAAGACGTCTTCTACTTGTCGTTTGCTTAGTTTTAACAAACCCTAACTTAGCCAACCTTTGTCCATCCTCCTCAAGCTTTCAATCGTTCGAAATGTAGCAGCAACCCATGCATATCAACCCCCAACAAATTGGATCTACTACAGACAATATCCGCGTGTTCGACAAGCGAAATCCAGGCAGATGCCCTTATGGATGGTATTGCTTTTATAGCAGCATCTGCGGTCACCTGTATCAACAATACCCATAGAGATGCGGCAATTCAACAACGCCCTCTGGAAAAAGCGGCTTCTGCAAGGTTCCTGCCCCCCAGCACGTTGTTCAAGCGTATCAGGTCAACGCTCAATGTGCCGATTGCCGCCGACGCGACCGCTAAGTCAATGTAATACATTAAAAGTAGATGACGTATCCGGGAGATATGCTAACCAAGCCTGACATATAGCTGTTCCTACCGAAAAGAAACTGCTCGCCGCTTTCAATATTATAACCGGTACAGGTTCTGCTTTGCAGACAAATACCATACTATGGTTAATAATATTCTAGCGTCGGTTATTTTAGGTTATTCAGGTCAATACTGGTTGACGTTGGAACAAGATCCGCTTACGGTTGCTCTTTCTGTCGATTTGTACCAAGCTAGTGCGCCGGGCGCCGGAATGTAATATACGTTCCTGTTTGGCATGATATATATTCTTCTTCTTTTTTTTTTTTTTTTTTAAGGGTTGGGTTGGGTTGGGTTGTTCGGCATATCGTGTCTGCTAGACTTGCCTCATCTTCGATATTATAAATCAAACAGTAACGCTAGTAATAGCGCTTTTAAGTAAATTCTTATAGGACTTCGTAGCTGTTCGATATATTTTACGATAACGTCGTGAAAACTATTAAGTTATATTTTAATTGTTTGGAAACAAGAGCTTTTTTAAATACAGCTAAAAGATTACTTTTTAAATATTGGAATAATTTTGCTCCTAGGTGGATCACAGACTGTTGAGTCATAAGAATATAGAAGGAAAGGAAGAAGAGAAGGAATATCGAAGGATAAGGGCATAATGAATCTATGAAAAAAAATTAACGTCGAGATCAAGCAACTGATATCTTAAGCCTTAAGATTTAGTGACAAAGTGAGTTCCTACGGAGTAAAGGAGGTCTTGAATTGGAGGAGGTAGGTAGGTTGCCTTCTGCAAATGGAGGAATCATAAATTGGCATACTCGACATCGACACGGGAATTTCATTTTATCCATGCGTGGGCGAAGCTCTCAGGATCGGGGGGCTCACCATAGTTTCCGTAGCTATGTCCACCCGACCTAGTTTGTACCTTCACCCCAGCTTCAACCGCACATTTCACGGCAGCAGCCACTTGGGTGGCGTTATCGGGGAAGACAATGGCTGCAGGTGTTACCTCATATGCAAAATCATACCAATAAGACTCGACGACAGATGTGTAATTACTTGTACTTGAATAGATCAGCGAGCTGTTACGGCCTCCAACAGCTGCAGCCAAGCATCGAATAAACGTCGATGGCGCGTGCATTTCGCTCAGCAAAACAAAAAGGAGGAAGATGGGTTGAGAAATCGGTGTGGGTGATAATAACCTAGGGAGCTTCGATAGAGTACTTGTCAAGTTAATGTTGTGAATTTAATGCCCCTATCCCACCACCAGTAGATTTCTCAAAGCTGAGCCGACTGGGTATTTATAGTTGTTTTGCTGGCAGCCTTATAAGCTATTGCCTATGAATTTAGTACATTGGTTGGAATTATAGCCTATTTTATCAACTGGAAGTACTTAAATGCAACCAAGTTTTCAACCTATATAACTTCATATAGCCTTTACCACTTAATTATATTACATTTATTACTATATATTAATTATTACTTACCTTGTTAAAGATTTTATTTAAATCCTTTTAATATAACTATAGTTATTTAATTATTTATTAATTAATCCTTATAGTAGGATAAAGGATCCTTTATATATAAATCTAGTATATGGATCGTTAAGTATCACCGCCTTCCACTTTTGACACCATGACCTGTTAAGGTGCTAAGATATTAGGGAGTAATAACCACCCATTTATTAGCTGTTACTTGGGCAAAATGCAAGTGGTGGCAACCTCTAGTGCTTTGTGGGCTTTACTCTTAGTACAACGGCACCTTATGCCTCCAATATCGAATGAAGATTGCACTATTAATCGTGTTTATCCTTCTATTTTGGTAGTTAAAACCATCCCTGCCAAGTTTAATGGTAAATTCATTCCGCGTCAACCAACATATAAAATCTTTTCTAGCTCTACTGACTTTGACAGACTTAAAGATCCTGCAGCTATACGGTCGATGTGTTGGAGGTCAACCATTGTCTGCGATAAATGTTGAAGTAATACCATAGACCAATGGTTATCAGCGTAACAAGTAGGGTAAACAAGACATATATCCAAATATATTTAGATACCACCGGCTGCCCACTATTGCCAGACCAGTCGAAAAACGTCATGGAAAATACTCCCTATAGTCAATTTAGCTCCGTATACCTAGTTTAAGAGTAAGTTGGAGAGCTCAACATATGAAACAAACTCTTGTCATACCGCAAAGAATGTTCCTGGGAGGAATATCATTGTCACCAGGGCTATTGAGCGCATATGTTCAGAATCTCGTCTTGTCGCCTTGGCAATCTCTAAGCTCGTCTCGCCTTGTGCCTGTGGAGTAGATTTCGTAAGCCAAATTTCTGTCCGGAGGGGTGTAATTAGTTCCTACCCATTGTGTTGCCATTGCCATCCCCTCAATTCTTAATGAGCATTCACGAATCTTGTCGTCGTACTCTTCGATGATGGCCAAAGTTCGAGACTTTATTTGGTATCCTACGACAAGATATATGTTGCTAGATTTCTCATGGCATAATGCCGAGTGCTCTGGCAGTGGCTGAACGAGGGCTATTGGGATTTCTTCTTTGCCAATTAGTGGATATTCCTCATAAGAATTTGGAGTTGGAGGTGGAGTGGTTAAATTACTCGACCACCCATACCCCCCTAATAGTAAGCGATTGACTTCGTCCACATGAAGTGCAATATTCTCCAGTTGCTTTCTCCAACTCTGAAGGCAATTTCGTGTATACGTGATATTGAGCCATGCCGAGCGCTTATCTTTGTGCAATTTCTCAATCTGTGAAGTTGTCATGCTCTCTTCTGTACCAGGCCGTATTTCGAGCTGGTAGATTCTTGCCTCGACTTCGTCCACAATATCATCTACTATTTGTACATGTCGCCTCCTCTCAATCTCCACGATGATTCCTGGGAGCAGTAAAGGATGGGTTGCGGTGTTTCCTGCAAGTCTTAATCGACTCAGTATTTCCTCTTCGATCTCCAAGTCGCATCCAAAAATAAAGGCAAACATCAGATTGCAGTGAGGGAAGTATGTTACAGTCAAAGCAAGATCCATAGGCCAGGCATTAGATGTTCGCAAGTTGAAGACTGTAACCCATTAGCCCTCAGCCGTATGCGATCTCTAAACATTACTCTCACCAGAGACTTCATGTTTTGAGCCGTGTTCATCTTCCATAGTTGCCTTTGTATGCGTAAAAGCTGGAATATCTGCCCGACTAATCACTCTCGATATCGAGCTGTGCATATAGAATGCTCTGGCGATTATTTCGAATGTGCTTCGACTGAGCGGAATAGTCCTGAGACTGTGGCGCGCTACCGCAGAAGAGCTGTCTTGCTTCTCGTCGCTGTGGTTGCGTGTCTTAATATCAGGTGGACATGAACTCTGTACAGAGTTTTCTTGCACGGGCTGTTCACCATCCATCCCTGCTAGGAAGATATTCTCGCTCGTCTGTTTGGCATTACTCGTACTCGACTCGGTAGAACGCTTCGCGAAACTTGAAATATACCTTTTAGCAATGGAATCAATGTCATTTTCATTTGGGGGTCTGTTCCTACAGAACAACCAAGCCAGACTCGCAGTCTTTCGGAGATGGACAGTCCTATACTCAAGTCAACCATAAGGTTAGTACAGCATGTTCCCAGGAATTTGTACCTGCTCTAACCATGTTTGCCACTCCTCATGAGTTTCTATCTCATGTACGATAGCCCTGGAAGCAAGAAAAACTGTTAGTAGGAATTGACGTGATCGTGGTTTAATGGACACTTAACTGGTCGTTGATACACAGCACAGTCGTTGCTTTAGGTTCATACTTAAAAACCCGGTCCAAATCCGAGCCATGCAATCCTAAGGTATCACGTACCCAATCCATATTTATTGGCACGTCTCGTGATATCTGTCTGTCAATTTGTCTACAAACAATTGATGTTGTAGTCCCTGTTTTTCTTTAAATTCGGACGAAAAGCCCTTCCATTTCAGGCTGCGATATCCGGCCTTATCAAAATCCCGCCTGCATTGGCTGACTAGGCAGCCTGCAGTGGCCCCTGACACCACTCAATCTTCAATCAGGTACACCGAAAATTCGTCCTATGTATCCGTACTTCGGCAGCCTATGACTAGATAATGCAAGTAAGAAATTAACCGCAGTCAAGTACTGCATTCTAATTATTCTTGGACGTTTTTCTTTTCTTCTTTTCTCTGTACGCTCTTCATATATGTTTTAAAGCAGCAATTAACAAGTAATTTACTCCGCAAAGGCCTAACACATCCCAGGCGATGCTTAATCTTCTTCTAGAGTAAAACGAGGGCCATCCTAGGCTACATGGCGGCCAATGTGGGTATGGTAGTATCAAACGCAAATATGCAGTGGTAATCATAAGCGGGCGGTGCAGACTAACAAGGACCTGTACTCGGCGGTGGCGGGGTGTGATACACCATGCTTCAGAGCGGTATATATAATCAGTGGTCCTATGCACGTGATAACACCTATTACAGGATAATCTTTATCCTTTTTTTTTTTTTCAGATCGACCTTACCTCAAAATGTCACCAATCACTGCCCGGCTATACTAGATACTACCACAATAAGTGACTTTGTAGTCCTGGAATCCCAAAAATATGGCTGTGCTCTACATTAGGGCTGCGTATACGGAAGAGGAGAAGCTGCAAGAATTCTTGCTCAAGTTGTTTGGGCGGGGAAACTACGAAATAGAAGTAAGTCAGAATATCTGTACAGCTGATGGGCGATTGACACCTGTCTTACTTAGTGGGCACGAGGACGATGGCAGTGTACAGTCCCTCGAGAGCTGCGTTCGGTATGCAACTGCTGGCTTTAGCTGTGTCTAATAAGATGTAAAAGAGGGTCTATCTAGGCTAGGCTAACATGGTTTAGCATGAGATTGCTCAGATGAAGGCGTCGGCTAACCTGACGCATTACCAACAATTTTAATAGCCACGACCGCCTCTTTAAACTATGGAGATATGTCTGAGGGCGGAGTTATGCGAAGTGTACACAGTTACTTAATTCCATTCTCTCTATAGCGGCAATACATATGTCTTGGTGCAACAAGTATCGCATATGTGGGTTTACTGTAAAAACCCATTGAATTAGTAGATCTACCTAGTCATGCTATTGTCCATTGCGGAACGGTGAAGTTCACATTGGGAGACTGTACCTATGGCTGGGGCGCGAACCACCAGTACTAGAACCGGATCGGACCATCAGGCTAGCCACGCCATATTGGCCCCCACGATAACTAAGCCCCCTCCATCCTGTGCTAATATACATGCATTTGGCCGACGTGTTAAATCGTGTGACCCTACAAGATGACTTATGGAGTACATGCAGGCATTCGACCTGGTACGTGGCATGGGTACTGGTGATCTAGCCTGAATCTGCCTCGTTGCCTACACTTGATCCGACCGAGACCATCTGAATTCACAGTTATTAGGTGTAATTATAACAAGGGCAGATAACTGGACTTTTAATTGAAGCTAGGGCTGCAAGAGTCCTTGACCTTGATGGCCTAACTCGACTCTATGTGCAACTGGTCTGCCAGCTCTGACCACCTACGTCTCATTGGCTTGTTTCATGAGGTGAAACCTGTATAACCTCATAAATATTGCCTGCATGTCTTTGACGATCATGAATAGCCTGCAATGACCTTTCGTACGGCCGAAGCGCAAGGCGAACTGCATGTTCAGCTTATACGCGTGTGACAGTAATCATACAGTAAGCGACCAAGTAGTATATTAGCATATATCGCCGTCCTTCTAAATCCATCCAGGCCGGACGACTACCTACATGTATTCACAGGTACTCGAAGCTACTGTGGACACCCATACAACGTTGCACACGTTATTGGAGAAATAGCAAACGAGTGGATTTAGTAAGTCTAGCCTAAGGGATCCTTTTGTCTTATCTGCACTATGATAAGAAATGGACCGTTACAACTGTCAACCCTCAGATCTCTCGAGGTTAGGAGACATGGTGTCAGCCTATCCAAGTGGCCTTGCGATGCTCCATTTCTGAACGCTCGTCCGCTTGTACCATTAATGATATTCGACCGAGGATATGTAACTTATTCATACCGCATCTGAATGAGTGCATGGAGTGCAGTAATCTTCTTCGACTGCACACCTACTGTTTATATCGGCGAATTTCTGATGTAATGCGAGCATATCATCTCGAGCCGATGAATCAACAACTATCATGTTCTTCTTTATGACGCTCACGATCGCATTAGAGAACTTGGATCGATTCTCGTGATTGAGAATTCGATTCATACACTTGATAGTAGTTAATTAGAATCAGTAAGCCCAATGTTATGCAGGAGAGAAAGGTGTTTCTTACGTCTTGGACTGATGTCATAATCTCGGCGTGACGTTTAGATTGCTCCCCGGACTTGTTTTCTGATTGGACCTCACGTCGTGAAACCGTGAAAAATGTGTTCGTCTCCTGGTGGCGGTACTTGGCTTCTTCTTTTCGTGACTTCTTAAATTCTTTTCGCTCATCATTGCCGCCAAGGAACCAAACCATCATCTCCAGAAAGATGCAACCCAGTGGCCAGACATCAAATTTTCGCGATATCTTAGCATCGGGATCGGTATCGCGCTCTGGAGCACGATACTCAGGAGAACGGGCAACAGTCGAGGGCCGGTCCTTAGATCGACTATACGTGCGGTGCGCCACTGTGAATCCCATATCGGAAACAACCAAGATGCCGTTAGGGTCGTCTTTGTACGTCCTATACCAAAGGGTGTTATCTGGTTTCAAATCGCTGTGACGTCCATATTTGTGCTTGATGTGAGGAGGGAAGTGAATAGTCTTGACTGCTTCTGCTAGACCCACCAATTGATTGGATAGCCAGCGAACATAATCCACATTTTGTGGTCGTGGTGTTTGTTCGATCCAGTACTGGTCAAGGGTGCAGGAAACAAGAAGTGTCTCTTTTGATCATGTGTAAATGTTGTCAAGAGGGTGACTAAGTGTGGACAAACCATGCCCTTGAAACTCTTCAGATGCTCGATTTCAGTTTGATACGAGGCTTCTAGATCCTTGTTCGTATTATCTTCGAGAGTTTTCAAGGCAAAGTAGTTATCAGAACAAGAAAGCAAACCGATCTGCCGTGATAATTATCAGCTGAAACTAATTTCATCTTGATATCCATATAAGGTATGCTGGATAACATACCTTTTCCAGAGGGACACGAAACCCGTGGTAGTCCGGATGGATATAAACTGGATCGACACGGCTATAGCCACCATACCCCGATCTGGGTTCAGACATGTTCTCAGATATCTGCTTTGATTTGCACCATGGCAGTCTTATCTCCTTGAATTTGAAATCCCTGTGCTTAACACTGAAGTCTGGACCCATTTCCAGGTATGGTACGTCGAGCTGCCATTGCTTCCAGCAGAATTCATCTTTCAGAAGGTCGCTCCACGTTGAAAAGCACCTGATGGGAGTATCTTCTTCCCCATCAAGGTAAAAGTAGTCGGGGCACAGTTCAGTCATCTTCAAACTCAGTGGTAGCTTGGCATCCGAGATTCCTTCGTTTTGAAACTGAATGATGTCGCGGCCCCTTTCAAGAAGAATGAGTAGTGCTAACACTGTCACGGAACGACATAAGGAGTGCAGTACTATGCCATTGCGCTACCAAAAGGTAACGACGAGTTATCAAGTCGAGGGCTTGACGTCTCTGCACTCACTATATAGTACTGTACTGTAACAAATACTATGATGTAATTACTATGAACTTCGTGGTATAGTTCATCAATATTTACATTTCGCCAAGTGGTGAATTTGGCCGTATAGTGGCGGAAAAGAGGAACGACAACCTCTCTTTTGAGTATGCGCTGAAGGAGTCTAGGTTGGGAAATTAGAATACTTTTGTCATGAGCGTGTGGCTGCATGGCGGATCTCAATGTCCTCTGGATTGCATTTTCCGCGCCTGGAATGGACACGTCGCTTTCGCTTTGCCCTCTTGAAGTTTCCATAGTGTCTGGCAGACTGTTGGAAGAATTGCTGTTTCGACTGGGCCACTGTTGATAGAGTTCACAATGTAGAGGCACGAGACGGTTAACAATGGAGCTGGTGAATAAGGTCTCGAAAGTCAAAAATGACACCGTTAGAGGTTCGAGCAGTCTAACGGTTATCATATAGGACGACCTTATTAGCACAAGGCTCTAGCTCGAAATACGGCGAGACTTAGGAGAAGGAAATAATAAAGGCAACCATCCTTGCATAGGCAAAGACAACGCCAAACCTGTTTTCCACTCGGTGGCCCTAATTATGACAGCGTTGCAGTCAGACAAGGCCATTGCTGCAAGTGTCCTGATAACAATTGGCCCGAAAGGAAATTAAACCCAGGTTCTAGCGAATGTACATCATAGCTTGGGCAGCGCGACTTGCATGTCAGGTAGTAATTTCACGCAGTCAGCAGCCGTCACCTTCTCCAGCGAGTAGCCTCATTTATCTGAAATCCGTGGAATGCAACACATGGGCGGGAATTCGGGGGCGGAGACATTCGTGAAGGATAAGGCGAAGAAATGAGGGGAAAGGCTTCTCTCAAGAATGTTGCATGGAAGTGCATGGAATACTGTGTTGGATAATGTCAAGAAGGGATGGAATTAACGAGTGGGTATCAGTAGGAAAATTGAGAAATAGATACTGAAAACGGGTGTCAGCCTTAATTAACCCTTTCAATGATCGCCGATAATTCCTGCAACAGAATCGACCATTTCAATACTATGACTGCCCTGGTACGACCCAAGCTGCAGCAAATCTCACGTGCGCTGTTTGATGCGCCTTCTAAGGCTTTGGCAATTACAGCCGGTGCTGACTTGTCACTCCTTTGATACAATGAGCTTGCCTCGGCCTGTTGGATTGGACCGGAGCACTGGGCATTTCGACTTCGCTGCAACGTTGCGTTCCACCCACTATCGATGATGCTCGGTCGATAGACTCGGTTTTGTTGCTCTTAAAGCGTAGCTCAATAGTTGGACGTTTATCTCATTAAGTCGGATTAAAGCATACAATTCGTTATATGCAACTCTTTATTCAATGAATATGTTCCAACCGAGGTCTTCATGATTTTTTTCTCGGTGTTGATTCATAACATTGGTGGTGTATAAAGATAAAGAAAGACTTTGATAGAGCGGCGGCAGGCTCGCTATTGAACTGTATGGTGGCCGGCCGGGTGGTTCGTAACATATGGAAAAAGGCAAAGAAGTTTTACCCTCTAGAAGGGCGGAACGTTGTGCGTAAAAGACGAAGGGATTCATGATATAGCGCGCGAAGATATGAATGGTTCAAAAGGCACTATAATAAACGTATAGACAGACAGCTACATCAGTCTGAATCGAAATGGAGTCAAGGGAATAGAGAACTGCGTGCTCTTCTTTCAGACTACCCTCTTTTCCTAGTCGTCATACTTCTGGCTTCTTGTACGAGTTCCAAGATATTTGCTCCATCCACTCGCAGATGTAGATTGACTACTAGTAGGCGAGGATGAGGTTCGGTTGAAGAAATGGACGATATGGCCAAGCTGATCTGACTTGATCTTGTTATTGTGACCCATCCAACGCCAGAATGGTGTTTTTCTAGTTGATGGGTAGTCTTTGAAAGTGCTGCCAATGTGACACACCCTCTTTCCCCGAGGAGGCTCTATTGTATTATTGTTTCCGACGAAGACAAAGTCATCGCTGGCATTGTGGTATGGGGCGGCGGTTGGGTTTTCGTCTCCGGCAGGCTCGTCAATATCCTTTTGGTCCTCGTCAACGTCAGGTTGGTACTCGTCTTGATAGACACGAACTGTCGGGTAGGTATCTTTACTCTCTCTGGCCATCATACGTCCTTGCTGTATGCGATACAGTGTGCAATCCAGAGTGTTAGTAGCTTCGTCTGGGTGCGAGGCTCGCTCTCTTGCACTAGAACTAGAAGTGAATTTCGACCGGCTTTGGTTCGCCACGGGTCCTGGAGCAATAGACTTAGTATCGTAACAAGAGAAGTAAGACAGAAAGGATGGAAGGTACGAGTTATCAAAAATGAATGCGAAAGGTTAGCGCCCACCTCTATACCCATATTGGGACTGACTTTGCTGTTGATTCATCTTCTCTAGGATCTGCTCTAAGGTACGCCCTTGAGTTGCGGAAAGGTGTAGAATAAGGCTATTCTTGGCGCGCTCAAGGTTATTTAGACCTTCAATAATCTTGTTCTCGGTCTTGATGATATTCGGAACGGCCCAGAGGTGAAGGTAGACCTTTAGCCCGGAGCGATTGCACAGGTTGGCCAAGAGGTTGTCTAATTCGTTAAGGTGTTCGTGCACAATTAACAGTGGCACTTGGAAAGTGTTTGGTGTCAATGGCTCGGAGGATTTGATAAGGTCTAGTATAGCTAGCAGAGACTCCAATTCGATAGTTCTCCGAACGGCGCGGGTTAATCCTTCTTTTGCCTCATTGTGGATGCGGTAGATGGTCTTGATGATTGATGCAGCGATTGTTGTAAGCTGGACAATGCTAGCTACAGCACCGAGAACCTCCATTTTCTAGATAACAGCTTCCTGACTCACAATACAGGGGAGTAGGGTGGTAATGGAGAGTGAGGGGTTCCAGAGATGATCCCAAGGACTTGTCTTGCCTAAGACCCTGGGCTCCTTAACAGCCGTCGCCGCAAGAATACTGTCATCTCGGCCCCAACCACTACCGATCAAGTGTTGGACTGCATGAAGCTATTAATATAATGCCCGTTCAAGCCTGTCTTATTACCTAGTCGTCTGCCTAGCAACCTAAATCAATTGAATTGAAAGCCTACAGCCTGCCGCTTGCAATACCTACTGTAATTATGCACTAAGTATATACGCCGGTAAAGGTGTGGTTCAAAAGACTAGGTTGCCTACCTAAGCCACCGAGGTCGATTGGATCAACAGCCTGTAGCCTGCTGCATATAATATGCAGGAGGATACGCCCAGTCGAGGCGCTGAGGTCTCCTGATAGGCTCTTTAACTACTCTATTGGTTCGCTGGCGCTCTCTCTTTACTATTATATTTTGCTACACCGAAGGGCTGATAGGAAATGAGATAATTGATGGGCACGGTTTCCCTGCAACTGCTGCCCATGGTATCATCAGAGCCTTCCATTGTCCCTATAACCAAAACGCGCATCAAGCAGGCTGCCCAGCTGATGCCGGGGCTGTGAATTCCGTCCTACCTACCTTTTTCACATCTGCTAATTCCTGATCTCCTATGCAGCTGTCCGTGAATAGGGGCACTTAAATTTGGAAATCAAGGGGGTAAATTGCCATGACGTAGCAGTCCACGGCTGCCAGGTGACATTGCACTTGAATTCGCCAAGGTGGCGTACACAAGCTTGAATGCTTCTTAACGGTAACTACCTCCATGTCGAAACGGCCACGGCATTAGCATATCTCCCATAACCCAACCGGCGGCCATTACTCCTGGAAATTCCATTTCCGGTTTCCAAGACACGTATTACTTCACTTTGGTTCACACCTTACCCCTGCGTATGTACGAGATATTATCGTTTCCCTCCATTAAGATAGTTCCTTCTAATATTCTCGCCACGCCGAATAGGGACCATGATACAACCTGGTCCCGCAAAGGTTCACAATATTTCAGACAGTCACATTCAGAGCAGACAGCTCGGGGATAACAATGAATATGGCAATCGTAACACCAACAGTCTCTACTTCAGCATATGTTCTCTCACACCGCGGAGGCCCAGATCTGTATCAAGTACCTCATCAACTGAAAGGTCTGAATCAGCTAAGAAGAGACTCACCAAGGCCATCGTTCAAGCCATCGCCGCTGTCTTGCTCATAGCGCTGGTAGTCACTTTACCAGTGCTAAAGGCGTATCACAAATTACCTCCCGATGATGGAACCGATCCGTGAGTGTCATACTTCAGGAAACTGTTATTTCAGAGCTGTAAATTAACGTACACATTTTAACCAGCGTCCAATCGAATACAGCATTACAATCATCGACTTCGGGATCCAGAAGCAAGAGTATTGCTACAAGTCCGACGACCTCGAATAGTATGACTTGGACTAAGTCATCATCCACGTCTTCCGCCGTCTCCCCTCAGAGCAGTGACACGATTGAAGCAAGCTCATCTAGTAGTACGGACATGCCGCAAACGAGTAGCACATCTCCGAACAACGACTCCGTTCACCTTGTGAATTGCGTGGGCTCTGATTCTTACTCCGTCGTTGTGGTATGTTCATATCTCTTAGGAGCTGAAATCTATTTAAATCTATACTAAATGTAATCTTTTTCTATGTATAGTATTGTGCTGAAGATACCGACTGCGATTTCGCACCATCTTCGTCAGACTATATCCAAGTTAGTTCTAGTGATGAGTTTTATACTTGGGAGCAACAGAACCAGTCTGTCACCTTCCCAACTGGCGTGATGTTCAATTGGACCATCAATAGCAACGGAAGCACTTCTCCCGACTACAGTCCTCAAGGGTAAGCGTTTTTTGCACTTTTCATCCTCGTCTATTTATCTGATAGACATTCACTGGAGTTTACCCTTAAATTTCTCTCTATGGAATAATAGTACCGTTTGCCCTCACCTCAAGTTGTTCCTTTTCCTCATCTCTCGCAACTTTAAGAACCATAATATCTAATAATCAAACAGGTTTAGTAGTAACGGCTATAAGTTGTTTAGATGTTATAAAGATAACCACCGCTTGATGTACAACGACAACCAAGACAACCAATGCGAAAGCATTTATTATTGTGTTATGTAATTTGTTATTTCAATCTATACTTCATCAAAGTTATACACCGCCGACGTCTCATTGCTCTGTTTAGTGGAGCGAAGTCCATAATGTAAACCCACTTTCAATAATTGACTGCATGGCTCTAATGGTGTGACAAGGGCTCTTATAGAGGGTTTGGAACTCAGTCGTATATTCATAATAATCTATTAGGGGTCTCAAAGGCCATGATCTCTACCTCTCTTCGAGGGCGGAATCAGGCCTCTATTTATAATCGTTGGGCTTCATACGAATATACCCAATATGGCCCCCAATTGCCTTACTCAATCTGTTGGCTGTCTGTTGGTCTGCCTGCATTGCCAGTTGGTTCCAATGACCTCTCTATATCCAATTATCTGACCTATTGGTGTGGGTGATCCTCATGGGGTTAGCGTGATCCATGGCGGAGGCAGTAACCAAATGGCCGGCATCTAGTTACCAACTGATCAGGGTACGTACTATACTGTATACTCTTGCTAAGACCTGCCTTTACTTTCCGCATCCAGGTCCACACTGGAGAGGGGGGTCCTAATTTACCATGTACCCTATTAGAATGACCTTCTTACGCCCTATCTTCTTAAGAATATCCTGTAGCTGAGTCTTAGTCCTCTTAGGCTTAAGTTTGTTAAACTCCTCGGTAAGCGCGAGCATGTTTTTAGGTATAAGTGTATATAGTGTGGGTAATACGGTAGCTAGATGATCGTCAGATAGTACCAGCTGAGTACTGCCCGGCTAACCTTGCCTCTGCCTTGCCCTTTGCCAAGCACACACTGGTTGCCATGTCCGCACCTTTAAATCTGTCAAATATAAGGGGTTATATCTTAAGCCAGGATATTGGGTAAACGGGGATCTGAGGGTAGACCCACGTCAAGAAGACAAGGGGCCTCGTAAAATCTCGGCGTAGCAGACGCGTCACACAGACAAGATCATCATCATCAATCAATACACTGAATTCTACATGCCATCGCTTATATCTGACAAATAGGTTGATATCGGATTCATGATTATTCAAGATTGTTACGACAACTTCCATTTTACTTAGTAGTATTAGTAAAAACCAATGCACCGGGTACTAACCTCTTAATAGTACCGCAAACAGGTAGTCTCAACCACATTATACTTTAACAGCTCGATGAAGGAACGTAGATGTTGGCAGCGTGTATAGACTTGATGACTTGACTTTTTAAACTTGATTGTTAGTAAAACAACCAAGAATAATCATCATGTGCATGACCTGCCAACAACCCACCATTTATAATTATACACTTTGCAACCCCTCTTTTGATTCCGGACCCGTTGCTCTCCAGTAAGGGGGGAAACTATACGATGTATCAATACCGGATGTGTTGCCATTACCATGCCCTCAATTTTCAAGAGGAGGCTGATGGAAGATAGGTTCTAGAATAAAGCTAGGGCGCGAACAGTAAATCTGAAGGGCGGAGGCTGAGATTTATTTGGACTTGAAGATGGAAATCATCCCGCGGCGAACATCAGCGACGACTTGTCCTATCTCAAATATCTACATCATGTATACAATAAAATTTTAATATATACAGTATACCTCTTCGTAGAATGAAGTTGAGACGATGATGATGGTGTAAAATTTGTACTATCCTCTGGACTGCTTGCTGAAAAGTAGTAAAGATGCACCCAACCGATTTAGAGCTCATCTCTATAGCATTCTGTTTGTTATCTGGGCCTCCTGACTGAGATAATGCTTTACAAGATTATTCCACTTCTTAGGTTAGGCTGTGTTAATTTGATCCAAAATATGTCCAACATGTATCCCAACAGAGAGCGACTGTGTAAATCCTATGCCTAAATGGCCATCTGCATCCGGATGCACAAGTAACGATGATATAAGAGTTGCCATGTGACGAATACCTCATCCAAAACAACCAATAACGGCCAAGGTGCGTGAAAATTGACCCGTAGTATTCAGTACTCATGCCAGGAGATCAAGTAATAATACATGATTTTGTAATCGATAGTGTCTTCCATCATATCTGTTGCAGCTAACCCTTCTATGATGTGCTTGTAATAGATCTCATCCGCATCCTCTCACAAGTCCGTATAAGCTCGTCCTAGTGAAGCTATGAGCGTCTATATGATACTCTCTACTCCTGAAAATCAACGCGGAGGGTAGGCTGGGTACATACTCTACTGATATCCTTCGTTGAGCTTATATAGTAAACATTTTGGCGTAACTAGAGAAAGTTAGCTTATCGAGCACCGCGCGTAATTCTAGAGTATCACTTGCCTGCACTTCAAAATCCCCAACCAGTTCGGTTAACGCCATTGATAAGGTGGTGGGACTGGCAAATTTGGAATGAAGAGTTATTGTTGGCATTTGGGTAGTTGCGAGACAAATAGCGTTTATGAGCTGAACCATGTATTGCGGAATGATGAAGAGGATCAATGGGGGAACGAGACAATCGAGCGAGTCCATTAAATACGTACAGTATCGGCTTACTTAAGCCACGCCCTGACAAATTTCGGCAGAGTCACTGTAAGTAAGGGAGTGTCGGTTGCCCATAATGTTGCAGACAGCCATGATTTCCCCACCCAAACAATTCTAGGAGGAATCTCTTCAGGTTATCTTCCTTAACATATGTGAAAAAACAAACAAGATGAGTGGGGTAATATGAACCCCTTACCGGAGGCGCAGAGGGGGTGCAGTTTCACAAATAAGGGGCGCAACGTGTACGTTTGTAGTTGGTAGGCCAAGGTACTCTTCGTATTACGTTGATTGGTGTTTGCTGATCATACGATTTGCGCTGAACACGAGTATCAAAGGGAGAAGGTAGGGTGCCAGCTAGGGAGATGTAAGACTCATAACATGCTGCCGGTATACCAGGCCCTCCACGTCACGACCCAGGTCTATTGTATCTTATTCTACAGATGAACTGTCCGGATTATAGCTACTTCTTTCGAAGACTCACAGCCCCTTTCAACCTTCTAACCATTTCATTGCCGGCACCTCTTATACGGACCATCTGTTACCACCGTTGAGCATGGCTGATCGTAACTTCAAACACCACTCCTCCGTTGCCAAGTTCGCTATCTCTCAAAAACACTATCTTAAAGCTCCCCCGGGCAGATCTTTCAGCTACATAGCAACCGGTACACTCCTGTTGGACACAGGGGTTGCACATAATTCGCGCATTCTCCTCCTCCAACATGCTTCTGTGTGCTAGCTTCTGGCTCGTACTGCCTCATATATAGGCCGTCTCACATATGACTGTGAGTTATTAGAGACGAGATGTAATCAAGACCGTTTACGAGGGAGCCAATTTGTTCGAGAGGGTTTAGGAAGATCTGGAGACATCAAACGAATGATCTTAAATTTCTGATTGCACATAATTATGGAAGTCTAACTCACTGGCAATAGAACACTGACGCCCATCTATGCAAGCGAGGCATAGGGATTACTACTTGCAATATAGCTCATGAAGTAGTTTGCTCAAGTAACAATACCCAGGACAGGTTTTACTACATCTTGGATTTGGACTTCTGTACTACCGAACTTCAACTTCCACGTAGCATCATTCGCCTCCTTCATCTTGTACTAGAGGGCCGCATGTGTGCGATCTTGCAGCCTGGGCTTGTACTCAACTACCGAGATAATGCCACTGCTCATATCTCCGCAGGTCTTCGCTTCATATTCAAGGATGAGGGCTTCATCATCTACTCGAAGCTTTTCATATGCTATATTCCATAGCTCTCTCATATACGTATCACCATGTACTAAGGGTGGCAACAAAATGGGAGATTTGTCGAGAGTGGAGGCTTGACATGACGATTCGTCAGGGTTCGCTGGAGTACTATTGCTGCCTAACTCAGCTATAAAGGGGTTAAGACCGAATTCCAGGGTTTGAGTTTGGCCTTTATCACGGTTTCTGAGATGAATGTTTCTTCTTATCCTGTGCCCGTAATTAATCAGAAACATAATGAAAAGAAATGAGGCTTCTATCGTAAGAGAACAATGGCATCGAATCTTTTCATCTGTTTCAGCATGAATCGTAGGGGGAACTCGCGAGAAAGCATGAGATTTCTGATAAGCTCCCAACTCCCATCAACGAATGTGCCCTAGGAGAGGTACTGCATAGCCCCAACACATGACATCTAATACCCAGTTGATGCCGTTGGGTCTATATTAATATAATGCGGTTGATTGGGCAATATATCCAGGCGATTGTGATATCGTTGATTTATGTCATAAGCAGTGGGTGGGGCTCGAGTAGCTGAGCTTATCAAGTATTTCTCCGCACTGTAGAAGATAGCTACAGAGCCTCTCCATTCCCTTTTCCTGAAGCAGGATATGCCATAAAGAAATGAAGCACTACATAAAGGGTAGAATCCGTGACTGCCTATGCTCATAGACTAGATACTAGGTAGAGATAGTAAGTGAGAGAACGAGGGGTAATAGCAGTCCCAGACAAGGCCTAAGCGGAAGTTGCTTGGCATAGACAAGGATAAGCATACGCACATCAGCCCAAACGCTTGCTGTCAGTTCATACGGGCCATGATTACCTATGTTATTAGGATTCGGGCATCTAATGCGTGGCTATTGACACTCTAGTGAAAATATGCAATTGCTCTATCGGCGCTCCAATAAATTCTGTGCACCTATACCTAAATACTCGAAGGTGAATTTTCCCCTGAAGCGATAAGCGATGCAGACTGAGATCTCGAAATGGAGTCGATCTATGCAATTCTGTCATAACGGCAGCCCGTTAACTGCTAGGCCAATAACCAAAAGGTCTGTATACGCCAAACTAGTGTACCCGAGCGTCCTTTAGAATATCGCTACCAACCTCACCTCTATCTAAGGAAACACCTCCCTTTGAGGCAAGGTGGCAGCCAACCTAGGCGGCCTCGATAGAGTCAACCACACGAAGCCGCAAATGTCTCATATCGCAATGCAGCAAAGTTTTTGACAGTCCTGCGTACCATTTTAGGAAGAGAAATAACCTCATTATAAATAAAGGGAATTTTCGAGGGGTAAAGGTATAAACGAATAACCAGGAAGTTATAGGAGAAGCTTCCATATCTCCCGGTCCCAAAATACTAATTAAACTTCAACCAGTCGCTCACTCTTACTTACAGAACTACACTATTGACAGACAACTAGCTATAAAAGACAGTTAACCTCAACAATTATTATAGTTATATCGCTCTGAGATACCCAGCATACCGCATCCCAAGAAACACAAAAGCAACCCTCCAAACTATCCTCTACCCAATCCATCCCCACACTCCCCCCCCCTTAAAACGCATTCTCCCCTCACGGATCACTAACCCACCCCCCATCAACAACATAACTACTCCCCGTAATCGCGCTCGAATCGTCACTCGCCAGGAACAGAATCACCCTCGCGACCTCGTCGGGCCTCAGATCCCTCTGAATCGTCTGCGCAGCCATGACCTCAACCCGATACTCGTCCGTCAGCACCTCGTCGATCTGTCTCTGCGTGGCGATCGCCCCCGGCATCACGCTGTTCACGCGGATCCCCCACTTCCCGAACTCCTTGCTGTGCGTCCGCGTCATGCCCATGATCGCGGCCTTGCAGAGCGTGTACACGGGGAGCCCCGTGGCGGGGATGCTCCACGTGATGCTCCCCATGTTGATGATGCTCCCGCGGCCCTTGGACCGCATGCCCGGTACCACGGCTTGCGTGAGGAAGAATTGATGCCGTAAGTTGACGTTCACGTCGGCATCCCACGACGCCGGCGTGACTTCCTCCGTGGGGACCCGCGTGGACGCGCCGGCCGACGCGGCGTTGTTAAGAAGCACGTCCACGGCGCCCCCGTTTGCCCCGACGACGTCCTCCGCGCAGGCGCGCAGGCGATCGAGGTCCGTCACGTCGCATTGCATGAAGCGCGGGAGCGGCGTCTCGCTCTTCTCCGGATACGTCGAGCGGAGCGAGGCGAGGAGCTTCTCCGCCGACGAGGTCGATATATCCAGGAATACGACCTTCGAGCCCTGCAGCCAGAAGTTCTCGACGCACGACGCCCCGATGCCCTCGGCGCCGCCGGTGATCAGGACCGTTTTGCCCCGCAGGCTGGGGTAGGTTGCGTATTGTTGGGCCATGATGGCGGGCGGGAGGGCGAGTGGCGTGCGGAGTAATTTAGATAGTAGCACCTAGCGTTAGATACCTAGGTAAGGGGATTTATTTTTAACCTTAGGCTAGGGTAATTGTACGATAATAGATTTAGTTGAGATCGAGTCAGGGAAGCGGGCCGTGGGTGGGTTAAATAATTTGCTTAGAACGCTATGATCTGGGGTATTTCGGGGGTGGCTTAATAAAGGCGGGCTTAGAATTTTAGAATGCTGACGGAACGCATTGTCTTCGGCGTCCCAAAAAGCAAAAGTGTTGTCATACCGTCTTCGATCGAACCCACAACGACCGATCGGAGCTGCGAGTTCGGTGCCACGACCGGCATCAGGTAGTGAGGGGTGGGCAATGGTAGAATTGGAGATCCTTCTCCCTCGAATGATTTTATTTATTCGCTTCTAGAATGTGTCCAACCAAAATGCCAGTGCTCCAATACACCAAACACCATTATGCTGATTCCCTTTTCCCTTTTCCCTTGTCTAATTCGATTTTACGCAGTCCCAAATTCCCAGATTTACAAAATGAAGTCCCTACTGGACTAAGGAGACCGGTCCGAAGTCTATCAGAAAACTTGCCGACCCCACTTGAGGGACCAGTCGAGAATGTCGCCGATCGATGAATTTCTGCTTGCGGTCTATCCAAGACTGAGCAGAAATTTTGCACTCGTCGTGCATATATATGAAAGTTGCCAGAGGTAGAGAGTGACACGGATGTTGGCGGTCCACAGGCGAACGGGGTCGTTATCAGACTCAAAGAGAGACCTATGGTGATAGGGGCTTTGTGTACAATTACTATACCTGACGAGAGTTGACTGTTCCTCTGTTGTTGGCCGATAACGCTCATGACTCCCCCGCCAGGAAGCATTGCAGGCGGACCTGATGACAGATCAGAGTTCCAACGTGGTAGTGCTAGCTCCGTCAGGTATTGTAGCAGTGATCGTGAGCCCCCCCTAATCCAAACAATTGACCAAGGCATGAAAGCACGTAAGACTCTATGTCCAACAAAAACCTTGATTGGACTTCAAGAATCTACATTTTTTTGGGTTTCAAAGGACAATCAATTCGATGAGTCGCAATCCTTCTTCGCCATCCCAGGTACCATGTAAAGGCATCTGGGTAAATGATACTAACCCACGAGTTAGATTTGAGACACGTTTCATGAGCAACGGCCACACAAAGCTGCGTAATCTGTAGCTCGGAACTACTCACTGGTAGCTTCCAGTATAGCATCAATCGCATCATCCTATCTGCTGCTCATTCTCGAACCCAGACAGAGTGGATATGTGATCCCTTGGCATCTTTGGTGGCTTCCCGAATACTTCAGGCGTTATAAGAAGGTAGAACACCTATCGTTCGGACCCTGATTGGTGACAATGACTCATGGCGACATTCTCGCAACTACCATCAATTTCTTGGTAGACTTCGTGCATAACGGAGCTGTCGCTATAATTTTATCTCGACAGCCGTATCCTCTGCTTTCCTGTCATCCTCCGGTGTGGTGTATAAGCTTAGATCGTTCGCCGAGCTGCCATAGACAGGAACACCGTCAATTACTTTGTTAGAGTGTGTAGGGTGCCGGCTTAAATTACTTGTCGAGCTACCGCGACTGACTGGCATACCCCCATCCATAGATCTATCCCATGTTGCGGTACGCCGGCTTGCGGTGGTATGTCGGCTTGCTATCGAACTGCCGCGACTCACTGGAACTTTCCCCTCCATGAGTTTAGCTGGAGGTGGTGGTTGTACCATCCATCGAACAGTGCCCTTGAGGTCGTGTCGTCGCACAATGGGCGGGTGATAATCATTAACTGGCGGGTTAACAGGGAGAAAATAGCGGCTTCCTTCATCCTCGTCATCGCTGAGTTGTCTGGCATCCTTATTTAAGCTCGATTCGAGGAAGCGACCAGCTGATGATCCCGCGTGCTTAATCGCATCCATCAGCTTGTGGCCAGTTCGAGACAGCTCTGATCCCCATAGCTCTTCATCCTCTCTCTGCTCAGAAAGAATGAGTCAGTAATCACCACCTATGACAAGGCACTTGGAACATTGCAAGAGCTTCCTCATGGAAAAACGGAAGCCCTTGTTTGAAAAGGTACCCCTCCTTTTGACATGAGTCAAACAGGGAGATGAGAAATTCAAAACCACTGACCTGATAGCGCCTATGATTCCAATCATGCGGGATGTCAGTTGTTGTGACAGGAGATAATTCATACCCACTCTCACTTCTACGCGACGAAGCATCCAGGTTGGTGATGGTAACAACGCTTACCCCACCAATGCTCGCATTAGGCTTCTCGTTTTCCTTTGCTCGAGAGATAGTGTCACTGTTCGTACTGTCAGTACCAGAGGTTACAACGAGGATATGACTTGTCAGGGATACCGACTTTGTAGTGGTGGTGGTGATAGTATTCGAGGTGTGATTTACAGCAATACTACTACCACCAACGCTGACAGATTCACCGCCAGAACTGGCCAAGCGTCGTTGGCTGGGATTTCTGTATTTCTTGCGCTCAAGATGCGGCCCCACTGTCATTTGCAGGGTCAGTAAAATTCAGGGTATCCAGTATCTATACCTAGGTAAGGGTATCACGAGATTGAGTGTGAGGGATGGAGATATGGGAGGGGAAAGGAGAGCAGTCAAGGCTACATACTGCTGATCTCTTCTGACCAGTAAGGGTTGGTCTTGAAAGGTTCTGGCTGATTGTAACCCCCCGGTATAGCGTGTTCCAACTGTTGTGCCTCACGCTGCCTTCTAGCCTCTTTCTTGAGGCGACGCTGATGTAATGTCTGATGGCATGGCGAGCAAGCGGCCACGTAAAAAACCAGGGACTGAAGTGCGTGAAAGAACGACATGATAACTAGGAGAAGTAAGTATGACGATTGTCAGGATGCACAAGAACAATTGCTTACATAAAATAGGCAACGAAGTGATGTATGTTGAGCGCCTAGATATTGGGCAACAATAAGCGCGATATACAGCTGCCCGGTGTGATGTGATCCTGTCGTCACCCAGCACGAGGGAAGGTGCACAACGAATGATACAAGCGCAAGTATGATGAGAGAAGTAACGCAATATGGGATAATGAGATATGATACGAGGGGTGTCACACCCAATGGGTACCTAAATATTGGGGCACCAGGTGTGAGAGTTGATAGAAAGTACTCCGGGTGGGTAATAAAAATAGTATCGAAGTAAGCACGTGGCGCTGAGACGTTGAATGATCAAAGGAGGCTGTGAATGACGTTGACGGGATGAGCCGAGCGCGTTGTGTGAAAAGAACTGGGGAATGTTAAGGAATTGATGTTTGTCGCAACAGTGCAATCAGTTTAAGGAGTCGTCGAGTGGTTAGGTAGGGAGCAGTGAGAGAGCAGTGAGGGAGATGGGAAGAGAGGCTGCTCTCAGAGGCAGGAAATGCCTACGAAAACCCAGCCGGCTCCCCCCCAAGAAGCTCCGTTTCTGCCGTCCAGATGTGATGATGGCTTCCAAGGTGTCTGTAACGGTCGCAAGTTGGACGGCGATGATGAATATCGAAGCTGAGAGGACTGTTGGACGGAAGTGGCCAGGTGCGCATGTGAGCTTACGCTAGGCAAGTAAGTACTATGTAATATGAGCGAGCGGGTACAGAGTCGGGCGAATAGGGGCAGATGGAGCTCTGTCTCATTTAAAGTTGGGCTTCATCGAGAAACAGGCAATTGACGTGCCAATTGGTCGCGGCCGCATGCAAACAACACCACCAAACACAGGTCACAGGTCGAATGGGTAAGAATAAGAGCATGGGAAGCATTGGGTTAACAGAAGGGAAATCGAAGGAGTGAAGCCGACTGCGACGCGGGAATATGCATGGTCGAAACGAACGAGGGTGGTTTTGGCAAGAAGACGATCAATTAGGAAGTTGGACGGGGGTGTCCTGGGGGGGCCCTATTGGGGCTGGAGGGGGTTGAAAGGTGCTAACAGCCGCCTAACAGCCACCTAAGAGTTACTGGGGCAGTACTGGGGGAGGTACCTACCCCTGGCTGCCTTGGGTGGGTACCTACCTAGGTACCTAGGTGAAGGTAAAGCCCCGCTAATGTACAGCGCCGCCGCCGCCGCTTCAATTGGGGGTCGTGGCGCGTGCCTGGGCGGTCGGTTATCACGGCGCCTCCTCCAGGTCCTCCAACAGAGCTCCAATCCCCTTCCAATCCCCAGTGTGTGGAGGGGTCGAGTGGCAAGGATCTCGAGAGGACGAGAGGTGTGAGAGAGGCAATTAACCTTAAACATCGTAACATCGTAACATCGTAACATTGCACCATGGATCGGGCCCAGTGCCTGGGTACAGACAACGTGCTGTGGACAAATAAGGAGCTTTACCACCCAGCCGGCTCTTGTAAGACTTTGGGTATTAGTATCCCTATCACGACACCAGGTACTGATTTTATCACACCAGAGCACCCATATGAATTCCACAACGGAAATACATATCGTACCACTAATGTTATTACTAAATAACTAGGAGTACAACATACAATCTGCATACAATTCTTAGGTAGGTACCTAGGTAGTCAGGAGAAGGTGCTCCGATGTAGTGTACACCGCGATTGAAACTCGCTGCCTACGCTAACTCATTCCAAACAGCAATAAAACACTCCTCCAACAACTCCGCCTCCGCCAGTTCTTATCTTTGGATCCGTGACTAAGACTGCTATCTATAGTACTATAAGTGTCATCGAATCAGGTATATTAATTGAATCTATAAGCACACGACATAATTGGCCCAAAAAGCGAGTGACGTTTGAGCGCTTGTAGGAACCAAGCCCAACTCACATATATACCTCACCTGCAGATCATATAATATCATATATGACACGCAAATGTTACATGCAAGATCGCTGCTGCTGCTGCGCCGATTCTTGCACATCACGGGCATCACAACACTACCGAAATTCTACCATGTTTTGAGCGAGTCGAACCTATCTATCTAATGCTCTGTCGACTAAACTCTGCGCTATTTCTCAGTTGACCTTTACTTCGGGTATATACGCGCATCTTCCATCTATCTTCATTCGAGTCAAATCAATACCCAAAACCCAAATAGTCTTCCCTCTCCAAGCATAAGTAGGATATACATACCCGGTGCCGATCTCCGGAAATACATAATATATATGCACGGCACTATCCGTGACGAAAAGCTCGGCGCCATGCGGGCAATATATAAAACAACGACGATCATTTATTGGACAGTCGGAACATTGATATATGAAATCAGTATCAAAACCTCAACTCCTCGACAGTCAATCCTGGTCTGAGCAAATAAAGGTAACTTAGCCCTTTCCATTCCCACAGTAATCAATCCGCGTGATTCGTTTAAGCACTCATCATCTTGACGCTCTCGAAGCAGTCCGTATTCACGAATCACAGGTAGGTAGGTAGGTAGACCCCACGCATTCAATCTTGATCAGATCATCACTCTCCCTCGCTTCTCAACCTCGTGCTTCAAATCCTCTACAGAAACATACATTCTCTGCAACCCCCGCCCCAAGTCTCAGACGAAATCAATGCGTCATTCTAAAATACAGCCCGGGAAGTATGTAAATATTACAAAGACGAAAGAGCCGCACCACATCTGCCCCGAGTGGCTGTTGCAATCTCAACTTCCTTCCTTCAGCCAAGCATATATACTTCCCCCAGATGCAAAGTCATAGGTTGTTACGCATCATTCATCTCCGAGAGAGAAAAGTTAACCCAAATTCTTTTAAAATGAAATAATATTTCACCCAAAACTGCCTAACTAGCTCAATAATAATAACGCTGTTTTAAAATATACACACACATATATGTACATACTCCCCTTATAAACCAACCTTCATACTTACACCATTTAAACCACGCCTAATAAAATAACCATCCAAGCCCTATACATACAACAAAGCAAGTTAAGTCAGCCCAAGCCGAATCCAACCACTATTACCATTACCATTCTCCCACCAAAAGCATTTACAAAGTCGTAATGAATTAGAAATCCAGATCATCCAAGTAAACCTCCACGAAGACACCCACACAGCAAACACTTTTTCCATCAAACAACCCTAGCTACAACCAAAAAAGCTTCTATCATGGACTACCTACCTAAGCCCCTCTTACGGTACTCACTCACCCGCTCGTGCAGTAGATAAATCCCTCCTCTCGAAATGACACAACCTCACCAACTCCCTTCACTGTACGTACATACCTATATACTTTAGCTTTCTTTTAAGTGCTCGCTTCCAGTCAGTCATATGAGTTACATTCGAAACAATATGCCTTAATTTACTTACTTACTTACGTTCCCAGTTATACATCCGCTGGCCGTTTGCGACGTAGATGACCATTTGCGATTTAGGCGCTTAACAATAGAGCTTCCTTCATAAACCTTTACCACACGTACAATAGAGTCTAACCCATGGGGCTGATATTGACGATCGGCATATCACTCTTCATCTTCAATCCGGTGACGAAGAAAATTAGCGAGTGTTAACCAAGAAAGAAAGGTAAGAGGTGCCAGTACCATTCACTCCTCAAGTAACTCATACCACTCCGGTATCTCTTTGATCAGACCCCACATATACTTCTCCAGCTTAACTGCGCACTTATTATATACCGTCGATGCATCATTATATTGACGACAGTTATTAAACATCAATTTAAGATCGTTGATGAGGTCTTTTGGAGTGGTATATGCATCGGTCCCAAGTTTTTCTTCTATAGTTGATAGATCGATTGGTGAAGTAATAACGTCGTAATAATCAGTAACGTCGTCTTTGTTTACCGGATGAAGGAAGGGCCATGCTTGTTTATGAAATTGGATCTGAGATAAAAAGCGTCGAAGCTCGTTGAAATGGGGTCCGTGGCGTGGTTCTCGTGCCAGCTCATCCATACCAGGAGACCAACCCGTTGTCCGTATGGCAGGGATAGAGAGTGGATCGATAGGTATAATATTACCGTTAGCCCATTGTTGAAGCGGCTGATAAATAATGTTACTTTTGCTTAGGAGCCGAATTTTAGCTTGAACAGTTTCTTTTTGCTTAAGAAGCATACGACCAACTTCAAGATAGCGGATGCGGGGAAGCATTGTACATTGCATAAGTGTGCCCCCTTCATAATCTTTTATATAACCCATCCAAATCGACTTATTTAAAGTGATCTCTTTTGTAAATCCTTGTTTTTGGAAATAACCGGTTGCATAATTGTCAGCATAAGTTAAAAAGTGCATCACAGGGGAAGTAGCTCTAATATAGTCTTTCAGATGAGCCATAAGATGAGCGCCGTATCCTTTTACTTGTTGGTCGGATGCAACTGCACAAAAAACAATTTCGGCAAATTGACGGTTGCGAAATTCACGGATTGCTATTCCGCCGATGACTTCGAGAGGATGTTTAATAATGGCAATCGATAGATGTGTACGATCGTAAACGAGACGTGCGATGTAATCTTTAGGCATCTTCGGGAGTTGTTTCTGGAAAAGGCACTTGAGGCCTGTAAGAATAATCATGGATTCTCGATCGCCATCGTTATTGACGACTCGGAACTCGATCTCGCCATTTCGCTCTTCTAAAACTGCGGGCTTCAAGGCGGTCAGGCTTAATCGAAACTTTGTTTTGGGGGGGGAGGGGGGAAACCTTGTCTGGGAAAGGAATCCTCTGCTGTATGATAGGGCGCTCAACACCTGAATCCGAGGGCGCATCATGGGATGCCTTGATTCTTTTAGCATCGGCGTCGACACGTAACTCTTCTGAAGCTATGCGCTTTGCTGTAGGGTGATCTCGCCTGGGTTCAGCCGCAAAAGACTGCGCCTCTTCTTTGTTCGGATCCATTGATTGATGTTGGTGTGATGTGTTAGGTAGAAGCGGATGTACGCCGTAAATGCGCGGTTGGATGGCTGGGAAACTGCATATCACGTGATGGACCCAGCTCATAGACCGGCCAATCAAATCACACTGCTTCTTCCGGTCTGTCAGGAACAGGCTCTCGAGGCTCTTACACGCAGCGCCAGAGACGGCGCATAGCGGGCGCTAAGCCCTACCATCTAGTCCTGCTAAACCACGTAGGTGTCAGTGCCACCTCTTTCTTTCACGAGGCAGGAATGCCTTGCTTCTCAGGCTCGTTCCGAAAAGGCGTTGGCGGACCCCGTAGGAGCCCGGTCTCCTGTGCTATTATTAGGGAGGGAAAACTCTGAAGTATAGCGATCGAAACTGCGTACTAGTACGGAACGCACCAGCTGTCGGTGTCGTGCCAGTCCGAGGCTGTACTGGGACGGGTTTGGAAAAACCAGCACCGAGAACGCCATGCTGGTACGATATCTGGACCTGGGCCAGTACGGCCTGGACCGGTACGGGGTTGGTCGACGGACTGGTACGATAGCCGGACCAGTACGGAGGTTGGAGTCCAAAATATCCATCACCGTTAGTATTGGCTTACAGTGCCAAGCCTGATGGAAATTTGCGACCACAACCTACGTACAGCTGGAACAGCACAGATTAGGACCACGTACTGGTACGAACCCAGACCAAGTACGACTCCATGCTAAGTACAGCCTTGGATAGCGGACCAGTACGGATAAGGACCCTGTACCAGTACGACCTTGGACCGGTACAGGCTCTACAGGGCTCGAATACACTAAGAACTTCCCCCTGAACCTGTACTGGTCCGGAACTGTGCTGGTACAGACTTGCACCCGTACTTGTGCGGTAACAAGATGCCCGACCAGTACGCTTGCAGCTGACCAGGGTATATTTCTGTTCATATATAAACAAAGTCTATGCTTGGTCTAGTAAAGCGCGGTAGCTGGCCTGATAGCAGAGCAGGTACTATGTAAGCAGAGCACCTTCCTCGACACTATGTGCCCTATTTTTTGGAATTGTTGGACCCGACAGCTTGGATCCGAGGCATTATCAAGAGGTGGGCGGTTGTAATAGCCAGTAGCATCGTGGGATAAGTCTACTTAGGTGGGCACAGATGGCTCCTAGTATCGATTAGGCAGTGTGCTATGCACAATCCCTGCACGGATTCTTGGTTAATCTGCGGCTGGTTTACGGAGTATAAGAGGAGGAGAGAAGAGGGAGGTAGCTTTCAAGATATTTTACACTTTGCCTCTCGTCTAGCTATACGGTAATCTGTTCCGTTCAAACATGGATTCTCAACAGCGTGGTATTTCTCCTTGTACGGCGATTGACATATATACAGCGCAGTGGACACAGACCTTGACTGGGATAAAGTCGCAATATACCGAGACAGAGCAATCCGAAGCGGTTTGTTTTAAGGAAGAGCGGGAGTTACTTCTCGAGAAATTACAACTATTACAAAGCAACTATAATACCGCCGTTAAAGATCGCAAGCAGGATTATACTACAAAACTCGAAGCCCATATCAAAACACTTGCCGAATATCATGTAAGTCCAGTCGTCAAAGCTACCTAGTCTGTTTACGGCTAATACTATCCTCAACAGTTTTCTACTACTCGGATGGAGCAGCAGGTCGAGCAAAGCTAGCAAATACTAAACATACCTACTGCCGTTAATAATATACCCAGCGCCTAAATACAACATACGATCGTAGTTCAGTCGCTAGACTTCACTCCCAGGGTTGAGGGGAACGCATAGCTAAACTTAACTGAGGTCTCGGAGGCAGGAAGAAGCTCCGACTTACCCGAGAGGCCATGTCTGCGCCGTCGGCGGAATTCGAGGTCTACTGGCTCGTATACCCGAAGTAGCCCATGTGCCGCAAGGCCGCGGCGAGGGCTTCGGCGCCACAGACAGACAGATCGCATCATAGTGACCAACGCTAGCAGCAACTTCGACGGCGATATAGCAGGGTGTGATAATGCTGATAACCGAGAGGCCGGGTACGTTGCTACCCCAATCGCAGGGACGGTGTGCTGCGGCATACTGGGAGTTCTCGAAGTTCTAAAAGTTCTAGTACGCGGCTGTCGTGCTCCCCACCGGAGGTTTTGAAAGCATCAGCATCCATAGCTCTCTATCCTAAACAAGCCTTGCAAAAAAGTACATCCCGGTCTGTTACTGTTATGACAAACGAGAACGAAGCATATTTGGGTGGGAGAGTGGATACGAGGACGGTGGTCCAAAGGCAAATAGCCGGAAGTTCCCAGTGTGGTATCTCGACGAGGACCTAGACATAACACCCGAGGGGCATTTCTCGATACCTAGCGAGTCCCTACTTTGTTGGGAATCTGTTAAGCGGCTTAGACCATTAGACCTTTGCGATGCAGCTTCTCGCTTAGTAACGGGTTTTGAAACCGCGGTCAAGTTTAGTGCCAGGCTGAAAACAATTCAAAAGCAGGCGTTGATACAGAAAGGCCGACTACTTCAGCAGGTGAGAGTATGTTTCCCCAGCACTAGTGGTGGCTAGTGAATATTAACTCATATTGTAATAGTAGAAGAGACATGCCACGTACGGTCTGCTCCGAGTGTTGCTATCAGATGCGAGAGTCCGCCAGACCTGGCATCCCCGGACGCGACGGATTGTCGCTTAAGCCAGATTGACGGCGAGGCTCGCCCTGAAAATAACATGGACATCCCACGGCCTAGATGCTCTAGTATTATCGAGCAACCTAAAGCTTCAGATGACGCACCTCTCGAAGAACCTGAAGCACAGAGAACAGGCATTAGTATAGATACAGAGGTATAGTGCAGGACTCTAGATATAACACTATGTTTTCGCTACTAACTAGATGACTAGAGTTATACACATAATCACAATCCTGACGGCCAGGGAAGTCGCAGCATAACTGAAACCAGATCTTGTAAGGCGTTAAAGGCCAACATCAGCTATATACTTAGCAATCTAGCAGAGGAGATGCAGACAATAGCCGTGTCCACCTATACTCTGCCGGCTCTCAGGGGGACTACTTTACCACTTTAATAAGCCAATAGAATACCGCAATACTTGGATAACTTAGACGCGTTCTACTCGCAGCCAGCATGTGCTTCACGCTCTAGCTGGGCCCCGATTGTACATGCGAGCAACTTCCTAGGGACGTCGCTCAACCAGAAGGCATTATTTCAAGGTTTATTTCTCTCTGCATAAAGCAATACATAAATGCACAATGGCCGTTTCACAGTCACCTGACTGATAGCTGGCTGAGCCGAGCCTGAGAAAAAGCGGCAAGTGCGCTAAGCCTATTTTGGTGCATACTTGGCATTTGGTAGAACCTAGAACCTTTTCCCATCTCTGCCCCAATCTTGTCTCCAATCTGTGGTCTCCTGCATGCTACAAAGTGATCTACCGGTACCTACAGACCAGATACAGAGTCCTACCAATCCTCAATCCTCAATCCTCGACCTGAATGCCTATTATCCATTGTTGTCTCACCAGAGTACACACATCATAGCACAACCGATCCCAGCTTGGAGATCGAGTCGAATCCACGCAACCACCATCAGTCGCCATCTGTATCGGCACACACATATACTCGCCAACAAACCAAGGCGCTTGCCTATTACGTACCATCCGCTGTCTCCTTGGCATGCAAGGGCCCTGAGAGAGAGAGCTCTTCTCGGCTGCATCAGGACCAGGCAACTCCTTCACCTCTATCCTGCTGATCTGGCCTGATTGACCATCAACCCAACTATCCATCCCTCCCTCTGCCACAAGCTCAATCGGCGAATCCATTGAACTTGACTTCCCATCACAGGAGTCTTGATCAGTGGCCACCCCTATCCTCCTTCTACCCTCCTTCTACCCTCCATCACAAGATTGGTGAATGGCCATTCGCTAGTCCATCTTGTGCAACCCATCCAATCTTACACAAGCTTGCCACCACCTCCTTTTTGTGGCCGTCCTCGCAGCTTCACAGCATCATTTGGAGTCCTGCAAGCCTCTTGTTCCTTTTGTCATCCCTATACCTAGCATAATCCCCTGACTACTCTCTTTTTCCTACTACCCTAGATTACTTTCTCGCATATATACTACAGGAACCTCAACCATGGATTCCCAGAAAGATAGCTCCTCCACATTGGCAACCACCATCGGTGGCTATGCTGTTATTGCCGCTGCCCTCGGAATATGGCTATATGCCTCCAATAAAAAAGAACAGAACCGCAGGTCACATGTGGTCAAGCAGCCTACCAAACACAATGACAAAGCCATTGCAACAGAGAGCAAAAAGAAGACCGAGAAAGCCCAAAAGCCCAAGCCCAAACCTGCCCCGGCACCCTCCGAGCGAACCGAGCCGGCCGCAAGCTATGATAGAGAAGAGGCCGAGAAAGCCGACAAGAAGGCCGACCGCGACTTCGCTCGTCAGCTGTCCAATACCCATGCTGGCACCAAGTTTAATACCAAAAAGGCAGACGAGAAGCGACAAAAATCAGTTAAGCAGTCCAAGGCACAAGAGTCCGTGCCGGACAAAATCTCGGCTCCCTCGTCCACTGCCGGAGATGCCGATGATGATCTGTCCCCTCAGGTATCCCCCGTCGTTGCAGCCGCCGACAGCACAGGGGTATCCGACATGCTTGAGCCTGTCGCCTCAGGCCCATCTGTACTCCGTCTAACAGGTACCGATTCGGTCAAGAAACCTAAAGAGAAAAAGGCGAAGGCACCTGAACAAGTTGAGACTAAGAAACAACGCAACAATCGTAAGAAGGCAGAGGCGGCTAAGTTGGCGCGCGAGGAGGCTGAGAAGGAACGCCAAGTCTTGATGGAGCAACAGCGACGAACTGCTCGTATCGCTGAAGGTCGTCCTGCTAAGGACGGGTCTGCCTTCGTAGCCGCACAGAATGCCTGGGATTCCAAGCCCGCCAATGATAAGGCTTCTGTCCAGCTACTGGACACATTTGAGGAAAAAGCAAAGTCGGAAAACATTAGGCGTTCAGGTTCCGCTTCAGCAGCTCCTACAACGAAGGCCACAACTTCGTCAGACCCCTGGTCAGGTCTGCCTTCTGAGGAGGAACAGCTCGAAATGATCCGACAAGAGGATTCGTGGAATGAAGTGAAGACCAAGAAGAAGGGCAAGAAGAAGGATGCTGCCGCTGAGGTCCCGGCAGTTTCGAGCCAACCTACCAATGACAACACTACTACTGCCCCGACTATAACCAGTTCCAAACCTGGTAGCGGCGCGAAGAAACCCGTCATTACCAGCAGTAGCTCTTCCTTTGCTGCCTTGACGCCTGAAGAAACAGGTGACGACGATGAGCCTGAGGAGGAGTGGGATGTATGATGTGCTCAGCAAGATTGAATCTATCGAGTTCCAACATGCCCTCGAAAGGTTGCTTCGTCCCAAATAAACCTGCTTACTCACCAGCACTTTTGCAGATCTGACTCATTTTCATGTTTAGACTAACGGTTGCCTTGTACACTATTTCTACGCCGCCATACCTTCCACCACACATCATAGGCATCTGACGCCTTTGCTATACTGCAGATGGGAATTGGATTGGTGGATCCAGGCGTACGGTTTGAAAAAGAAGGCAGCGCTAGCCACTCTTGCATTGTATCATTGTTTGATTGTTGTACACTCTGTTTGCTAGCGACAGCCACATGGACGGGGTTTCAGAAACCCTGTCTGTCTCGGCGTCCACACTTGGTTCAAGACATCGTGGTCCAAAAAGGTTTTTACAGGGAGCTTGTACTTATTTACAGCTAGCCTTGTCGCGACTTCTCTAGCCAACTACCTATCCATTGATACACCCGTGCCAATTCCTTGTTTCATAAGCCCCTTACGCGATAACGGCGTTTATTGTCTTTGGTCACTGCCATTTGTTTTTGAAGTCGATACAGCATAGTACAGGGGGGTTTTGAAGGAAGACGTTTGCGTGCGCACTCTAGCTTCGTGTTTACACCCTGATTCAAACCATGGGTACGCTTAGATAGTCAGTTCGAATGTACTCTGTCTAGATTATATGGTTAAAAGAGGTGATTGTGACAACTTGATAGTTCAGATGATTTTGATGTGAAACGTGAAACTTGATGAAAATTACCCTTGTGTCGAAAGTCCGATATAAACCTTTGGGTTGAATAGTTGTGCTATAGGTATCTAGATAATTGAAGAAGGTAAGATTAGCAGATTTGCTAGAACGGGCAAATACTTGCCTACCTGCTTACCTACTTACCCGGGTTTTACTACTGTAGGTCAACCAAGAGTAACTTTAACATGCGTGTAGCTTAATAATTTTACACTAGGTCTGACAAATATAAGAAGTTCACTCTAGGCTTTCAGAACCTTCACTTATAGGCATGGATGAGGCACCCTAATCGAGTCGTTGAGCAGCTGTCTGGATGATGAATCGAGTTTCTGAACCAACGATACGAAATCGCGAAAAGGGTTGCTCCTTTACCTAGGCTCTGATTTATGGCTTTCAGACATACTATCTAGTCTCATGGACTTCCATATTCGCAGGAAGGAGAAAAAGACGTGCCATGCGTATGAGAAGCCAGACATCTCAATATGATTGTGGACGTTGATCGGTGTACATTGAGTGACTCCTTGGGTACATATTCTCAGATAGGCGATGATCAGGTAATTAATTGGCTAATCAATATTTATTAACGAGATTCGTATTACCTATATACATAGTAACTTGAATTAGCATTCGACAATTCGTGCAGAAGAATCGGGATCTCATTACTTAAGTACCCTACCAAACCTACACCTCCGACCGCAGGTGACCGACGGAACGGGCACGGCGTGCTAAACGAAGGGCGCGCCCCTCCCTCCCTCCCTAAGTAACTAAGCACAAGCAGCAACCCATAACCCGCATTCTCAACATCTCAAACCATACCTACCAAGAAGAACTCAATATCGACTAATTAGTGAAATCCAATACGCAGAGATAGCTTCAAACCCATTATTTCTCACGCCCGATATATCCGTAACCATGGCGCCCAAAAGAAGAATCATCATCGATACCGATCCAGGTAGGTACATAGCGTAACCCACTCAGCACAACCCCTCATTCAAGCCTCCCTATTTACCAGAGACGTACATCACATCAAGCAAAATATGCGACAGACAGACGGACATGCATACATCTACACATACATCCAGACAAGACACCCATAAAACAACAGGACCAAAACCAAAACAATGAAAACCCCAGCTAGCTAACACCCATCTTAAAACGTAGGCGGCGACGACACCCTCGCCCTCCTCCTAGCCCTCTCCTCCTCCCCCGAGGATCTAGAAATCGTCCTGATCAGCGTGACATACGGCAACGTGACGCTCGCGAGCTGCGGGCGCAACGTGATGGGTCTTTTCAAGGTCCTCGACGCCGAGCTGAGCTGGCGCAGGGCAAGCGGTAGACCCCTCGGCTTCGAGGGTCTGCGGGCGTACAGGCCCATTGTTGCCCTGGGGCCTGAACATGCCCTCGAGGATGAGATTTTGGTGGTTGATAATTTTCGTGAGTTTTGCCCCAATACGTTTTTTTTTTTCTTTTCTTCTTTTTTCTTCTTTTTCTTAGGATATGATATGAGTGATATGTACATGATTACATGAAATGAGTCTGATATGAAATACGTAAGATGTATTTTGTTATGACTGACTGATTGATTTTGGCACAGATGGTTCGGATGGATTGCATGGTGTTCATGAAGCTGTATGTCTCCTTTTCCTATGTGTAGCTTGAGATTTATTTAATGTAGGTGTGAATTACTGATGAGTCCTCGGTAGCATCCTCACCTATCTCCTGAAGAGACTTGGAATGCCATATTCAAACATGATGGCGAAAGCGTCACAGACCCTCCTTCTTATCACCAGTACTTTACACCCTCCAAGACGCCAGCGCACAAAGAGATTCTAAGAATCTTGAAAGAGGAGCCGGCGGACACAATCTCTATATGTGCCGTGGGACCACTGACAAACCTGGCGCTGGCTGCGTCCGAGGACCCGGAGACCTTCCTCAGAGTCAAAGAGATTGCCATCATGGGAGGAGCAGTCGATGTCCCGGGGAACGTCACACCCGTAGCTGAATTCAACACATTTGCGGATGCTGTTGCCACCGCGCGGGTGTTTGCCTTGACATCTCCCACCCCTGCCTCGACTATGCCCCCGATACCTGCCGGTAAGTCTACCCTACCGCCGTACCCGGAGAAATTGTCAAGGCAGCTCAAGATAAGCCTGTTCCCTCTCGACATTACGACACCCCATCTTCTGAACATGGGATATTTCGAGAATACGATTCAAGCACAATTATCGGCGGGGAGTCCATTGGGGACGTGGGTGAACACGTTCATGTCCGGCGTCTTCAAGCAGATCGTCACCATGGTGGGAGACGCCGAGGAACCCGGGCTGTCGCTGCACGATCCATTGACCATCTGGTACATGCTCACGGGTTCGAGCCCGGAATGGAAGTTCGCAGCTGGTGCGCCGGAGGATATCCGCGTCGAGACGACAGGGCAGTGGACCCACGGCATGCACGTAGTGGACCGTCGAGGACGAGTGCGTGCCGACGGGGTAGCCAGGGAAGAGATTCCCGGTGACGACCACGGCTGGCTCAGCTCCAAGAGGGGAAATAGGATTGATAGATTGGTCAGCAGTCCTGGTTACGATGCATTCGCGCCATACCTAATGGCGCGTTTGTTCGAGTAGAATAGCATCGATACAGATAGATCGCAACTCTAGGCTTTTTTTTTTCTTCTTTTTTTTTTTTCAAACAGGTAGAGTCATCCATCCATGCAGGATTTGACCATGAGGGTGTCAGCGAAATTGCAATAATGTCATGGTATCATTCGGTAAAGAGCATACCCTAAGAAGGATCGATCCCTCGCAAAGCCAAAACTTGTCCTCAACGCCAGTAAATGCGGTCGTCCATGACCGGTCGTATGAATCTCATTTCTTCTTTTTCTTCTTTTCTCCCTTTTTTTTTCACCATCCACGATATTATATGTGCTTGATACCACCAATTGCCGAGCCTTTCACTTGTTCCCAGTTGATGCTGTCGTCGAGAGCTTCATCGACCAACCCCACTACGCAGACATTGTCTCCTCGTACTATGTAGAGACCTAATGGCACCTCTGTGGACGCCTCGTCGTCGTCAGGTGTTCGTATAACTCGTTCGATGGTCTGGCCGAGGACCTGCGATGGATATGTCGTTAGCTAGCTTCCTGAGAAGGTCCTAGGGTTCATCGTCGTAAGGGCACGTACTAAGTTGGTTTGTTGGTCACAGCTTAATAAGTTTCCGACCAATGTTCTCGAATCAGCCGTAACAATAAGGACCTTTTCTACACACTTGTTAGTCTTGCTGAAGCAAACATGCAATCAGGCTAGGGCGATATGGGCGTTGGAGAGGTTCACGCACTGTTAACGTAGCTGTGAAGGTTGGACATTCTGCCAGAGCTCTACGGCGGGCGTAGGAATTGTTGGTTGGAGTTCCTAGCGTTTGGTAGTTGATAGCCAATGGTGAGCAGTGATGGAGCGGAGCGGAGGCCGTTATGCAACGAGAGATGAACTCAGGATGTGGCGTTTGTTGCGGTCGCAAAAAAGGGAGCTTTCGGTTTTCTTGCTCTTTGGTCTCTCTAGGCAGAGCAAAGTAGAGGTCTCCCTCAGGTAGCTACAGGCTGGGATGGTTGGAGGTACATGGGTACATGTCAAATCTCACTCAATGCCTATACCTAACAGGGAAGTACCGGTACCGGTAACCTTCCAGCGAAGTGATTCGGCTGAGCACAACTGCCGGTCAGCTGTGGACCTGTCTGCCAGCACACCGGGCCAAGCCAGCCAACACTCAGTCAAGCCATCCGGAAGATGACAGTTGCGGATTAAATTTGGAAACTGGTCTCCATACATCAATTCAACATCTAATTTTGAAGTGGTGTATGGTGTATATGCACGGCGACATAAGGGCAGTAACGGAGGACTGCTAACAACCTCCAAGTCTAGGATAGAAAGAAACCCAGCCCTGCCTGCGCCAGCATGACCGTGTGCTAACAAACCGTTCCGATTCGTCAAAGATGCATCCCTAGAAGGAGCTGATGGGGAAGAAATTCCCAAAATAATTTCATCACATCGAACATTGAGGTTTGAAAAAGAGTTCTTTTGATACCACCGCAGGGAGGATTTAGGGATGAAGTTTGCTAACTACTAGGTATCTACATAGTACTATAAGGTCTGGTAAGGGTCTGGTAAGGGAACTTCTTCGTGCAATGGACAAGTTCATCGGGAATTAAAGCAGTGGCTATCTATCTCCTGAGTCTGCCTTGGCCAATCAACCCCAGAACGACGACTTGAAACGCGTTTCAAAGGAGGCGAGGGAGGGGCCGTTAGTGGAAGCTGCACATCTGAAAGCTCAAGTGATTGGCCCGTCGTTTCCACGGTCCCTTGACCCACCAACCCTGCGATGCCCTGTGACCTCATTCGCCGCCGTACTGCAGTCATGTACCGCCAGCGCGATCCGGGGATTGGACGGCTCTTTTTGGGTCGGCCAAACCGTCATTCGCGAGGCCAATGCGGAGAGTCTGGGAGAGGGAGAAAGGGAGAGATATGAATAAGGGTTATACATATAATCTAGTAGTGGTATCTCGAGTCAAGATACTAAAACTTAATCTGAACTCATCTATAAATCATCATCACCACCACCCGCCGGCTAACTCTTGACCGCTCCATTCTTGTGTCATTCATTCCACACATTCCAGTTTCCTTACTTTGCTCATTTTTTTTTTTTTTTTTTCATATCTCTCTCCTCAATACAAGGCATTTGTATACCTGCTCTTGACCTGCCATCTTGTGATCAGCAGTGTTTTCCCATCACCACCTTTGATCACCCCACACCAAGGACAAAGGCAGCCTTTGATCTACACATCACAAATACCCCTGCGAATTCCCACAACCGCCCGCTCAATTTCCATACTCACCACTCATTCGTTTGATACGAACCTTTTTTTCGCTTCTTTCACTCATTATATTACGCTGAGCTAGTCTCAGTACACAAGAATCCCCCAAAGAAAACATCAACCCCAGAACGGTCAAGTCAAAGATGAAGTACTCTACCGCTATCTCCGCCGGCTTGGCCCTCGTCGGCTTCGCCTCTGCCGCTCCTACCTCGGTGGAAGCCCGCGCCGTGAAGTCTGCAGCCCAGATCATCGGCGAGATCGCCCCAAACTCGCTCACCTGCGCGGACACCAGCGCGACCTCTGAATGTCGCACCAATGTGCAAGCAGCGCCCTTGTTCATCCATGCCTTCAAGGAGTACAGACTGTTCGACTACGGGCAGATGGCTGCCGTGCTGGCCCTGACGTCGCTGGAATCCGTCGACTTCCAGTACAAGCACAATGTCAAGCCGGGCCGCCCAGGCCAGGGTACAAGTAACATGCAGATGATCACGTTCAACCAAGAGTACGCTGCTTCCATCGACGCCCTCAAGGACCCGCTAGCCGCCATTGGAACCGCCGATACCCCCGAGAAGCAGAACGCCGTCCTCGCCCTCGTCAAGGACGACAAGTACAACTTCGCCTCCGGTCCCTGGTTCCTCACTAAGCATTGTCCCGCCTCCGTCGATGCGCTCAAGGCTAGGGGCACCCAACTCGACGACGCCTTCAAGGGTTACATGGACTGTGTCGGTGTCACCATCGACGCTGCTCGCCAGGAGAAATGGACCCTGGCTAAGAAGGCTTTCGGTCTGTAAATTCAGCACTTTATTGTTGTATCGAGGGCATCTTTTGACGGCACGGCTTTTATCGGACGTTACGGCTGGCACGACGGCGTTTAAAGAGGGCACGGCTCATGGGCGCATCATTCATTGCATTTGCATTGAGAGACTTGTGTAACACCTGTAATACAAGTCTCTCAATCTGACAATTGCGTGGATTTAGTATATAGTTCGTATACAAATTTTGGAACAATATTTTGCTACCAGCATTATAATGCATAGATCCCTGTGATTTGAATTTAGTAAATTCCGAAAGTTAGTGAAGCCGTAGATTGAACAGACAAACAATAGACGTCACATCATGCATGTATTTCTCAAATTCCCTATGCTCTAAAAGATTATAAGGTAGTTAATACAAATTCCCAAATATATACTGCAAAGCAAATATATACAAATCAAATGAAAAATCACCGCCACGAATCCGACCTCGTCACCCCACTATCGCACGCCGTCGGCACCGTGAACGAGCGGTTGGGATCAGACTCCCACGTGACCGCCCCGTTGGAACCGACCTTGATATACTTGTACTGCACGGTCGTGCCAGGCGGGAGATTGACCGTGCCGCGCCAGAGATGGTTCGACGACGTATACTGCGATGCGTCGAGGGCGATGGCGCCGCTCGGACTCCAGCTGCCTAGGGCCGGGATGTTGCCTAGGCTGTAAGGGAACGGTTGTTAGCGCTTGATCTAATCTTTGTGGAACTGGGATCGGTGGGATAAGAAACATCGGCGGAGAAATAAAATTGGTAGGGATCAGAGGGAGAGATGGGATGTGGGGGGAAGGGAGCACAGAGATCTGAGGAAAGGAAAGGAAATTGGGTGTGTGTTACATCTTGATTGTTTCTCCGAGGCTGGTTGTCACGATCTCGTTGAATGTTATGGGGACCGAGGTGCAGCTGCCACTGCCGCCACCGTTGCCACCGCCGTCGCCGCCGCCGCCGCCTCCGCTATTACCTGAACACAGATGGACAGCAGTTAGTACCTTATTACCCCGAGAACTGGAAATAATATAGACCTGACCCGAGGGCATGGTAATGGTAGATATATAGATCGGAATCTCAGTGACCCGACCCGGCATATGTGCCGATGTAGTTCGATCGCACGTCACGAATTCCACGCCCGTGTGTCGTTGCTTGCTTACTCGCGGGCTTGCTGCGAAAAGGGCCTCGTCCCCAACGAAAGAAAAATAAAATCAATCACTTACCACCGCACACCCCACTCCCAGCCAATTTCGCGGTGGGGAAGAACACCTTCGTCTCGGGCCCCTGCGAAAACGACAGCGTGCCGCTCCCATCCGTCGTCACGCTCGTGCACGACATGACCTCGGTAAGGGCCTGGTTGGCCGTGAAACCAGTGTAATCGCTGTTCAGCGTGACACCGTGAGTGCCCCCGTTCGCACCAACGTTCGTGAACGAGCTGACAACCTGCGATCCCTTCAGTCCCTTGCGCAGGACAATGGTCTTGGAATCAGGAGACGTCGGCCAGGCCTGGTAGTTGATGTAGTCGTCGCCGCCGACGAAGATCGCTTGGTTCCGGATTTGGTTGAGCTTTTGGATCCACGGGTACAAGGCGTTGTTGGTCGCGTACTGCGATGTCCACAGGGGCTCGCGGTTGTTGGGGTCCTCGTCCCCGCTGAAGTGCTGCTCTTGGCCTTGGTATATTATGGGAATGCCGTCCATGAGCATCGTGAAGGCGATCGCGTTCTTGTCGAGCGCCATGTCCGATGTCAGCGCCGGGAAGCGCGGGTTGTCGTGGTTCTCGATGAATGAGCCGAATGTCTTGGTTGCCATTAGCCCTTTCATCGTGTTGATCCCGTTGAGGAGATCGGTCATTGTTGCCGAGGTCGATTGGAAGGCGCGGGTGATCCAGTAGTAGCTATAGTATCGCGTGAGTCAATGAACATGTAATGGAAGAGGGTAGGTGGAAAGGAGGGTGCGTACGCAGGGTAGTTCATTGCGCCGCTGATGTATTTCAACCAGTCGGGGAAGAGGTTCGGGTCGCCGTTGAAAATCTGTGATGTCGAGTTAGCTTCGTTCACTGCGGGAACAGATACGTTTGATCTGAATTGATGAGTCCTTTCTTACCTCACCGACGGAATAGCAGCCCGCGGCATTTTCGAAGCCAGGCCAGAAGTCTTTCTCAACATGCTGAACGGTATCAATTCGCAGGCCATCGATACCATAAGTAGAGACGAGGTCCTTGATCCATCCATTGAACGTGTCACGCACGCCAGAGTCTTCGGTCTTGACGTCTGGCAGCGGCACCTTGGTGTCACCGAGCCAGCACTTGATGATCGAGTTCTGATTGTTGTAGTCGATAGGGCAGTATGAGTGGAATTTATCGGCCGTGTTGAAAGGGTTGAACTGGCTGTAGTCGATGTTCCCGGGTGCTGAGTTCGCGGCGTAGTGGTTTACTACTATGTCCACCATCAGATACATCCCGCGGTCGTGAAGCGCCTTCGAGAGCGCCTTCAGATCAGCCTCTGTGCCGAAGTGAGAGTTGAGGGAGTAAATGTCCTGAGCCCAGTAACCGTGGTAGGCTAGACTTTCGTTATGACGGCAGTGTTAGATGTGTGAAATTCAGTGAGATTGGTAGAAGACCAACTGCTTACCCATAGGGCGTGTTGGCCTCGATGTTCTTCACCACGGGACTAATCCATACGGCTGTGAAGCCCATGTTTTGGATATCTATGATTTTTGGTTAGCACATTCATTGATGAGAGCGTAGGACTTGAACTCTTGGTCAGCTTCTCAGTACTTTGGCAGTACCATGCCGTCTGAAGAGTCGAGTGCGAGTACTTAAAACACAATTGACTTACAGTCCAACTTCTTGATAAGGCCTTGCCATGTTCCACCACAGTACGAACGCAGATTGGAACAAGAAGACGTTGAGCCATCAGTGCGTGCGAAACGGTCGGTCAAGACTTGGTAGATCGACTGTTTGGTCCAGCCATTGGTTGAAAGGGCCTGAGCGCCAGCCGCAAGGGCCGCCAGGAATGTCGCAGCTTTCATCGTGACGATGTTCACTCAAGGATGCAGATGGTTGAGCAAGCGTTGATCAGCATGAGATAGAGCTACGGATATGTGTTACTTTATGTTCGTGAGATAGAGCGCCGGGCCATGCAGAGAACCACCAAGTAGCCGTGGTAGCCGACCATGGTCTCATGATGCCCAGCAGTAATAGAAATGAGAGGTCTAGGCCATGCGATATCGTGCATTGCTCAACCCTCCTAGCTCAATAGACATGAACCTATATCCTTCATGTTGCGCTCACACTTACAGGAGTATGTTTTGTGCACCTGCCGTATGGGACTTTTGGCTCCGAATCAGATGCTCCGCCTTCTCAACCATCTCTCTTAGGCTCTCCTGGGCAACTCCACCACAAGCCTCCATACCTTGGCGACTACGGGCTTCCAAGCATGACTTCAATGCGTCGACTTACTTTGCTATGATATTTGAATTGTCAGTTCTCTTATCCACATACCCAATCTTGTAGTTCCATGTGATCGGATTCTCTGGGGTAGGGTTTCTAAATGGGCGGGCCGGCGACAGGATCGGTTAGGGTGGTTGAGAAAGGGTTGTAATGTCGGCGCTTCTTCCAGAGAGAAGCCCCGTGGATTACTAAAGGTAGTTGCCGGCGTTTAGTGCTAGTTGAAACACCTCTTTGAGCTAGAGTCTCCGGACCCGGATCCTTCGTCTTCACAGTATTCATCGGCGACCTCGCGCTCAAGAAGCGCGCTCAGTGCGAGAAGAGTTCATAACCAAATTGGCCGATGCCGTTTACACTATATATCTGAACTCCACTGCATGACGGACGGGCAGTTGTAAACATAGAGTTCTTACTTCTGTCTTCCCGGCCTCACAAGCCTTATTACTGTGGTGAGAAGCAACCGTTGCTTTAGCGCACACTAACCCATATGCAGTGCTGAAGCTGATGCCATGGCTATTCGGTGAAATAAGATACACCGCCCATTTCATACTAGGTTAGACCTTAACAACTACTGTTAATGTCGCCATCCAGACCTCTTTCAAGTATTCGCGGCCTAGATTCTAGTGGGAAAAATACCCGAATGTGCCACCGGAGGCCGATGCACATAGGGCCGAATATCTCGACACGGCATTGGACGAGCGTCAGTGCGGGGTGAAAATCCGGGGGAGAAGCGCAGCACGGTCCATGAATCAAGAACTTACCCTAGGCCACGACTATAGTAGTACCTTGGCTTTCCCTTCGTTTACTGCTTTATATAGCAAAGTACCTTCAATAGAGCAAGAATCTAGTATGGGGCAACAACTATTAGAGCAGAGGGTAGTTTATATCTAAGCGCCTCGTGGCGCTATAATACCTGAGCTATATAGCACCACGTCGTTTTCCCACTCTTCACCCATCCATCCCTATGTCCACAGTTATGCCAAATAATTTCCCAACAATCCGGCTAGCTCTCAAGGCAATAATGAACATGGCTCCCGCTGTCCAGTCGTATTCGTCGTCGTCGCCATAGTCGTCGTCATGCTATGCTGAGTTGTACAATGCCCGGGGTTATTCCCGCGAAGCGGTCAAGCCTCCGAAATCAAGGGCCAGATGTACGCGGATTGATAAAGGCAAACGGTCCATCGGTAGACGACTCTTGTTGCGACTGCTGTTCAGGGTTCCCCGCGAAGAACCCGAACGACTGGTCTGTCCAACTTGCCGTCTGCGCATAGTTGTCGAGCACATCCTGCACACCGATTAGTATATGAAGAGAAAAGAAAGGCGGAGTTTGCCGCAATACTTACCCAATCAAAATTCTGGTCAATGGCCATGTTGTTAGCGCTGCCCAGATTTGTAAACATTGAGAATGGCGACGCCGCGTTATTGATGGCTCCAAGATCGGGCTGGAAGTCCGGCAATGAGCCGAGACCCATATTTGCGCCGAGATCGAGGTTGGGGTAGTTCGTCCCGCCAGGGGATTGAAATGTGCTCGCTGGCGTCGACCCCGAAAGCATCCCTAATGTCATGGCTGCTGCTGTGTGTTCGGGCTGCACGTTGTCGGAGTTGAAATTGCCGAATAGGTTTTCTGCTCTGTTCGCTGCTGCGTCTGCCGTATTGGTGGGCGCTGGCTCGGGGTTCTTTATCTTCTCCAACATTATGTTCAGAATGTTCCATGCCTTGTATGCCTCTACTGACTCCTGTGACAGTTTTGACCAGATCTCGCGGACGTCTTCGAGCGTCTGTATCATCTCCTGGCGCTGTTCGGGCGTCCAGAAGTACGCGGCGTGAGAGTTTTGTCTCTTACCGGCAGCGTTCGCCATGTGGTCGTGATGAAGTTCCATGATCACCATCATGGTGGGGAGGAGTGTATCCCTCGATGTCGAGGAAACATACCACTTCATTGTTCGAAGTCTGCCGTTTGGCTGGCACTCACGATAAATGGATTTCAAGTGGTTTAGCGTCCCTAGTGCCGCTTCAATGGCACTGCGGCGGGAATGCGCATACCGGGGATTCTGCCTGGCTCTGCTTATATGCTTTCTGTGCAACATACACATGATTTTCTGAAAAAGGAGATCTAGATTGTATCGCGCTATGATGAGAGTAACAGGGTCGTGAGACCCATCCAAAGGTTGGACTTTCAGATGGGGCGGAAATTCGTCCATGATCTCGCGAAGCTTTCGATCATGCTGCAAGATCTCGTCATACGGCACAAGCTTTCCTACGCGAGTGACTGCTTGAAGGATATTACCGAACTGGAAAGAGAGTCTGGATTTCCCTATCATATAGGCTATTGGCGTAGGCTCTGTAACTGGCCTTGAAGGCGGTAATGATTTAGTATTGACTCCAAATTCCTCGTCAAATATGTTATGCGGCAGCTTTGTATCAGTATCGTGCTCGTATATCATGGTAGGTAGTGAGACCTAAAGGAGTGTCAGCTTACTCGAAGGGGAGACGACCATTGCATGCTAATCAATGTGTTACCTGATAGGAGAACATAATATCTGCCATTCTCAACAGCGCCCATGTTCGCCGCCTCATTTCCTATAGATTGATTGCTTGGTCAGTCCAGATACAGTAGCTTGTCACATATAATTATAGGATTACGCACTCCTTGAAAAGGTGAAATGGAAGGAAACCATTCCGCATCTCGGTGATAACCCATTCGAAAGGCTATCCTTGTAATAAGAGACGTGATAAGCCAGAGGCCTAAGTCAGCGTCCCAGCGAGAAGAATATTCTCCAAAAAGGTACAGTAGCATAGTCTCTACCGTATACTCTACAGGCTTCGTGTAATCAGCCTCGACAAGACATTGAACGGTTCGCAATCGATATTCCGCCGCCAAATCTAAGGACCTTCCTTGCCATTCCGGAGGCTCGTCCCCAACCTTGTGATAGCTAAGCATGGCTAGACATAGCATGGAGTATAATAATCCTATCCACATTATGGACGACTTTGATGGATCCTGCCAATGGGCTCGTAACTGCTGCTGGAAGGTCGGCCCATGTATTATACTAGCGGCTGTATCTAGAGAATTAAAGTATCGCGATACTAGCGTTGTGATAGCCGTCTTTGGTGGGAGCTCGGCCCTTAATTCGACTTCGGACGAGGGTGGCGCAGATAGTAGAAATATGGGCGAGTTTCGCGCTGTAGGCGGTTTTGAGGACATCACACGGCGATAGCTGTTTTCCAAGTCTTTCTTGTGTGAGGCGTAGAAGTTTTTCACTTCAGTGACATCAGCGAGGAGGGTATGCCAATGCTCCTGTCCAACGTACATCGATTTGCCCAGATCAGCATCGACTTTGAGTACTCCCAGTGACTCGGCCAGATTTTCGTCCACATCACTTGCTTCTTCATCGACATCTGCCGTCATTTCCTCATTGTCTCGGTCAAGGCGGGCGGAAGATGCGCTATCTGCATTTGAGAGCGACGCATTCCGCGCCGATGTAGCTTCAGCTGCCGCCGCAGCAGTCGGCGCGTCGATATTAGCACCACCATGCATCAAACTCAATACTAACCCTTCTAAACGGTCAATACGATTTTGCATATCATCAGGAGTTGCGTCGGCCCCGGCGTTGGTTTGGTTCTTCCGCCGACTAGATGGTGTTGCATAAACACATGATTGCGTATCACCACGTTTGACACAGTTTTCACAGCTTGGAGCCCCCCTGTTACATTTTAATCTGATACCTGTCAGTTGAATGCATATGTTAAGGCCGGATGGCAAGTATGCGGATGTATAGTAATTGATTTGAGGGGTCACTCACTTTCTCGTCCGACATGGATAACAGCTTAGTGGCACCCGATTTCTCCGCCGGACTACACGAAATTGTTCCTCTGGTGAATGACCTGATGAGGAGGTCGCCGCCGAAGGAGGTGTAGGTGTCATTATGAAATGCGAAGGAACGAAGTTCTTATAAAACAGAAATTAATAAACTCCAACAACTGTAGCAGCGGCTTTGGGTGCCAAAAACACCCCGAAACACCCGAATTGGCTAAGAGCGGTGTATTGGCGCTTTTCAATTCCGATGAATTTGGACACAGATTGCCTGAACTGAGATCCAATGTTTTGTTTATTCAAACTCCACGCGCGCACCAGCGAACAGCTAGGAGGGGTAGACTCTGGAATTCTTGGGCCTGGACTCTCTTTATAGTAAAGGGCCTAGAAGTAGGGAGAGATGATGACCTCCAAAGCGCCTACAGGTGTTGCAGCGCAAGAGGGAGAGGTTTCATTAATCGAATACAGCCCCAATCAACGAGTATTAACTTCGCCTAGCGAGACCAAGTCTGGTAATGGCGGATTCGAGGCAGTGGGCGGCAGGATAGCGATGCGGGCAGAGGACAGTAGTTGGATTTGTAAGAAACGAGCTAGCAAATACAATGGCCGATATAGTGTTGTTGCGATAGTTGTCGTCGCAAAGGATTGTTACGGCGCGCAATCAATTCCACACAACGGCCTACCACAAGGATTGTCGTATCGTCAAGCAGTTGGCCCAGATATGCATCAAGTTCTTGTGTTGAAACAAGACACTTGGACAAGAGTAGATGGCTCGGTAATCACGTCGACGTCGAACAGCGGGATGAAACGGATTGGTTTTGGGCGGTGGAACGGCGACAGAGGGGGGCGACTATGGCAGGGGACACGGTACGGCAGTCTGGGTATCTTGATGGTCGGCGACGCCAGAAGGAGTCCCAGCTTGTGGTGTTGAGAAAGAGAGAGGGGGAACTCGCGTGAGGTCAGGTCCAGACGGTGAGGTTAGACTACCTACTGACTTAAGCACTTTCTACCAACAAGCACACGCTGGAGATGTAACACCACCAAGATCCGTGGGACGGCGTGGTGGGGGTGACCTCGTTGGGGTTTGCTGACATTCTTTCGTCACAGCCAAAACGCCAAGAGTCTTATATCCCGTGCCTCTACTAGCCGTGTACCAGGGTTGCTAGTACTATCATAGTGGCAGCACAATGCGTCCATAGTGAGATTTTGGCGCTTCAATTCTGCATCTCGGTACCCTCTCAAGCGGTACTGGCGAGGTACCGTCCATTCTCTTCTAGCATGATCAATTTAATGGTTTCGGGGTTACAGCTCTTTGTCTTTGTGAAATTGATAGATAGGTACCGTAATCTACCAACCTCGGGTTTGCCTGCGCCCGTCAACGAGTTCAGGCAACCTTTGCTGACGCACCTTGATATTTGATATCGAAACTAACGATAAAACTCGAGAATATACGCCCTAAACTTACATACATGGTCTAAAAGTAGCTCAGCTCCTAGGAAAAAGAACATCGTCGAAACCGATGTGCTCTGCGCTCAAGTAGTGTGCAGGGGCTATGTACCAACAGTAAATATACCAAACTACCTTCTATCAATATGGCTTGGATCTGAGATGGATGAAGGAGGTTAGACGATTTGCGATCGTAACACTCTTGCTGTACACACTTGTGGCTAGGCCACCATATGGATTACGTGACGCTGTCGATGGAGGCCCAATACTGCCTATGCTCGATATTACTAACACACTCAATCGCCTAGCGGTCCACCAAAGCATGACTCACCCCCTAGATAGTCTTCTCCAAATCGCTCAGGTTCTCACGTCTGAGCATCGAATCATGATCGGGGTTTTTGACATGGTGGCGGTCAATCCGAACCCAAAATGCAGTCCGGGGGTCAGGGGCCCGACCCTTTCCCCGCACCAATACCATCGGGAGCAACGCACGATGTTTATCTGGCAGAGTAGCACTCTAAACTTGATGACATGCATTGAAGTAGTAGAAACCAATTTGACCATGACCGATGAGTCAGGTAAACTCAATTGCTACAGGAGTTGGCGCGTGGCTCAGCTGAGGTGATCGACGACAACGACGACGACGACATGGTGCGCAATGGACTTAAGCTCTCATCTCCGTGTTTTTTCCATCGCGGCCCGCGGCTGGGTTGGCGGGATTGACAGGGGATACGCAGCCAAAAGATAGTAAGAACTTACATAGTAAGTAAGTAAGTATAAGGATCGTTCATGCGAGCCAACGTCACTACTAAGTATTGTCTATTGTATATAGAAGATCATAAGATCCTGTAGTAAATATGTCATGGTAAAGCACTCCCCAGTTAGAGAGCCTTGAGATAGTCAGGGCATATCAAATCGTCTCTTTTATCATTCTTCGGCTTCGAGAAATATCCTACCTACATCACCATACCTAGGTAATCTTATGTCGCACATCCACGTGCTTCTGACAGGCAGTCCACTCAACTGTAGCTATCATAGGCAGCTACATATCTAGAAATACTCGGGCATTCAGCTATATAACTAGCCATCGACGGGCAGGAAATAGGTACTTGTGCCTGTATTTGAGATTACCTAAAGACACAATCGGGCCCAGGCGGCGTTTAAGTTTTTCCTTATTTGGCAACTACCTAGGTACTATGCGCCGCTATCTCAGCCTGGAGCCACCTACTATGTTAGGCCTATCAGCGCGCTGTTTTAGTTAACGTGGGAGCAGCCTTTCTCGTCTGAACCTCGAGATTCAAGATTCACCACCACCATCATCATCATCAAGTCACCACTTCGACTCATCCTCGAGCCATCGTATCTTCAATGTCCTCATACTAAGTGCCCATGGCGGGCTCTTCCATCATCGGGATTTTGCCTTTGCCCCTGAGACAACGTATGCCTGTTTCTTCCGGCCTGTCACATTCAACGCCATTGCGTTCTCTCATAAACACTTCATGAGATGAATGATCTCTGTATGATACTATTGCGCCGCACTTTTGTCGACTAGTTTTCTGTATTGGTGGCTTCTCCGTTTGTCTCCGTATCATCAACCAGATATCCCGGGGGTTATCATCAGCATGGCGAGCTCCGACGACAACAATCATCGTTCTCGGACACAAGATGTTCCAGCTGAAAGCGACTTGTATCCAGAAGATATACCTAACAATATGGAGACAGAGGGTAGGCGGCTTCTCTCCGATGACCATCTCGATGAAAATCGAGGTCCTGGACGGCCGGTATCGCAAACCCGCCGGATAGGATGCGCATTTGTTGGAATGTTCGTAATGTTTGTAGTCGTCATCTTCGGTCTTGCGGGCGTGCTCCTCTCCTTCAACCCCTCAAAACCGAGCGCTCAGTCGGCGGGTCATGACGATCATGACGATTCTGCGCCGAAACAGCCCGTTCGCTCAAATGATAGATACATATTAGATCCGGCCTGGGACTTCCTTGCTCCGAGTCAAGTTCGCGAATACCAATGGACCATCACTGACGGGCAAGGCAGTCCCGATGGCGTACATAGGCCAATGATGCTTATTAACGACCAATTCCCGGGTCCCCTAATTGAAATAAATGAAGGAGATGTACTCGTCGTCAAGCTGGTGAATAAGGCTTCTAATGCAACCGCCCTGCATTGGCACGGAATGTTTCAAAACGGCACAAACTGGATGGACGGCGCCGCTGGCGTGACCCAATGCCCTATTGCCCCTGGCCAGTCCTATGAGTATAGATTCAATGTCACGGGCCAGTCAGGCACCTGTAAGTCCAACTCCTGCAACATGACCGCCCTCAGAAGGGGCTCAAGTACTAATTGTCCCCCTCCGCGATGGGCACTGTAATTTCGAAGGAGCTAACATGTCAACATAAGACTTTTATCATGGCCACCAAGGCGTACAAGCACTCGACGGACTCGTAGGTCCAATGGTAGTTCACAGCCATCGTGAAGCAGCGAAGCCATATACGACGGATCGCGTAGTCTTGTTACAGGACTGGTGGTACGACCCAGCAAGCGGTCACATGCGAGACGTACTGTTTCCAGGTGTTGAAGATGCGCCAATTCCTAACACAGCATTGATGAATGGCATCAATCAGGCAGTTTGCTCTGATCATCCTGACCGGAAATGTACCGAGGTGAAAGCCGCATCTTTGCCGCATCTAGATGTAGCGCCTGGTGAAAGACATAGGTTGCGGTTTATCAATGCGGGTGGGTTTGCATGGTTCCAGGTTGCCGTTGACGAACATGACGATTTGCAAGTTGTTGAAGTAGATGGTACCATTGTTGAGCCGTAAGTGTGCTTCTTGAAGTTACTTTTTCCTTGTCTTGCCCATGTTTTGGGGCCGCCACTCTGTCTCGAAATGCACTTTCAAAGCCTTCAGAAACTCGTAAACATTATGATTTAAGCCTCTAACTTGATACAGGACTCTGGCTTCACCATTAGTTATTTCCCCGGGACAGCGTTACAGCGCTGTTCTAAAAGCAGATCATGATAATGGATCTTTCTGGCTTCGGGCGAGAATGGTTACAGCTTGTTTTGCAGAACAGAATTTACCTGAGAATGGTATCGAAGAGGCAAAGGCTATCGTTCACTATACGCGTAGTCTACATGCCAGACACGGAGACCACGAGGATGAGGATGAAGATGACGACGATGACGACGATAATGCAGAGGATAGCGAGGAAGAAGAGCTCATGCTACCCCAGACAACCTCCGAGATGCCATTCCTCAAGGTTTGCCGCGACTTAAACCCAGACATATCTTTCAAGCCATCGCCTCAACAATCCGCGCCGCAGATTGCAGATCACTCATGGTATTTCCGCGTTAATCTTGCAATTGGTGACTGGCGTCTTCAACGGGGCGTTTTCAATTCCTCGTCTTTTCGACCTAGTCTCAAGTATCCTACATTACACCGGGTCCTTGATGGTCTTGCGGACAATAACAAGTCCTTCACTGTGGAAGGCATTAATACAGCTGCATTCAACGCCGAATCGGAACTCGTCATCTCGAACAACAAATTAGAGACAGTCGATGTCATTCTCCAGAATATGGATGAGAACAGCCACCCTTTCCATCTCCATGGGACCAAGATGTGGGTGCTGGGGCAAGGTCATGGCTATTTCCCCGGATACGAGGCCCTAGGCTTCAAGCCAGATGGAAAAGGCATTCTCGACGCAGCGAATACGACTATGATAAGGAATCCTCTCAAGAGAGATACGATCACAGCCGAGGGCTATGGATGGGTCTTGATCCGATTCGTAGCCGATAATCCTGGCGTATGGTTGTTTCATTGTCATGTAATCTGGCATTCGGAGGCTGGCATGGGAATGCAATTTGTGTCAAGACTAGATGATTTGCGCGGCGTGCAGGTCCCGGATGAGGCACGTAAGCTGTGCGATGCCCCTGAAGAGGAGCTACGGAAAGGAGCACCGCCGAAAGACGAGGTGTTTTTCGGGTTCGGCGATGATGAGCGTAGACGGTCGCGCAGTCATGCAACTCGTTTCAAGGTATAAGTTGTGACGAGTGTTGAAAGTAGCTTGTCACGAGAAAGATCCTGGATATTAATATTACCGAACACTTATTAGATTCTGCATCTCCCTTTATCAAGTACCTCAAGCCGGCTCCTAAACACTTATATTTTGCCCTTCGTCCGACCTGTAAGCTGACTTACCCCTATACCTCACGCACTGATCAACGCTGTCCGAGATGAGCGTGTGTCATGTTCCTGACATGGAGAACAGCTCAGTGATCGATGTTAGGCGAGTGGACCCCATCTCCAATGCACACCTCCGGACCGGCGGCCGCTAAGTTGGTTCTAAACCCCCGTCCATCACTCTGCCGGTCTTGGTAGCACCAAGCCTGACTAGAGTTACGTCATATTTGTTTGCGTAGCTCAAACGAGCGTTGTAGGGAGCTATTATAGGAGCTTTAATCGAAGCAGAAAATTGACGTAGGTATGGTATAGTAAGGCCGGTATGACTCTCAATTAAGCAAGCCAAACTCCTTCCTGCTCTCCTCTTACATCCGCGAAGTCGCTACTTCAATATCTTTCAAGGACCCTGAGAGCGGGCGGGCAAGCTTCACCTAGCTCCAACCAATCGGTCTGACTCATCCAAGCCGCCGATACTCTTGGCTGTCCTACATGGTGGATTTGGAGCGTTCAATTAAGCTATTTAGTGTGGGCCAGCTATTTCGTACCTCTTTTTTCTCAAGCCAGACGCGAGTATTCATCCCACGCCTGTCTGCCTCTTATCTATTGAGAATCTTCAAATGGCTTCCTCTCGAAGCAGCAGTAATGAATTCCATGATGAGACCGTGTTGCTAGGAGACAATCGCGACGATGCGCTTCCTCCTCCGAGGCCGGGTTTAACAAGGGCCCAAGCTTTCAATCTATACCTCAGCCATGCTTTATCGACGTGGAATGCGCGTGGATATGAATTCGCTGCTGTATGTATATGTGTCGTCAGGGACATATCGTGATTGAGATGTAGTTCAATTGAATAAGGCTGATAGTATGTCCGCAGATCCTTTTCACTGCTGCTGCGTACCCGGATACGCTTGTCGCGGCCGCGTTGCGGTAAGCTGGACATCTACATATAATCGTATCTCATCGCACAATGCTCTCTTTGCTGCCCGCCGAAATGTCACAAACTTAGAGCTCGTCATCTCCAGGAACGCCTATAAGAACTCGTTGATCTGATGAAATGACGACAGAATGATCATCATATACATCGCCATGATCTTATTTTCCAGCTCCGTAGGCCAATGGGTCGAGCGATCCCCTAACCGCCTGCGCACTTTGCTGTCCACCATCATTTGCAATCGCGCATCGGTGATTCTGGGCTCCTTCGTCTGGCTTTTGATCCTGAGCCAGGAGAACCTAGTCACTGGCGGTGATAGCCTTGCTGCGACACCTCCTAGGTTCGCACTACCGCGCAATGACGCCCTGAAGGGCATTGTCTTCGCCGTCGCTGTAGCTTTTGGAATAATCGAGCGATTGAGTGCTTCTGGAAATTTGATCTCCATGGAGCGGGATTGGGTCGTTACGATCGCTGGTCAGGCGGGACATCCCTATGATCTGACGAATCTAAACGCCGTCATGCGACGCATCGACCTCGTCTGCAAGTTGATGTCTCCTATACTGATCTCCATTGTCATCTCAGCGACGGGCTCGGTGCGTGTCGGCGTGCTTTATACAGGGCTCGGGAGCCTTGTGAGCATCCCAATTGAGCTCCTCTCTGCTAAGGGAGTCTGGAATGGTAGCATTGTTCTACAGGAGCCGAAGCCAGTACCTATTCCTAGGCCGCCTATCGCTACATCGGGAGAAAGTAGATTTAGGATCACGTCTTGGTTGAGTGGGTTACGTAATTACCTCCAGGGGTTAGAGATGTATTTCAGCTCTTCAGTCTGGATGCCATCCTTTGCGCTTGCGATGCTGCATTTCAATATGTTGACTTGGCGCGCGACATTCATCACGTACTTGATCAATATCGGCTATTCCCTCAATACAATCACCGTCGCACGGGCTATTGGCTCAGTCTTCGAGATCAGTAGCACAGTTAGTAAGTATTCTCAACATCAAGTTCGTTTTATTCTCGTGTGGCTTGGTAGAGAATGTAGTCATTGCTTCTTATCTGGAGTCCATGATACCAAGGCATGCTCGAGATGACAACAACTGACACCTGGAATTGCAGTAACACCTCGCGGCATCGTGTATCTAGGTAAAACCAGCCGCCACCGCACCGCATCAGGCGATGAATCGAATATCAGTCTGATGCACGAGGAGACTCAACAAGAAGACTCAGTCGACGACGCGCAAACCATCATCGGTCTCCAACGCCTCGGGCTATGGGGCATGAGCAGCCAGCTCCTCAACACAGTCAGTTACCTATTTACCCATATCATCTCGCTCTATATCTATTAACACGCCCCAGATCCCCGTCGTCCTCGCTCTTTGGGTTACATCCTCCCAGCGCAACGAAGCCACCACAGACGACATCCCCACTCTGCTCCCGCGCTTAACCGGTGGGTTCAGCATAGGCTGGAGTCTGATTTTATTCACATTCCTCGCATTCTCGCGCCTCGGCGTCTGGGTCTTCGACCTGACCACGCAGCAGCTGACGCAGACCTTGGTTCCCAAGACGCAGCGCTCGAGCTTCGCCGGCGTCGAGAACTCCGTGGTCAACGTGTTCGAGGTCCTCGGCGCCGGCGCCGCCATCGCCTTCCCGCGCGTCGAACAGTATCGCTGGCTTGCGGTTGCTAGTCTGGTCGGTGTTGTACTGAGTTGGTGTTTGTATGCTTGGTGGGTGCGCGCTCAGAGGGGCCATCTTGTCCATTGGGAAAAGCTTGGCACGCGACGCTGAGGGCCTGGGGGTTTGGTCTGGTGGGTGTGACTAGTTTGCAAAAGTATGTTACGGCTTGTATGATCGCAGTACCATCATGCCAGCCCAGCGCCAGCGCTGGCTGCATAAGCAAATCCCGGATCCCGCGGTATTTCATCTAGAGGGTAAGTATGTATATTGTGGTAGTTGTTGGTGCCTTAGGCAGCTATCTAACCAGGCAACCAACCAATCCTTCCGGACCTCCCTATGAGATTGTATCATTAATAATATCACTTATTGATATGTTTCATTGGTGTAAGGTGAGATTTTCGATGTAGACAGTCCAGTTAGTTTGTGCTAATATGATAACCAGATGACAAAATGCGAACGATGCAAACTTGCAACCCCACACATCATCGATTAGTATCAGCAATTCTAACCTGTCAACCAAAACGTTGACGACGAAACCCGTCCAGCCAAGCGCTGCAGCGGATTGCCCCTTGAGACTTCAACGTCAACTCGAACTCTCTTCCTTAATAGTAGGAAGATTACAATTCTCGCAATAAGGAGAAAGGCAGGGCGTGTGGAGGTCAACCAAGCCCGGCACGATACGAGCGTCATAGCGGCGGCAGGAGGTGCTGCCCTGGTACTTCTCATCTCTACGCGGGTCGGTGGGAGTCAGGCAATCGCAGCAGCGCACCAGCACATTCCGCTTGGTGCCGCAGGAGAATGTGAGGATAACCCACCTGCACATGGTGATTGACGAAGAGCTGGGTAATTAGGCGGGTGAACTGAGTGAGAGAGAATGTGTGAGTCGTGAGCTATGTTATGAGTCTATTTCTCTGTGTGAATCCCTCGCCGTACCTATGTGGTGATAGTAGCTGCTTTGTAGTAAATGTGACGTAATTATTGAGCTTGATATTTGATGCTATGCAGTTGGTTGGAAGGTCGGTAAGTGGTATTTGCTTCTAGGCGAAGAGGTTCAAAGACAATTTTAAGGAACCTCCCCCCCCCCCCTAAAGTTATAATGCATTTATATAACAGAGTCAAGCAGACTTACTCTCTTTCGTAACTTCGGCGCGTCGTATAATTGTAACGCTTGTATCACTAATCTACACCAAGAGAGTGTGGATAGGTTACGCTACGTGGCCACGGGGAGTCAGCAGCGCCGTTTGGTTATCTGCGATTACCCTCGTGTCTGAACCATGTGGTGTGGTTGAAGCTTCCACAAGGTCTGTCAAGACTATTGAATAGTCTCCTCCTCTCTCCCTTGGATGACCTTCCACTATCCCCTGGACTCGTGCTATCCGCCGTAGTTATCAGTAAAGAGTGAACTGTGTAGAGATGGTGGTGGACAGGGAGGTGGCTGCGTTATTTACTACACGCGTCTTTACTTTTAGGTAGGGCGAGGTAAGAGGACCGAAGCACGTCGACTTTGTGACCAAAGCCATCCCTTTTGAATTGTTGCGTACGACTTCTAAATTATAGCTAGTGGTAGTTACATCGGGAAATCACAAATCACATGGTAGTGATACCGGTACACAGGAACGGCCCATTCCATACCGAAGGGAGCGATAGTGGACAAGGAGACTCCCTTGGGGACAGTGTTAAATACGGGTGAATGTCTCAAGATGTATATCCAATGACTTCTACTATCCGGTTTTCGAAAGGTTTAAGCTGCTTAGTAAGTTGACAGTATAGCTACGACGACTGCCTCTTTTAATGTTGTATGACACAACTGATTGCTCGTCTCAGTCAGTAGCATTAAACTTTCTTATCACCCATCTGGGAGGGTTGCAAGTCGAGGGCAATAGTTACCTAAAGTGTTAACTAACTAGGAATATAATCTCTTTTCAAGCTTATGCATGGGAACTTCCCTTGACCCTCAGCGGCAGAGATAGACTGGTTTAAATATGGCAGCTTCAAGCTCGGGTTGCTGTGTAGTATTTGAGCGTCGTCTGTCTGGCTCTCCTCAAGGCGCCCAACCCAGTCTCTAAAGCTCACGACCTCGGACATACGATTTTGGCCGTAGAATTCCTGAATCACGCGTGCCAGTTCGGGCCATGTCGTGGCCGCAGGGTTGACACCATGGAAATATCCACTCTCCCCAGCAACCTCGAAAATGAAACTCACCATCTTCTCAGCTGGCACCCAGTCAACCCTGCTCTTCTGTGCCAAGTCGCTCGGTAGTGCTTCGAGACAGAGGCTGCTAGATATAATCGACGGAATCTACTCGTGCCTGTTCCACACACCGATGTGCGTCTCGTGTTCGGAACCGGCGATCTGGCCGACACGAACAATGGTAGCTGGGAAGTTGCCAGCGTTGGCCACGTCTTCAAGTACAAGACTAGCAATCAGCTTGCTCTGTCCATATCCTGTGCTTGGGAGTTTGAGATCTTCTAGTCTCAACTCTGGAACGGGCCCCTTGACAGCATCCCAACCGCTGCAGGTGTCGATCGTGGAGATGAAGATGGCCGCAACGCATTTCAGATCTTCTGATGCAAATTTTCCGACGTTGCGGATACCATGGACATATGGTTCGAAAGTCTCAAATGGCAAGTTGAAATTCACTGGCCACGCCACGAGGAAGATACCATCCGCCTTGCTAAGGAGATGGTCGTAGACGCGAGAGCCTAGCCCAAAGTCTTGCTTTGTCATGTCTACATGATGAAAGGTGCACTTGGAGAAGTCGGTAGTGAGCCCCCTCTGAATCATTCCATTGCCCTGTTGTTGAGCGCCGCCGTCTTCTCGTCTTCTGCTCTGTTCAGACAGTAAATATGTTGAACCTGGGGATCCGATACCAAGCGGGCTAGCATATACGAACCAAGCATTCCTGTGGAACCGGTCAAGATGACAACTCGGCCTTCAGTCACGGTTGGCAGTCGGCTAGGCCTTGGCTCAGGCAAATCCTCGGTATACTTTTTCCACATTCGCTCCATACTTCAGCATACATACTCTTCGCCTTACACGGCAATTGGGTATCTGTCATTCGTGACTAATGAGTATAGATGACTTTGGAGGCCGCGTAAGTTTTGGGCTTTATATATCACGCCGATAGTCACGGCAGCCGAGGCCTTGTAGAAACCGGCAGCGTCGAGCCCGGCCTTTAGTCGGCGGCATACATTGATTACCTATAAGGAGTCGATACCCGCAGTATAAAAGTTTGTATCTACCTCCAGATTCGTGTTGGATACAAGGTGCCTCTTAAATAAGTCATGGATGGACTTGGCAAAGGCCTGTTCGGAGCTTGCATCAACCTGGAAGTTACTACTGTCATATTCAGTTATTAGTGGCGAATACGAAGCGTCACATATACATTCAAACACCGCGCTTAGCCTGCTTAACGAAATGGTGGCATGGATTTACTTACATTGCCACAGTTCGGGATCTTTGATGACATAGTTTAGAAACGGACTGAATCTGATAACTTGTTAAATACATAGTCGTGCATGGGATGTTAGAGTTATTACTCTGTAGCTGCCCTAGCAGTCATTAGCTTGATCGATTCTAATCTTACGCTTTGTGAAGCGTATTCCGCCTATTAGTAGTAAAGGTTGCTACTGTATCAAATGGGCTGGGGTTCCGGTTCACAGCTGTACCTACCTTAAAACTGCAATATCAGTCTTTAGCTTTTCAAACTAACCTTGCCCAAAGCATCTATAACAAGGGCAGGATTACTGGGCTTGGAATCTAGGCAATTCAGAATATAATGAACAACTAGGGCTGCATAAGACCTTGACCAACCAACTCCTTCTCGGCTGTTGGTGGCTTGACTTGACTCTATATACAATTGGTCTGCCAGCCCAGACCGCCTAGGTCTCTGGGGTCTGTTTCAAGAAGCGAAGTCTGTATAACCTCACTTTCCAATATTGCCTGCATGTCTTGAAAGATCATGAACAGGTCCTTCGTACGGCCGAAGTCCAAGGCGAACTGCATATTCAGATTAGTATAGAGGTTACACGTGTAACAGCATCCAAGGCTGTCAGTGATATAAATAATTAAGTTTTCATCTCCTTAGAAAATAATACATTAGTTATCAAACTCACTCTTTCTCAGCGTACAGCAGCAAGCTTTTGTCAAGTATTGAAAGTGAGGTTATACAGACTTCGTTTCATGAAACAGATCAGTGAGGCCAGGCGGTCAAGGCAGGTACATAGAGCCAATCCAGCCAGGGCTAAGAGGGAATTGGATGACTAACAACCTTAGTAGTATCAGCGGATTATTATGTTATCAACAGTTCTACAGATATTTCCAAGCTTATATCTGGCAATATTTTGGGTGAGGGGTAGCTATCGGTATTATCTATAGCCTCTCCATAATTCATCTGAGTTGATCCGATTGATTTTAATAATCGAAAGAGCCTTTGATGCTTCATTAGAGCGGGGGAGTCAGTTTCACTTCTGGACCGAACGTCGAGAACGACATGTTTATCACTTTGCTGGCCACCCATGTAGATTCATTCATTGGCAATAGACTGGGTGGCGCCAATGAGCTATTACAACTGTGCAATTTAAAGCTGCACGATCAAGAGCGCTTTAGTCGGTGTAGCAGATCGCAGCTTACTGCGATTCAACCTGATCTTCTGATGTGGCTGCATCATGAGTCCTCTCGGAAGCATGTCGTTCCTGTGATGGGTAGGCAAATGTAATCACCATATAGAGCAACTTACGTAATTAGCTGTATATGTTTTTGTTATATGAAAATATAGTGTTGATAGCTAACTCCAACCCTTGCGCCCCTTTCTTCTTTTCCTGCCTCTGTAGCTGACCTTGCACAACCTTCGGGCCCGATGATATCCCGCAATTACAGGTAGATGGAAGCTGAGTAGTCTCATTTTAAATACTGCTGAGGCTGTTTAGGTCTGTATACTAAAGGCATATCGGAGCGTATAAGATTCCTCACGCGTTTAGCGCACATGACGCATTGTTACAACTTTAAGCTCAAACCAACGATACCAAAAGATCACGAGGAGTGATAGCGGCTGACTCGCTCAGAGGGCCAAGCTGGGGACTGCGGCTGAACTGATAATAAGTCTTCCACAACTGACGGCGGTGAACTTGTACAAGCATGATGACAAAAAGCCACAAATCTGCACAGTATATTATCTCGGAGGTCATGCAGGGTTAGCTTAGGTAATCGCATATATATATAAGTAAGCAGCGTAGAAGGTAACCTGTACGAGGGGTAAATAGGTATTGTATTCAACAATCAGGCGTATGAATTACAGGTACGTGGCAGGCCATACAGACTGACAGTCAAACAGATGGGAGACCCAGTCAACATATAGACCTGCCATCCGGACATCCGCCCTATCGGCCTCCGCCCTGCGTAGGAATTGCCCAATTACGCAAAATGTCAAATAACGCATGACTAGATGACGTACTACTAACGGGACTCAACCTGACTTACATATTATATCAAGCACCTTGAGGTTCTGATTTGCCCATTCCATTGAACTTCTAGACCAACCCATGGCCTCGCTTCACATTGGCAAACCCAGGCTCGAAGTGGAAATGATAATAAAGAAGCTACTTGTGTGTTTATAAACTTCTTTATTGTATTTATATGGATGGTCTCCCACCATCATGCCTCCCAGCTTCCTCATTGCTCAAACTATCGACTATACTAATACCACATTTTATCTGACTTGCCCGCATCATCAGAATGAAGTTTTGGACTTCAACCGCTATTGTCTGTGCCGGAGCTGTATCGGCATACGACCCTTGCCCTGTCCCAATTAACAACAAGCCAAGATGCTGCGCTTTTGATTTCAATACTTCCTCAGGTCCAGTATTCCAGTACATACTTGGATCTTTTATGTCAGCTTCTTGAAGCCTTGGGCATGCATTCTTCTTAAGTGACCTACCTTTACAAGTAATATATACTCTACTAACCTTAAAATAATTTATTAAACAGTTGCATCAAGTGTAAAAGGGTTTATTAAAGATTATATTCCTTTAAATACAGCTTAATCATAAAAGCAGGTCATTAACTATATCGTTCAGCCCCTTCTCCCCCAAGTAGCCGCGAAGACTTCATTGCAATATATGAAGCAGAATCGTACAGAACTGTTGAGTATTGTATCGGGGTACGCATAAGCTTTGACTTTATTATATGAAACAATATTAATAATTTAAATTAAATAGAACAGCGACGGTTTTGAGCCTCTCTGTCAGCGCGTTTAAGTTAAGGGATGATCATTTGACATTAGGGAAATGACCATATTATGATACCTTGTTTGGGAGTCCATGGAGTGAGTACATTTTCAACCCCATATAATAGATACTTGCTTCTTATATGCTTTAAAGGAGGTTTTTCTCTTTTTACGCTTTAGTCTTATGTAATACCTACTATAAGACTAAAGAGACTTATGATATTATACTTAACCTTTAAGATTTAACCTATCATTATTTTAATGGTTATTTTAATATTATAAAGTCTTAAGTTTTATTAAACCGCCTTGGTAGTATTATTATTACTGTGGTGATAATAACGGCTTGAACGTAATATTATCGGACGAGGTTGGATCTACAATATATAGGTGCCTACAGCTGCAACGGCCTATAATGCGCCATTAATACCGTTTTTCCTATATTATTTACACCTTCCTATATTTACCCCTTTTGCTAACTACTTCTTGAATTTTATTACTTCTGTAACCCTTTATTACTTTTAACACCCTATGCGTGCCTTTTTATTAACTATTATAAGTTCTTCATCAATTATATCATTTACTTCTGAAATACATGGCTGAAAAAGGGCACTGGCTAACAACCCACGATAACCTTAATACACCTTACAACCCCTGATTTTGGTGCGTTTTTCGAACTATGCAGTGTGTACATGTCGCAGCTAGCTGAAGTCAGACTGCTACCACCTGTATACTGCAGATCCATTGTGGGACCTACTGCAGATCCAACCTCATCCATATTATCCCTCTTCCGTATACCATTGCTAAGAAACGACCACAACTCCTCAAGTTGTCGTCTGTCCTCCGGGGTGGCTGTCTCGAATTCGCACTATGCTCAATCAGCCAAGCCAACTTTGATTTGGGGTGCGGTAGGAGATATTCTTACCAGGAATGAATGCGTGAACCAGGATTCATCGCCCAGAGCGCTTTTCTCCAAGACTATCCAGCTGTCACATTGAGCGCATAGGCCCTCAATGCCGTGTGTAATCGACCACCTGGTTCTTACAGGTTCAGGGAATGTTGTGCCGGTTTTCATTGAGATTCCGTGTTTAATTGACCGGTCATGCTTGAACCAGTATGAATTGAGACGCAGCCAACGTCCAGGCCGGCACCATTCGCACCAACCTGCCAAACCGTCGCTGGTGTTTCGATACCATTGAGGGGCATACATATTGCCTTCCACATTATCGGACATCTGCAATGGTTGAACACCAGGTTGCGTAAGTCCCGGTGGCAGACTGATATTCTCCGGCTGGTTATAGTCAATGATATAACGAGGCTGCCACTGATCCATGGTTATGCCCTCGTCAAAATGCGCTAGAATGTGTTTATATCGCTCATTCCAGCTATCATTTGGGGCTCCACAGAAATGACACTTCAAGTCATACCCACTTGTCTCGACTGGACGTGACCACTGATCAAGATTGAGTCGCTGAACAAACCTCGAATGCCCTTTGATTTTCGTGTGAACATGGACAAGATGTTGGTGAAGGGTGTCTTTCCTATAAAATGTACGGGTCGACTCGGGCTTCGCCCAGCACTCACTGAACCCGTGCGAGCACGTATTCGATACCTCTATGCCATCGATGGCCTGATAGATAGCCGCCTCTTTACATAGCGGGCACGACGCGGTGGCTAAATCAGTAGCCAAATCTGGTGTTGTAGACATCTCTTGAGGCACGGGAGTGTCGCATGAGGACTCATTTAATCCACATATCCATTCCTGCTGAGGGGCATGAACTGACTCTTCATGACGCTTCCAAAGAAATGGCCTTGAAAACACGGAGTCGCAGAATGTACAGTAATATTTTCTCTGCTTCTTGACCCTTTCTTCTACTTCGCGGTAACTCGAGGGTGGGTAGGAACGAGTTGGTCTGGATTTTTTGGTACGCCGAATCTCTTCTTTGAAGGCCTCTCGGCCACGTTTTCGGATGGAACCGCTTTCGCTACTACTGTTTGCGTGAGCAAAGATACGTCGACCTTTACGTGACCCCAAAGAACCGAACGATTGCTGGCTGCCACCTGATGAGGCACTCATTCCAGCGGACCATGCGATTGATGCTGAATCCTGTACATCTCCAGCTTCTTTCTTGTCTAAGTCATGCCGATGACTTCCAGGTGAACTGCTACTCCGTGGCCAAGGCAGCCAATAATCATTATGATTCAAGGGATTCGTAGGTAGAGAATCGAAGCTTGTGGGACGGGTCTCGTCCTGCTGCAATGGTGCCATTTCGGTAACGCTAATGGGCAGACCACTCAACCATTCAATTATATATGATTGCTTGAGGTGATATTGAAGAGGGGAATAATCAGCGGTGCTTGAACCTTGTGGTCCCAGAGTACTCATGGATTCCTTTTGGCTGATCAATGAGGACCTTTCCGTATGTTTGGAAAGGACAACATCTAGAGATCCTTTCTGGGGTCCTCTCAACATAGGGCGACGCAGTTGCTTTCGGAGATGGTCTAGTGTGAAATGCAATGGCAAAGATCGAGATCGCCTAATATTTGCACCCGACGGGATGTGTTTTGTCAATGCAATAGGCAAACTGAGTGTGCTTACTTGAAACCTTCGCTGGTTCGAAATGAGCAAGGGAGATATCGCATCTGCACTGGGCAAGGGCGTTGCTAGTAGTGGTAAGCCCAGTCGTAGGGCCGCTGAGCCATTGTGGTACCCTATAAGATCGCTAGAATTCGATAGTCCTTGTTGTGGACAGTTTCCATTCGGCGGCGAAGGCGCGTGTCTTTTCTGTCTAATACGTAATCTGCTAATACCAGACGTTTCTTCCATTGGAAATTCTACTTCCTCCAAATTGTCATAACCACCGCGCGTTGACATAGTGGCGTGCTCACTATTATTCCGCTTAGCTCTATAGCGTGGTGAAAAGTCCATATCTGTCAATATGGCTGGTGGGCCATGCCCGGGGCCAGCAATTGAATAACACGGGGCAGCATGTGGTGATGTTGTCGTGGCTGCGGACTGTGTAGGTGACCCTGTGAAGCGACTAGAAGAATCCGTTGGGTGGAGGTTAGTCGCATGTATTATTGGAGGAGGTTTTGGATGCGTCTCTTTCAACCTTTTTTGTCGAACTCTACTGAACCACGAGCTGATCTGACTAATCTTCAAACCTGTGTGTTTCGCCAGGCTCAACTTCTCCTTTCTTGTCGGGTATGGTACGTTACAGTCGGCAACCCACTTATTAAGCGTATCTAGTTGTGTTTGATCCAACCTCTGGGCGTTCTTTGGAACATCGCTAACAATCTCGCTTCTGTGTGAGGAAGAATCATAGGGGATGGACAATGCAGGACCTTGTAGCCCGCTCAGGCTACTGACTTGAGCTAAGGCTGTCAATGCATTCAAGCTAAAGTCATCTCCGAAATCTAAACTGAGATCGAGGTTAAGATCCATCAAGGATTCCGATAAAGGCGGGTTATCCTCGGTTGCGATGACATGTTGACCCAAAATTTGTTCTTCCCGTGGTGGGACATACATATAAGTGCCCTCAGATTCGAGGGAAGTATCAAAAATTCCCGGAACACTCCATGGGAATTCTGACTCCAGGATCTGGTCATCAGGCAGATCCAGATCCATATGGTGTGACTCAATCGGAAGAGGCTGATTAAGTGCAACATTGTCGTCATTCATATCCCCACTAAAAAGAATAGATGGAGATATATATGGAATGTGCGGTTCGGTCATTGTTACTATCTGAGGGACTATGTGATGGGGGTCTTGGCGCGTAGGATAGAAGATAGGCCGTCGTCAATGCAGGTAAGACGGCAAAACAGGCGGACTGATGGACATAATCGAAACGAAACCTGAGTGAGTTATTGAAGGATAGTGAATTGATAGGGGATGATGATTACACAGAAACGACACACATATTAGAGGTGCGTGAAGGCCACACTATAAAGCTCAGGCAGACTGCTTGGTGCGCGGGCGACTGTGCTAAGTCGGCGCCTCGAAGCAATCATGGTGCTAGGAACTATAGTCCAATCACATGCCTAGTATCCAACTCCAATCCCAATCCGCCCAAGGCAATCATGGTGCGGTGCGGCGACTTGGCAAGCCACAGGCGATGAGCACCATGAATACTAAGCTTTATCACCATGAATTCTCAAGAGGCCACCCAACCCCATGCCACTCACTTGATTCAAGATTATCTACATGTACCTATCACAACTAGATATTGTGGCAAATGCAATATGATATCTACATCTCTACCGATCAGTTTTGAAATATTGGACCTTACTAATTACGTACTTGTCGTACATTTATATATCTACACAATTAAACGTTTGTTATAAATAAGAGGATAAAATCAGGTTATAAATCTTGAGCATAGATACAGGTGTTCAAGATGGGGGGGGGGGTTTTACCATAACCGCTCTAGGTATAGCGTTATTGTTTAAAGCTATTTTGGGTGTAAATGCCCTTTTGGGTAAAATCACGGCCAACCCAGATGGCTTATTTAGCTTAAGTAGCCAGTTGCGGCCGCATTTTAGTCTAGAGACTGCAACCATGAATATCAACTGCAAGAAGACACCAGGACTTCATGACAGCACCATATATACCATGGCGAGTGCCGCAGAGCACCATATATACTTACACAAGGAAAATGCCTTTTGGCGATGGATACATAACCTTGAAGCGAGAAGGGCTCAACCCGCCTTGAGTGTTTGTAACTAACCTCACAATTCCAACGCGCTGTATTAGTCATAAACCCACCAATTGCATAGAAGCCTCCGAAATCTCATACTATTCATATTATCCAACATGTCACCTCATATCTCAACAGAGACCATTGTCAATGTCGGATTCGGCATAATAGCGTGCCTCATCGGTATTGGGAGCATTATTGCTACGGTTCGCGCTGGCAGGCATCGTTTTTCCCGGCACGATTTGAGAAGTCCGTACTCAGTTACCCACTCGCAGTATGGGTCCATGTGCTGACCTAATCGCGATCAAGGAAAACAACTTCTACGACGAGGGCGAACATTCCGCCTTGTCCGTTTTGCAGCTTTTGAATATCATGATAGTGACGCCGACAGCGGGGCACTACTTCCAATGAATACCAGGGATATTCCACCGCGACCCTGGCATCGGTTCGACATGGACATTAGCAGCAAGCGCGAACAATGAGTGGAACCCAGGTTGAATGGGCGAACGGGAAGAAACGAGACGCTGTGAGCCAACGTTGCCTAGAAATTTTCTGAGCCTTGAAGCAACCTTTTTCATCTCTTAGCCTCATCTGGGGCTTGTAGACATCAAGAGTGTGTTACAGAAATATGTTTCAGCCCATGCGAATAACAATCATTCTTTAACGCTTTGGAAAATTATGTAGGTTAGAACTCTGAAGCGGTTACAGATTATTTTAGAAAGGGAATGTGTTATACCTTATCCATTGCACTGCGTCTGAAGCAGAGTATCTCGGACAGCCCCTGCAGTGCACACAAGGGATCAGAGTAAGGAAGTATTGAGTGCTCTATGTTGAAAGTGTAGGTGGTAAAGGAGTCACTTCATAATATCATGCAGGTATGTCCCCGAAGCGGATTATGCGAGGGACGTACAGCGGGTTATCTATCAGAATTGATGGTTAATTTGGATGGAATGATGCGGGCTAATATATCAGGGGGTGAGCAGGGACTGCTCACACTATTTATTAGTACACATCTCAGAGAGACAGCAAGACGCGCTCTCAACACAATAGACACACTTAAAAAACCTCCAATTGACTGGCTCGCTTATTCTGACATGATCAGCCCCTTGCATTTACATATCCAGGTAAAATATCATGAACGGGCTTGGAATTGCATCAGATTTGTTGGCATATGTAGCGGTACTACTAAGAGAGCAGTAACGGTGCGCATTTGATTTTACTGGCACATCTGCTTACAAGGGTCAATATCACCGATAGCTTCATTTTATTGCAATGAACGTCTTAATCCCCGCCATTGGCCAACTGTACCATCGAAACCCTCATATTTTGTCTCGATAGGTGAGGACCTGAATAGGCTGCACCATACGCGTGAGAAGACGATGTAGACCGATCGACCAGTACGGTGAGTTCCCAGACTTCTTTTGGCAGCAGACGGACGACTGTATGCAAGTCGCCATCTGTTTCGCGGGTTCTCCTTCTAACCACCGGATATTTGTTTATGGTAATCGTGTATTCTTCCTTTTAGCTTAACTCGATACTAATATAGATGCTCGTCGTTATATACAATTTTGTCATAAACTGACTAGCTCTACACATCCCAGGGGGACTTGGGATTGAGGGCACCTCCTCAAGTGACGACGATAGGTCGATACGAGCACAATTAGCACCGAAGACTATGACATCAAGGGTATCAATCTATATCCATGCAAGACCGTCCGAATTTTTAAATACATAATCGCGTGACCCAGTTCGTTAACGTCATATACTCTGTTTCTCCAACATACAAGTGCATCCCAGGCTAAGTCTCTTAAGACTCCCTAGCCTTGCGGCGTAGAAACTTCATCACAAACTCAAATGAGGGCATCAATTCATAAACTTCGTTCTTTGGCACGACTCTGCGGACCTCGTACCCCTTGTATTCCTGTTGAGTATAGCTGTTCATGTCCCTCATGTCACAGATGTCCGATGGCTGGACAATGTAGTTGGCCGGGTCATCGTGGTAATTCATCACACTTTTAGGGTTGTGGGGTCCCATGGTGACCGACTCCAACTCGCGCAGCGTGCCATCATGTTGCGGTATGAACTCATCAAATGAATGCCTCGAACCGCCGATATGACCAGCTTCGTGTCCCATGTAGCCGGCCAGATGGCTGCGATACTGCGGGTGGAAGGCCGTCAAGTACACCCACAAGGTGCGATCTTCCGGCTGTGGCGCAGCGGGGAAGAAGGCCTGGGCGAGAACGCTGCAGTCTAGGTCTGCATGAAAAAGAGAAAAGGCAATCCGGAAATGGGCAGGTTCGTTGCGGTCGACAGGTTCAAATTTCAAACCAGCCTCAGCCCAAGGGCTAGCACCTTCGAGGAATGCCTTGACAGTTTCGGTGGCCCAGTCCAAAGACGGGAAGGTCTCATCGCAGCAGACAAACTTGATAGGCTCACCGCTTTCGAGATGGTGAAGAACGATTGTTTTATCCAAGCCGAATCGGAGAGCGGCCGCATCAATTACAGACGACCCGCGCACAGAGCATTTTATCTTCGGGGCCGCCTCATGAAGCACAGGCGTGATCATCTCGAACAAGTAATTGATGACTTCGTCCTTGCGTAGGTTAGATGTATCAGATTGAGTCTCTACCGGAGCATTAAGAGAGTCCAAAACCCCTAGATCGCCTAGAAGAGGGAGGTTGCAGATATATCGCATGTTCTTTGGCTCCAAGATTTCTTTCAACTGATGCGAACTCAGCATGTCTGAATTGGCTTTTTTGTATATCATAGTGTAACCTAGCGAGCCCCTTTTATTGACCATTGCGCTAATAGCTGGAACAATCGCGGGATTGCTAGGAACCGAATCAGTACCGGAATCGGAGTCGGAGGTAGATTGCATGTTTTCAGAGTCCAGTTCAGCCTCGAAGCGGGCAATGCCTTCTTTGACAGAAGGCGAAACGGCGACTGACGCGCCGTCTAGAAAACTGGGAGCATGTTCGGAGCCGCTGACCCAGTTCGTAGCCGAATTCATCCGTGGTGTAATAGCAAGGCTAGGTGCATCGTCCCCTGGACTGATGCCCGGGATGAATAGGCTCGAGCTAGGGGGTCGCGGGGCATCTGAAGTTGCTTTTAAATCAACGGTTAATCGGCTATTGAAGCTAGAGACAGTGATAGTCTCCTTTCCATCATCGCTCTCGTGTCCCTTGTAAGATGGCGCTGAGCCAGTTGGTCCCGTAACAACCGAGTCATTATTTAGACTGAAGACGGTTCTGGTGTCGATGGTGTAGATGGAGCTGGTGTCGTCACTTCGCTCATCATCGGATTCTGGGTACCGGTCGACAATGTGACGGTCGTGATGATCGAATGGTATAGACTGGGCGGGAGGAGGTAGTGGACTCTCGCCTTCGAGATGGAGATGCATGTCCCCGGGGGATCCATCGTCCGCGGTGCCCCGAAAGGGATCGTCCGCCCATGCAGTAGGTGTCATACTCGCGATTTGTGTCCGTTGACAGGTTTCGGGGCCAGATGAGCCTATTATATAATCACACAAGTACCCGGCCCGGTGTAGGAATGGGGAGTGAGCGAACGAGACTAGGCACAACAGAAGCAAGGCGTATAGAGAAGAAGGGAAATTTTCAAGTAAGCATAACTGGGAGAACGATTATATATATGCAAGCTATTACCCCAGCGTGCGGGGATCTTCATTCATTCGTTTATGGCTGGAGAGCGGATGGAGGGCCAGCGCGGGGAGCTTGTTGGCGACAGGTGTGGTTCACCACATCAACCCACTGTACTATCGCCGTAGAATCTCTAGTATGGATTGTATATGTGCTATCAATAGGCAGCGTCTTCACAACTCTGACAAACTAGCAACTGAGTATGAATACCTGTATACACCGTCCCGTTGACAGGGCATCTAGTAGCCTTTTTCAACTGATCTTGCGGCATCCTCTCATACATATCATCATAGGGTCACTATCAACTTGTTCGAGAGTCGTCTACGACCTATCTCACCAGCCATCAAAGCCAGTCGTAAGTCTGTTTCCTTACGTTGCACTGCTCTACAGCGCTGATCGCCTGTGCTTTCGTGTCTCTGCAACCGCCATAAGCTAATAGTTGTTGCCGGACTGAGAAATTACTTCAACCTTGATTGATATTACTGATTAAACAATCGGCCAGCCGAACTTCGTCAGCTATGTATACTGAGAGGCCTTTTGGAGACGAAATAAGTAGAGGGGTTTTTAGAAAGCTCTAGAAGCTCCTCATCTAGGTAGGGATTTTGCCCGTGTGATGCACTGAGGCAGCTGTTAGCAACCATTGTTCACTGTGATCTGTACTCATTCAATCAGACAACCTATTTTGTAAGCTAGAATCTACAGATGCATCACTGCAAAGCAATATTGAATGAAAAATAATAGTACGAGTTATGGCATGAAGATGGTAGATTTGAATCGTTGATATGAAAAACTCATTCGTCTGGTGGTACCTATATCCACCTAGGTAGGTAGGAGAGCAGTAATGAATTGGAGTACGGAGGTTATGGTCCCAGATATCCATCACCCTTGGCACCCTAGGCCAATACTAAGGGTGATGGGTATTTACGACCCAACCTCCTTAGTGAAACTACCCATGGCTTTAACTAATCATGGCCTTTAGAGATAAATAGCTTCTACCAATAGGGAATTAGGTAACCGAGTAATACTGAAAGTCAACAAATGTGAATTGCGTGCTAAAAAGTCTATGTAGTGCTACCTTTTCGAAGCCATCGTGAGCCGTATCATACAGAGATTTCTCCGAATCCTCCGATCTGGCGCTGACTAATCCACTCCTTTGTCTGGTCACACTACCCTATTTCAGTAACTGGTGCCCATTTGGTTTTAATCACAAATCTGCTTATAACTACCTAACCTTCCCCTTTCGTAGCCCGATGGACAATGTGTGTACGGATGCCCTCTAATCTTGTTTTCCGACTTTGCCTCCCTGAAAGCCCAAGTAAACTGGTTCGCCAATATCGATGCCGAAACGATACCTCTCATCATCGTCCCACCAGCCGAGTTTCACATCGTATGAGTCAAAGTGCTTCGCCAGTTCATCATCGTTTTTCCATTCGGCCTCCGGGGGCATATAATCCTGGCTGTACATAAATCGACTGTCTGCTAAAAGTGCCATCACGCTCGCAATGGAGCAGGGGTTTCGTGGTAACATACCCCTAAGCTTCGTGAGCCAGAAGGACAGTCCACTAAGTATCAGAATGATGGCAAACATGATTTGGAGTGCTAATTTAGACGCGAAGTCCCATTAGTTGAGAACATTTTGCAGTTACCTCCCCCTTGAACACATCGTGCGTCGAATTACCGTCCTCTATAGGCTTCCGGAACACAGGGCTGTTCAAGACCAAAACCATGTACGTCTGGTAAAACTGCGAAACAGCTGCTGAAATGGAAGGTATATGACGGTTACATTCAACTGAACTACTTGATCTGAGTAAGGTTAGGCCTTTCCCCTAACATCACTCTCACCAGAGGCCTTCATCAACACCATCCTCATCACTATAGCAGGCATCGTCCATATAAGCATCCGACAATTACAATTGCACAAGACCATATACACCCATCCTACCGCCGACTTACTCGAGTAGCCTACACCACATGTCGATGTCATCAAGATCAAGATACCCTTTTACCGAACACCACACGGCGGGGACAGCGCGCAGCATTTGCATCTTCTAACATCCTCGCAGTATCGCCTTAATACATCCAAGACTTGAAAATAACAAAGAGTAAGGCAGTGCTAAAACCACAAGTAGATAGATCCCAGGTTTACATCGTCAGCTGAAGCGGGGTATCGTGCCACTGTCCGCGAGCGCAACGTAAAAGCAATCGTAGCGGTAGGAGAGAAGAAAAGAAAAAAGATTCTGGCCACCGAGGGGATCGAACCCCCGGGACCTAACGATGCAGAGTAGTTATGCAGAGTAAGTATGCAACCGCTAACCGCTAGGTAAAGATACAAGTAGATATGCTTCGCTAGGCCGTACCAACGCGGCCAGTAGCCCAGAGGTCTGTTTGGGAATATATGCTGTATGACAGGTGGGATAAGGTTATTGGGTTGAAGTATATTCTGGGCACGGACCGAGATAGTATTAATAATCACAGTGTGGATGGTTGTGAGACTGGTTTAATCGATACTGAAACAGTATGGACGTGGGTAAGTCTAGTTTAGGTAAAAGGGAAAGATAACTTATTATAATATTCAGCAAGGGGTTAGATGTTAAGCTGGGAGTCAAGGTCACGATCAAGTTGAGTGTTATTAGAAGGACTCTATATGCTGAAAACCCCAGGGCCTCAACATTGTGAAGTAGGCAGTGTGAGATGAAGACATATCTCTAACTCGAACACCGGAATCTCATGATAATAAGTCTTCGTCGTGAAATTCTAAAATACTTGAATCCCTAGGTCACTATCATATGCCACCGCTATGGTCCCATTATCCACTACATAACATCTTAAACAGTATTCAATTCAGCATCAAACTCCGCGTCATGAAATAAATCAAGTGAAATGAACAAATTTATATACACGGCGACATCACCTAACATCGGCATCACACACCATGCACTACTACTATATAACGCATCATCCCGCCTCTCTCCGTCTCACTCTCTCGCACTCTCATAGCCAGCGGGCAGAGTTGAAACCCCCTTAGATTCCTTACCCTTAAAAACTCGTCTTATCTAATTTCATAAGCTTCCAAAATTTAATTCAATTCAATCCCCGCCAACGCCAAACTGGGAAGAGCCTAGAAACCTAGGTAGGTAGTCAGACATTACACAATTCATTATTCCTAATCTTCCAAGGCGTGAACCCAATCTACTGCTTTGCTCAAAAATTCTAGTTTGAAAAGACAAAAGCTTGCATGCCCGGTTCTTATCTCGAGCTGCCATGTGGATCATACTGATGACCCCATAATGCGTTGCCGACCTGGGCTTGGGTTGAATTCCTAGGGTTTCGCGGCGGATTAGAACCCGGCGGGACCTCGTCCCCGGTGTGACCGCTATATGGATCGCCTGCGTCGTATGCGTAGTACTGCGGTCCGGCAGCCCCTATATCGCCTCTATCATCGTAGGGTGCATAAGTAGTTGTGTGGGTTGCCGGGCCCTGTTCTGTGTGTTCGTCGTATGCTTGCGGATTGACCATTGTATCTTTGTAGGGTGTCGCCTGTCTCTTATGCCCGCTTGCCGGATTAGGTTGGGCATTTGCTATAAGTCCGGCGCTCTCCTCCGGCATTGGATCTCCAGGGGCATTAGGTAAGCCAAATGTACTCCGACGAAACTGGTTCGCGATTGGTAAATGGTCTGTACTCTTACCATTAGGATTTTGAGACGAGTAGCTTGTATCAGCCTTGAGTTGATAGCTTGGGTCTTCGTGGCGGTGCTTAGCCCCAACAAATAGCCAGCGGATCCCTCGGCCGAACGCCTTGATGATGTCCCATGGGTTAATAGCGTCAACGAACGCTTTGAGGCCGAGAAATCCTCCCTGCTTAGGCCCACGCTCATTTTCTCGGGGTGGTATTCCAATCGTGGAATTGGGGCTGGGATAAAACGTAATCTTGGCGTCTTCCTTGTACTGAGCATAAGGGAAAGACCACAAATGAAGTATGGCGAAGAGAGCCATCTCAAAACAGAGGAGTAAGCTAGGGATGCCCACTTTCAAGTCGGGATAAGCGAGCTTCTCGTTAGGCTTCACAAGGTGAACAGTTTCCGAGGTGACCAATGAGATAACGACAGTCTGCCAGAAGGACAAGAAGACAACAAGTTTGATGGCCAATACTTTAAGGCCCAGCTTATGCTCAGCGAGAGCCACCCTGAATTGTGAGTAAAATTGAATCAAACAATAGATGGCAATCGTTACTGCGGTAGCTTCAATCGCAATGACCTAAGGTAATCGTGAATTAGCAGACATGTGCAGACCCTATTTTGAAATCGTGACATACCCAGACATGAGCGAATACTGGACTATTTGAACTCTCGCAATATCGGCCAAAATATTGTGTTACAACAGCAGTGATAGCCATGGCGACGCGTATGAAGCAGTATTGATAGACACCGACCCAGATGACGTTGAACCAGGTCAGCCCTGATTTTGGTACCCTCCAACAGCCACGATCACCGCCGCAGCATTTGGCAAACCAGTTCACGGGTATAAGCCAAGGCTTGATCGGATGCAATTGGCGGAAGAATTGCTTCTGCTCGTGGAGATCCGGCGCCACGAGATGACACATCAACGCAAAGAAGGACGAGATGGCGAAGGCTTCGTACGCCTCACTAATGACTTGAAAGTATATGGCATGCCAATAGAAGTAAAGAGAGAGAAAGGACGACGTCGCATAGATAGGGACCATGAAAAGGATTCGAATGATGCTGTTGTTTGTTAGCTTCCATTGTTACAAGCCGGCGACAATTGTGGGTAGGCAGCATACTGTCTTTGCTCGCGAGGTTTCGTGTAGTTGAGCGCATGTTGCCACATAAGATAGAAGCTCACGATATAGGCGATGATGGTAGAGCCGCCAGCGATGATCAGAGCCAACTGGTGGAAGTTGAGGTCGCCAACAAGCTTCTCCTCGGACCCGACTGTATGGTAGACGAAGCGATCAGCATTGTTAGCCCGCTAGATAAGACTTGGATTGGATGACTTGGCGCCATGACTCTCGGCGCGCGGCAAGGACAAGGGCGGGCGAAGCTTATTTTGCTTGGGGTGAGAACATACTGCGCAAATCCTCCAGTGTGGAGTTACATGTTGTATTCCAGAAATCCGAGCCCATGTTGGCGGGCGCGGTGTCACACGAGAAGCGTCAACTGTTGTGAGGCCCTGCCTCTGCGAGCAATTGAATGGGGCAACCGAAGAGGTCTGAGGTCTCGCGCGCAGCACAATCGACTACTTAGGGGCTCGCGATGATGCCAAAGGAGTGGCGATGGTTATTCGACGCTGGCGATGTATTCGGGGAACTTGCGCATGCGGTTGGGTATTCGGAGACTTGCTGATCGGAGGTCGATGGTGAAGCTACGGGTGAAATGAAGCGTGGAATCGCCGGGGCAAGTGGTTTCAAGGAACAAAGGACTCGGTAGGTCGGGGTATCGGTATCTCGGTGGGAGGAGGATGGGGCAGCGTTGGACGTGTCGTCGTCGTCGGCGTCGTCGTTCCAAGCGGCAGCGACGAGATCTGTTGATGAACAAGAAGTGAAGAATAATTGAAGTTTCAAGATGAACAGGCCGGGGCCGTTGGGAAATGAACCAGCAGGGTAAATGGGAATTAAAGGGACCTACCACGTCCAGAGATGCCGATCTGGCGTTGGTGTGCAGGGTACCTAGGTGGGTACCTAGGTGGGTACATAGGTAGGGGCCATTACTTGGGCTGGCGGGCAGTGAAGTACCTACTATATCTACCTACTAGGTACCTACCTATAGTATGATACTACGCCGTGTTAGGTAGGTACATGCTTAGGTACTTCTGTCTCTATATGAGTGCTGCTGTAGAGACCCGAGAGACCTAGGCTAACCGTGGCTGGTCAAGTATCTTCACGTATCTGGGTTTATGCTTCCTGTCAGCGCTTACCTTCGGTCCCCTGGTACTGCCTTGGGCTCGCCTGGGTCTGCTTGGGCTGAGCAGGTTCACTGCCCAGTCTCTGTGAGAGAATCCGCCGCGATGATCCGCGCCAGGCCTTGCACCACGTATAGTAGCTCGAGTAGGTACTACTATACTATGTAGTATGTACACGCATGAACGAATACCTAGGACGTGTTCAGCCAGCAGATGTCCAGCTGTGATGTGGTGGCTGAGACGGCATTTGCCAAGACGGCTGCTAAAGCCTCTGGGTTTCTGTCTGGGCGCTGCGCTGCATGTCATTCGACGCCTAAGCCAAGCCTCCCCAGATGACGCAAACTCTACCAAATCAGGCAAGCCTATGTACCGAATACCTCCTACCTCTAAGCAAGGACTTCATGTCAGTATTTGAGATTGAGACATACGGGAACAGCAACAAAGTGTTGGATCACATAGTATACGAGTCGATAGATCCGATAAGATATTAGATTTATATATACCTTGAAAGCTTCAGCGCTATTACGTCATTTGAAGTCTATGCATAGTCTATATGTAGAGATGTTGGGCATAGATATGCGTTAACACTCGACACTTTACAAGCACGTTATATAGAACGCTTGCTGTCAATTCCGAATCCGACATGATTGGCTGGTTATCGATTACAAAATGTTTCTGATTACCGTATAAAGCTGCAATACTAGAGTGATGACTTAGGCGCCCTTCGCATGTACAAGTCATACCTCTCTGAGCGGAAATACACATAACGGACATCGTAGTTCCAAGTGTGACTAACATAGCTCCCGATAGCGCAGGAAAAAAGAAGACGGCTCATCCAGGCATAAATACCAAGACGCCAGCAAAGACGAGACAACGATGCCCTCACTATAAAAGGCTACACACCGGGGGTTTTACCTCCCCTCTACCGCCTATAGATTTGCCATCGGCCAACACACACAGTATCACGGGGCTCGTTTCACCATGGCGCCAACATCCGCTCTCCTCCTCATCGATATCCAGCAGGGCTTCAACGACCCCTCATACAAGGGTCGCTCAACCCCGGACTTCGAAGTCAACATCGCGAAACTCCTCGCCGCCTTCCGCGCCGCAGACAACGCGCACGTGATCCACGTGGCCCACCACTCCCGCTCGGAAGCCTCCGCGCTGCACCCCTCGAAGCCCGGCGTGCACTTCATGGAGTACGCCGCCCCGCGCCCGGGCGAGCTAGTCCGGTCCAAGGACGTCAACTCGGCCTTCGTTGGGACGGACCTCGAAAGCGTCATCAAGAAGCTTGGCGTGCAACGGCTTGTTGTGGCGGGGCTGACCACGGGCCATTGCGTTAGCACCTCCGTCCGGATGGCCTCTAATTTGCGCGTCGTGGATCATCCGCATGGCGGCGTGGCGGCGGGGCACAAGACCGCAGGGGAGATCATTGTCGTAGCGGATGCTACGGCTATGTATAATTGGCCGTATGCGGGGGAAGTCGTGGATGGGGATACCTTGCATGAGATCAATTTGGCTACGCTGGACGATGAGTTCTGCGTCGTGCGAAACACTGAGGAGGTGTTGATGTTGCTAGATGGCGCGTCTTAGTAGCATAGGCAGAAACAATGAATAAACTAATCTCATTAATTATGTCTTGATAGCGACACTTGGCGCTGATTATGTGATGTTGCAGTATGAGATGTCGCATACCTACTGCTTGTAGTGAGTTTATGTACCTAGGTCTACGGCAACATAATGTGTGAGAGGACTTCGCCGCTCCAGAGTAAAGGTATGCATTATTCTTACACAAGCAAGTTTAACTCTATGTGTTCATTTTAGTAAACGAATTAGTTCTCAGCAGATCATTCCGCATGCACTTTGGAGGATGATGATCAACGCGTAGGATTGCTAGTCCTGTTCCTTTCGGAGCCCGAAGTCCCTCTCAGACGTGTCGTGATCTTCCCTTCCTCATTATTTTTCTTTCTGCCTTCGCTTTCATCCTTTTTTTGTTCCGTGTTCTCACGTCCTGATTAATTCTCTGATATCCCAATTGCGCTGCATAGTGCTTATTGGCATCGTGTACTCTTGATAATAAGGATGGTATGGGAATACCATCTGGTGCACTACACTTTGAAGTATAGCTTGTGTCTACGAACAATAGATTGTGCTACGTTGAACGCAAAGCAGTCGTAGAAATGCCCCAATTCTAGAAGTCGAGTTGTCGTGCCGCCGGCCCTTAGCAATGTCTTAGACCGTATTTTCAATATAATGAATAATTTCGGATCCAAGCCTGAACTGCCTGATTAGTGCGAGATATTACATAGAGCGTAGAACAGGCGGATTCCCTACAGCTGTCCTTGTTCTACCCATGAATGATAGATATAGTATGCGTAGTTGTTTCATTCCAGCTCAAGGATAGGTCGCTAAGAGGAATATCTTATCTCTCCCCGAGGGTAGAATCCAACCTGAAAGTTTCACAATTCCTTGGCCAGCTAGTTCTCTGTGCTTCTATTGCAGCATACGATGCCTACCATATGACTCCTAACAATTCCTAGCCTGAGGCACAAACATCTAAATTTTAGACAGCAGTCGTCTTCTTCAAGATTAACTACCTATTCCTCCGATTGCATTAGACAGCGAATATGGCAAAAAAAGAGACCAAACAGACTTGACCTCAAATTTCACGACAATGGGCGCGAGCGCGCCTCGCTTTGATCTTTTCATCAGCATTCTTGATCACTATTAGTATCTTATTGGTTGTCTATCATGGACGTCCGATCCGGAGCTTCCCACGGGGCGTTACGTTGAACGGTGTTACATCCATTCTTGCGACCGCGTATAAAGCTTCTTTGTGATTCGCCATTTCGGCGGTACTCCGCCAGTCGGAATGGGACCGGTATGCGAAAGGGGTTCGCCGCTTTAAGGACTTTAAGTGGATAGATGAAGCAAGCAGAGGCCCTCTCGGAGCATTTCGCTGCTTCTTCGGTCGAACAAATAAGATCTCAGTATTGTCGCTTGCAACCGTTGTTGTCATCTTGGGCCTTCTTATCGATCCCTTCCTCTAGCCACTTTGAGGAGTGTCCAGTCACAGTTGAGTCAGATACTGTATGTACGGGAGTGTTCACGAAGATATTCACAACGCCAGCTACATTTTCCAAACAGTAACCGCAAGTTCTCGCCCTTCGTGACTTTGCAATGGTGCGCCAAGACGGAGACGTTGGATGCAAGCCGCCTTTCCATCAATTGCTACCGGAGTAATGACTACACGGCCTCGGAAACATGATATCTAAGTATAAAAAAACACGAACACTGCCGTGAGCATAGTCGTGGGACAGCGATTAGCTGCCAAGAAAGATCCGGTTTCTTAAATTGATGTTGTTCTTTCTACAATAAGCAGATTCTCTCATAGTGGCCTATAATTAACTTTTATCTCCGATGATATTATGGTTACAGCAGTATTATGCCTTCGTTATCTAACCCCTATTAGCTCTTAAGCAATGACTATTCTGAAATTCAACGACTATACTATCGAGAACTTATAACGTTATGTGATTTAACTATAATAGTACCAGAGAGGCTCTAGCAGAGTAAGGTAGCGATTGATTTCGGAGTAGTAAGTGATAGAAAGGTTCTTCTAATTTGAAGCAAGTTAGATGGCGCATCCCTTCTTTATAGCCAGCGAATCCTGCCCACGGGTGTGCGTACATCCAGGTTCAAGACCACCGACAGTCACAATTCGATGCTGTTGGTTCATAATATGCATTGTGTTGTGTTGCGTTGCGTCGCCCAGCCCCACTTGCGAACCCACCCCGTGACCGTGATAAGACAGCCCCTCGTTCTATTTATCCGCGGGCAGTTCCTGTTTCCTTTCTCATATGGATTGCATCTAACATAAGTCATAGAACCCCATCCAGGTTGCTATCGTTTAGGAGAAATGTCGTCGATGATTACCGCTGACACTCTCCGGCGTTGCACATTGCATCAACTCCCCGTTGAGCTTGTCGTACATATCATGAAGGCATCGCCTAGCCTGTCGGCACTATGGAGCTTCATCAACACCAGCGCCCGCTTGGCTACTATCTTCGATGGCTGTGCTCTTGAAGTTACTGAGAACGTTCTGCGATGCACTGTTCCTGAACAGACTCAGGTTTTGCTCTACGCTGTGTTTCAACTTCGCTTGTCTCTTCATCCGCCCAGTTTGCATGCCGCCAGGGAATTGCGTGAGGTGAACCTCAGCAGCCTCCAGGATCGTCTCCTAGCTACACCAATCACCACGTCGGAAATTCCACGAAGCTTTGTTTTTCTGGCTCATAAGATACATGTCCTGGCCCACGAATGTATCGAGCACTATATCAGGGTTTGCATGACAATGAATCCTTCTTGCCTAGACGACCCAACATTCAAGGGCTATTGGTACTTAAAGCTGAGACAACCCAAAGGCCGGCTCTACCAGCCTAAGGACTCTGGTCCCCCCTCATGGGCTGAGGAACAGCTTGTTCTATTGAACATGTGGCGACTGCAATATTACTTTGATATGAAAGCAGCGTGTGATGTCGGCCAACTTGGATGGTCTACAGCCGATCAAGAAGAGCTAAAATCATTGGATCTTCCCGAGTTTTACCACATGAGTCCTGCTGGGTCCGGGCATTACATAACCGAGCAACTCATGACAGTTTACGCGTACGTGCACGGAGTTCGAACCCCTGAACAGGATGCGACGCTTCCACTTCGCTTACCATCGCCAAATACACGTAGTCGATTCGACCTCGGGTGTTTCCCTGAGCCAAAGCGAAACCAGCCAGACGGGAAAGCACTTATAATCGATTTCAGACCAGACAGCTGGATATTTGCGTGGATGATGTCCCGTAATCTCAAAACCTCGCCGTTATGCGGCTTTGGTCCACAACACTTCCGGAGGTTCGGTTTCACCCTCTGGGAAGATAGCCGAATGACTGATTTGGGTCTTCTTCCACCTCGGAGCCACTTCTTTTCTTACGAGTATTACTTCAAATGGCGCAGCATCCTAAGTGATGAAGAGTGCGACCCGGCCAATAGAGATAACTGGTGACAGCTAAGTAGAATTTGAAGGAGGAAAACATGATTGGCAGCAAACTAGATAGGGTACAATGAATTCTTGATTATACTATCTGTGACTATTCTCAGTTTCAGTGTTACTAATCAACGCTTAGCCTTGCATGGGTTCAACATCAGTCGCGACATCATCGACATAGATCAGCATGTTCGGCGTCATAGCTCGTAAATCGTCAAGCGTATTCGAGATAGGCCAAGCTCTTTCTTCATCCCATATGCGAATTCTGGTGATAGTTTTATGTCCGAATATGTTCTTGTGCTGGGCCAGCATGTAGGCGGGACCAGCAGCATGGTAAGTGCCGAGGAGGCCCCAGAAGGCTGACGCAAGGGGGTTGGTGCCATCCTCGTTGATAGTGAAGTCAGAACCGGGCCAGGTCGGTAAAGTAGCCTGGGCGGCGGTTCGTAAGGCGTTGTAAATCGACATACGCGTATTCCAGTTGGCGATATGATCCCGAACAACATAGTTCAGCCTTTGCCCGGCTGCCACGCTCTCCCACCGGAATGCTGTTATATCTGACCACTTCTGTAATGGCGGAATCGGCGCAACAAATCCTGATTCTGCAGGTGCTACATTGGTGTATGCTATGATATACCCCTGAGGACCATTGTATATGTTTTGATAGGCTCCCAACGTTCCCTGGAATCAGCACGGTTAGCCGTTGATGCAGTGGCACACTGGAAAGAAATAGCATACCTGGTTTGGTCTGCCGTTGTCGTCCACCCCCCAGTCATTAATATGCATATCGCCCCAGGCCTGTTCGCCATCTACATTGAAACCTAGCTGATCGTAGAGTGGTCTGATATGGTCACGAAACTCTTCCACGACCGAGTTCAAGACAGATTCTGCCTCCCACCCGTATTCATCTAGGTCATCAGCTGTAAACTCACTCTGCCGAGCTAGCTTACTATTCATAAGGCACCAAAGCACTGTTAAGGGGTTAGTCGTTAGCCGTGTCATGACTCTTAGCGTGAGTTCAACATTTAGTGTTGCTGTGTCTATCATAGCTTCCAAGGATCTCTTACTATATATCTGTGTCAGTATGCACATTTCTCATTAGCGGAAGAAGCAGCACTCAAACCTTCTTCCTGTGTTTTGGCGAGCGGGCCATGAAGGAATATAAGGATCACCACCTAAATCGCCGCCCCCACGTTTGACTAGTCTGGTTGTCTTAGAGCTGTTATACCAACTACTAGCGGATGGAATAAAGAAGGCATCTGGTGCTGATTTTTCCCCGGTGGCGAGTGGAATAGATTGCACATAGGGTGTAAAGAATAAGAACAAAACAGCCGCCCAAATGGCGAAGAAGAGCCCCTTGCTCGTCATCTGCCTGTTGTTGTAGCAATGCATGCTAGTGCAAGCTGGCTATGATTCTGGTTTCTAGAACTTGAGACCAGGGCCAAGTCAAAATCGCGAAGGGAGATCCCACCCAAGTTCTTAAATACGTGGGATATGCTCGTTCTCATTGAAATAGTCCCAGGTTATACAAGAAACTTCTGTGGTGAAGAACACCGGGCCGGCAAGCCGACGGAATGAAGATACCTAGCCTCGCCTAGCCCTCACGAGACTTAAAATAATCAAAGCCGGGTGAGCCGTCTCTAGCGCTAGGGAAGTCTGGTCCTCGCTCGCTCATAGAATCCATAATCAGACATGCGAAGACAAAAAGGTGTTGAGTGCTGAGAAACCGGTGTGCAAGGGTGGGTTTCGTACCATATGCCCTCACAATCGCTCGTGATGTAACATTGACACAGAAATAAGAATATCATCGGGGATTTCTACGGTGGATTGAAGGTTGTCAGCCAACAGTCGTGGTCTAGAACATGGAATACTATGCTATGTACATTCAGTCACTATACACATCGATGCTGCGCCGCACTATAGCCACTGGCATGCATAGGGCCAACCAACAATGTAAGACGGCAATTTCGGAGACATTGAAAAAGGCCATGATACTATAACTCAATAGAACAAGCGGTGTGTCAGCGACCAACACACGCCGGTTCTCCCCCATATGACACAAGGGATTATGAAATGATTTATAACATCTTTTTCATAGCAACCTCTTTGGCACATATGGCATGGTTGAAAATAGGGTGTTAGTACGAGGAAGATGATGTTGGTAATCAAATGCAGCCACAGTGTGGATTTAATCAAGCCAAAAAGGACCATAGACATAATTATAATGGCCTGATGATAAGCTTACTTGGTCCAAGAAGTTATAAGCGAGTGTAATGATTGCAAGTCAACGTACCCTTCCAATGGATTTCAACTTGGCGATTCTAGTACCTCAGGTGCGTAGTACACAGATGAAGTTGTGAACTACCGCTTGCAAACCTCTATTCTAATACTCAGTCCAAGCCGTTAGGCCGTCGCTAGCTAATATACAACCCACCTCATCTTGAAATTCACCTTGTACACTGCATTTTATTACTGTGATACTTTCAATAATACCAGCCTGACTTATGACTCTTGTTCGGGTAGTATGCTACGTTGCCAGAATCTCAGCCTAAGGAGCCCGCAGTACGGTCAAAGGCTGGTATTGAAATGATCTCAGGGTGCCACTTCTGTATTTACCAATCTCATATTCTTATGAATGACAAGGGCACATAGCAATCTTATGAATACTACCGGTAACCGGGCCAGCAGCCGAGAGCGTCTAAGAATATAGGCAGAAAATTGATGCAATGGATTTGACATACCTTGGTTGACGTTGCTGTGGAATAGCACGGCACCAAGCGGCACAGCAAAATGTCGAATGATATTATGTAAGTGGACAACCCGATCACCTGGGTATGCTGGTTGCACGTGGCACGAACACCATACGATACCCTCGTCTGAAGTGGGCTCAATATTGATGCAATGCAGTTGGTAAACCAGACCAACAGTATGGACGAAGTTACTTCGGGAATAGGTCAAGTAAACAGTGCGTCCGAATATACCGGGACCTCCGGTTGAACCATACTGTTGGAATTGAGGTAATTCTAATAGTACAATTGATCATTCACGAAGTAACGTCACATGAATTGCAAACTGCGCCGGTTATCAATGTGGCACATGCAACTGAAAATCATTCTACACGACCGACATCGCAACCGCAATTTCGGGCCGGCGTGAGTGCAGGCAAGCTGTTCTACATGCCATCCTCGTCTAGCCATGTTCGTTTCTGACAAACTGATCGATATATTATTGTCTGTATATATTTCAGCGATCATGGCGAAAGAGAGCCGAACTGGTCCTAAGTCGACACATATTGTCTATCTTAGATGGGTTGTGTCATTCAATCCTCTTCATCGCCGAGATGCTCTATAGGCTCTTTCGCAATATCTATCTGATTTCTGCTTACCTCGGCACGCATTATGTTGACGCCGAAGAGTTGCTTGGTATCACGCACCAAAGCCCGGAACGTGCATTACCTGAACTTGGGCCTCCTTACAGTGGCTTCAAGTTTGCTCAGGATGGTGATTTAATTCCTTTAGGCTCATCGACAACTGCGCGAAATGCGCCAAATCCCCTTCAAAGGAGACAGAGGGAAGAAGACCCGACAACAGGGGCTTTGCTATGTATGAAGGCACCGTGTGTCGATGGCAGGTAAGTTGCATCTTGGCCAGGGTTTCCGGATATGAGTTTCAATGTATGGATAACGACTTATTATGACTAGTTGTTGTGGTCCTGCGGGCATTTGCGGTTACGGGCCAGACTTTTGTGGTACGGGTTGCACCAGTAACTGTGATGCAAAAGCTATGTGCGGCAGATATTCAGTGAATGGTACCGAGAGCTGTGGTATGAATATATGTTGCAGCTGGGGTAAGAACTGCTCCCGAAACGAGGCGTCATAGGCGATATTGACATCGGTCTAGGTGGTTGGTGCGGTACAACGGAAGCTCACTGTATACAAGCCAACCAGTTCACGCCGTGCCAGGTTGGTTACGGCCAATGTGAAATCATTCGCCCCAAACTATGTGGCGAAGACTCGGGAACAACCAAAGGTCGCTCTATTGGCTATTATCAAGCATCCAACTCGCGAGATCGAATCTGCAACCGGATCACACCGGATCAGATCCAGACGGACGGCTATACCCACCTATTTTTCGCCTTTGCCTCGGTTGACCCCAAGTTATTTACGATTAAGCCATGGGACGAGAATGATATACCTCTGATGACGGCCTTTACTGGACTTAAAACTTCAACTTTACAGACATGGATTGCTGTTGGTGGCTACGATTTCAGCGACAAAGATAAGCCAACGCATACAACCTGGAGTGACCTTTGCGCCAATGCGGATAGCCGTGCTACCTTCATCAGATCCGCCATGGCCTACATGGACCAGTATGGCTTCCAGGGCATGGATCTGGATTGGGAGTACCCTGTAGCTCCCGAACGCGGAGGCCAACCTGGAGATACGCAAAACTTTGTGAAGCTGGTAAAGGAGATGAAGGAGGCATTTGGAACCAACTACGGCTTGAGTCTGACACTGGCACCGGACTACTGGTACCTCCGTAACTTCGATCCGAAAGCCATGGAGCCTTACGTGGACTTTTTCAGCTTCATGGCTTATGATCTACAGTGAGTTACCGGATATCATTAGAGTACTCCTTTCGGGAGTTACACTGTATTACTCATTTATGGTAGACTCTAATCCGATGTATAAACAGTGGCTCCTGGGACAGCGACGTGTTAGCTTTGGGTGCGCTTGTTCGCGGCCAAGCCGATGTTCGAGAGATTTATAACGACACTCTACCCCTATTCTACGATGCTCTCGATCCTTCCAAGATCAACTTCGGCTTAGCCTGGTACGGCCGCGGTTACACACTTTTTGACCCAAGTTGCAATCAGCTCCTGTGTCCTTTTAAGGGACCCAGCAAGGCGGGAAAGTGCACAGGGACTCCAGGGGTCATGTCACTTCGTGAAGTCCAGCAGCTTATAGCCGAGAAGGGCCTTAAGCCGAGGCTCAATAACGAGTCTTTAATGAAAGAGCTATCGTGGGCAGACCAGTGGATAGGGTATGATGACGAAGAAACACACGCCCTGAAACGAAAATTTGCCAATAACCTCTGTTTTGGTGGAACGGTGGCGTGGAGTGTCGATTTTAACTCAGGTCCCGGTGACGGAGACCAGCCGCCTGTATCCACAGATGGTAGCTGTGGATCCGGCAGTGGTGGTAAAGTATGTGAGGGTAGCGGATTTGGAGATTGCTGCTCGGCTCATGGATTCTGTGGCAGTACTTCTGACCACTGCGGGAATGGGTGCCAGAGCGGCCGATGCTTTACCGGCGGCGAGACCACTGACGGAACCTGCGGCGCCGGTTATAACGACATTGTCTGTGGCCTATGGCCTCAGGGGAGTTGCTGCTCTCCGGCGGGCTTTTGCGGCCGTTCGGCAGATCACTGCGGCCCTGGCTGCCAGAGCGGACCATGCTGGCAAGATCCAGATGGGAAAGGTTCTGGTGATGTTTACATTGATAATACCGTCTACGTCCAGCCTAGTCCTACAGTTCAATGCTTTCCTCCCTGTACCTTAGTGTTTCCTCCATCTACCATGCCGACAGCCACCACGTTATCTTTTGCGCCCTTCACGACTGCTTTGACTATTGGCAGTTCTGTGGCTACAACAGTGCTCAGGCCTTCACCAGGTAAATGTCGCGCCGAAAATATAAAGAATCCATCACTAATCAAGATTAGTAACGACAAGTGTCATCTGGTTCTCGAACCTACCCATTTCCTCTGGGCAGGATACCGGCACCTTTGCGCTCACAACCAGCGTCGTTCCATCTCCCATAACAATCAGCCTAAACGGCCTGACCAGTACAGTCAATTTCTCAGCTATTGCGCCGATCTTTGACACCACCAGCACGACGCCAATATACTATACCCTCCCAACCACCTTGTACTCAACAAAAGGCACCACGCAGTATTTCTCGGAAGATCAGATTACTACGTTGAGTGGCTTAACAGAAATCTCTACGAGCACAACTGTATGGGTAGATATTGAAACCTCTACAACTTCTTCTACCAGTACTACTTCTACTTCTACTAGTACTACTTCTTCTACAGTTGTCCCAATCATCATAGGGCCAGGTGGCTTTTATTGGTCTCCTATTCCGTTCCCGACGGGACCCAAGTTTCCCATTCCAAATTTGCCCTCACCTCCGCCTATTCCGAGCCCTTCTTGCTTCAAGTATCACACGGCCAAGACTCCAGAACCGAAGATAACCGATGCTACCCCTAGAGGAAAGTGAGGCTATAAGCGATTGGATAAGGATAATCTATTAGCTATAAAAAGACTAACAGTTAAAGCATAAATGCCTAACAGACAAAAGGGAGTTATAAATTGTATAAGGCTTAAATGAGTATAAATAGCTAAAGAATCTCCCACTCCAAAAGAAAGAAAAAAAGAAAGATCAAGGCCCTAAAGACCCCTAATAGATTATTAATAAATATAACTAAGTTCTAAGCCCTTTATAAAAGCCCTTATTATAAATAATCTACTATTCCCCTTTAGGATATTCCAATATAGCCTAAACCTTTGCTTAACGGATAAGCTTTAATAAATCTTTATATATATATAATATTATTTTAAGCTTAAGTCCTTATAAATATAGGATTATTTTAATAAGATATTTCCTTTACCCCTATTAAATAAAGGTATTTTAGGATAATTTATACTTTATATTTAATAACTTAAATATTATAAATTATAATTTTAATATTTTTATTTAAAGAGTAAGAAGTAATTAATAACTTTATTAACTTAAAGCTTTAAACTTTTTTAAAATTGTAAATGTACCCTAGCTATAAAACTTTAATTCTAATTTTTATTATCCTAATAAGGATAGTTTAGACTTTAATTCTTTAAGATCCCCCTTATTATATAAAAACTGTTTTAAGGATAAGTAGTAGTTGAATTATCCGCTTTTGCTACTTTATTGGACCTTAGAGCCCGAAATTAAGGATGTTCCGCCCCCTAGCAACTTATAAGTAGAATTAAAACGTATAGAGGTATTAAACAAATATTCCGTTAATTTTAATTAAAATCTAACTTTTACTTTTAAATAAGCTATATCCCTTTTATTATTACTTATTATATTTAAACCTGCTTATTTTAATTAAGTTATATCCCCTTTTTTTAAAGGATTATTTCCTTTAAAAAACTTATTTAAATTTATTAATTAATTAGCTTTATAATAAAATTCTTTTATTATAGCTTTTAAATTAATATTTAAAGCTATAGAACTTACCTTTTATAACCTAACTATTTATAATAATATTAAGGATATAAAAATGGAATATATAAATATAATAATTTAAAACCTTTTATAATAGGTTATAAATATTTATAATTATATAGGTAAAACCTTTTAAATAGCTTAATCTTTATAAAAATATAAGTAAGGAATACCCTTTAAATAAAAAAAAGCATTCCAAAATATATATATTACTATTTATAATATATATAATACTTTAATTAATTTATATAAAATAAATATATAAGTAATTTAAAAATAAATAAAATATTTTTAATAAAAGATTATATAAAGAAGTATTACCTTCTTTTAAAATATATAAGGAATTATTATATATATTATATAGGATATTTAATCTTAAGCTAATATTATTAATTAGTTTAAAGAGGTAGTGGATTATTATTATTAAGCCCTTTAAACTTTTTAAAGTAAACTTATTAAATAAAAAGCTAACTATTAGGAGACCTAAAGAGTTATAAATAATTAAGCTATTATAATTAGGAAATAAATTAATTAATTTATAAACCGCTTTATTATAAACCCTAATTAAATTAATAAGCTATAAATTTATATTTAAATAATAATTTAAAAAATCTAAAAATAATTAAATAAATAAATTATACTTAATATAAACTAAATCATCAATAAGTTAAAAAAGCGTAGTATTATAACCAGCTTTACTAATTATCCCGCTATAAAATATTTGTTATTAAAAGCTATCCTATAATAATAAATCAATAATAAAGTATTATAAGTAGTAAAAGCTTAATTAATTATTTAAACCTTTTAAACATAATATATAGCAATAAAAATTTTATTAGGAATTTTTACTAAAGTTACCCTATTACCTAAAGGTAATTTAAAAAGAAACCTTAATAGCTTTAATAATAATAATAACCCCTTTAAAGGATAACCCCCCTATAGTCCGCCTAAAGGACCTAAAGGAAATTTAAATAACGATAATCCCTTTAACCTTCCTATTAATAAATTAATATATACCTTTTTAACTATATTTAAAAGTATTAATTTTATAATTATAACATTCAATCCTATTTAATTTAATAAGCCTTATACCTATAATAAAAAGGATATCTTTAAATTTTTTCTATAATAGGTTAAAATTAAAGATTATATATTTATATATATAAAAAGTTTTTCCTTTAATAAATACTATATTAATTAAATTAACTTCCTTATAATAAATAAAGCTTTATAATAATATTAATTTTATTAAAAATAAATCTGCTATATTAGTATTATTAATACTTAAGCAATTTATCGAATAGCCTTAAAAGCCCAGTTTAAGGATCCTTTAATAACATATTAAAATGTTAATACCTTTATAAAGGTAAAATATTCCGGTAATATTGCTTAATTCCTTATTAAAATCCTTAACCGGAATAATTCGGTAAAGTAATCTAGCCCTATATTTTAAACCTTTATTATTAAATGCCTACCATTTAAACTTATAAAGATAATCTATTATAATTAGAGCTATATCCTTAAAAATAATAATAAGTTTTTTAATATAATTTAAAAAGCTAGCATTATTTATAAAAATATATTAATATACTTTAAATTATTTTTAAAAGGTATACTTAATTTAATAAAGGAGTAATTAAAGTTAAGCTATTAAAATTAAAGTAAAAAGAATTGCTTTAACTTAAGCTTAAGCTAATTTTTAAAAAAGGATAAGGAAAGGAAACCCGTTAATAAAAAACTAAACAAGTTTAAAATCAATCCTAAAAATAATCGCTAACCTAATGCTATAGCTATATTAAAGGGGATTAATTAAATTACTATTAATAAATAAAAGTAAAATAAAATTAATTATTAATAATATAGGAAAAGTAATTATTATACCTTTACCTACTATATTAAAAAGGATATTAAAGAAAAAGAGCTTCCTTTAATCTTTAAAAAAACCTTTTTTATTAAAAGAAGGCTTAATAATAATATAGAACTATTATTTATAATAAAACGAATTAAAATTAACGCTATTATTATAAAGGTAATTAACTTTATATAATATATAAAAATAAAAGAATTAGATTTAGATTTTTAATTAAGCTTTATAAAGTACTGTATAGGAATTTAAGCTTTTAAAAAGGTAACTTTTTTTATATTAATATAATTAAACGAATAAAAGATAAACTTCTTAAACTAATTTAAAAAAAGGCTAATTTGAAACTTAAAATAGGTTATAGGCCTATTATCCTTATAACTTTATTATATAATAATTAAAAATATTTAATTAAGGTACTTTTGGATATAGGTAGTACTATTTTTATAATATCCTTTTTAAAGGTTAAATAATAAAAGCTACCTTTTATTAAAAAAGTACACTTTAAACTTATATTAACCTTTAATATAATATATATATAAAAAGTAAAACGGTATTATATAAAATAAATTATTTTCTAATATTAAAAAAACTATTTTATAAAGCTTAGCTTTAAATTAAATATTTTTAATAAAAATTATAATGTTATTCTATTCTAATAATAAATAAAGGAATATTAACCTATTTATTTTTTTAAAAATATAGGAAAAATTATATTTATATTTAAATATTGCTATAAGAATTATATTAGTTAAGCTATTTTTAACCTAAGGATTATTAAGGTTATAATAATTATATTTTAAGTAGCTATTAAAGTAGTAATAGAATAAATCCGTAAAGAATTTAAAAAGTTCTTCCCAATTATAACCAAAGTAGTAATATAATGGTTACTTAACTATTAATTTTAAAATTATATAATTAATCTTATAAATAGGAAAACTCCCCCTTAAGGACCCCTTTACACTATAAATAATTATAAATTAAATATATTTAAACTATAGTTAAATAAAATATTTAAAATTAATTGTATTTAAAAATCTACTATATTATATAAAGTACCCTTTATATTTGTAAAAAAAAAAAACCTAAATAATCTATTATACCCTATTATAAATTATTAAGGCTTTAATATTATTATAATATTAATAAGGTATTTTATTCCCCTTATTGTAAAATTTTAAGCTAGATTTTAAAAGGTTAAATAGTTTATTAAAATTAATTTAAAATCTAAATTTTACTTAATTAAAACTAAAAAGGGTTATAAATAAAAAATAGTATTTTATTATAAATATAAACTTTTTAAATATATAATAATACTTATAAAACTTATTAATACTTTTATAACGTTCTAATTTATAATAAATTATATTTTTTAAAACCTTATTAATATAAAGCTATTTATATACCTTAATAACCTTTTAATTTATATAGAAATAAAGGAAAAATATAATAAAATAGTTAAAAAAGTATTATAATGCTTTAATAAGTATAATTTAATAGTAATACCCTAGAAATATAAATAATATATATATAAAGTTAAATTCTTTAAATACGTTATTAATATTAATAGTATTTTAATAGCTTAAAATAAAATTAATTATATTATTAAATAGGAAATACTAACTACTTTATATAAGTTATAACAATTTATTAGATTTATAAACTTTTATTAAAAATTTATTAAAAAGTTCTTATTAATTATAAAACTATTAATAAATATAAATAAAATAAATTAATAATAATAAAAATAAATAAAAGCTATAAATAAAGCCTTTTTTAAATTTAAATATTAATTTATTATAGTTCCTATATTTATCCATTTTAACCCTTTTAAAATAGTTTATATTAAAACTAACGCTTTTAATTTTACCTTTAAAGCTATACTATTATAAAAAGATAATAATAATAAACTTTACCTTATTATATTTTATTTTTAAAAGTTAATATTAATAAAAATAAACTATAAAATATATAATAAAAAGCTACTTATAATAATAAATAGATTTAATTAATAATGCTAATATTTAAAAGGTACTTAATATTAAATTGAAATTTACTTTAACTATTAAAACCTATTATACTTTATAATAGTTAAAGTTTTAAATAAATAATAAATATATTAAGTATAGTAATTATTAATATATTAATTTATAATAAATTATTAACCTAGTAAATTAAATAAAAAGGTTAATATTATATTAAAACTAACCTAATATTACTTTAAAAAAGGAAGGAATAAAAACTAACTAATTAAATTAGTCTTATAAAATAAATATTTTTTGCATTTTAAAGGATTAATATTTAACTTAATAATATTTATATTATTAACCTTTAAATAATTTTATAGCCTTTTTATATTTAAATAGTTATTAAAATTCGTTAAATTTATTAAAAAAGTAATAAAAAATAACTTAAAGTACTATTTATAAAAAAATAAACCTTTTAAAAATATAAAACTTATAAATAACTTATTATATAAAAAGGAATACTTATAAATACCTATAGTAATATAATAAAAAATAATAAGAATGGAATATAATATATAAATAATTAAATATATAAAAATGGATAAAATATTAAAATTTATTATAAAGAACTTTTAATAGTTTAATATTAAGGTAACTATAAAGGACTTTATATAAGGTTGCTATACCTATTAATAAAATAAAGCTTTATAATATACCCCTTATAGATTACTTTAACTTATAAAGTTATATTATATTTTATAATAATTAGTTATAATAAACTTTATTATTAACCTACCTTTATTTAATAAATACAACTTTATTTAAGTAATAGTAAACCCTTTTATAAAAATGGAATACTTTATATCCTTAAAGGTTAAAGAAAAAAAAACTAAAAATCTTATTAAAATCTTTATTAAATATTATTAAAAATTATATAATATACCCCTTAATATAATTTTTAATAAAAACTTTAAGTTTATAAGCTATTTATAAAAGGACTTTTTAAAGATTATTAATATTAAACCTTATATAAATATAACCTTTTACCCTTAAATTAATAAATAAATAAAATAGCTTAATTAAATTTTTAAAATTTACCTTTAAACATTTATTAATTATTAAATTTATATATAATAATATTATATTAACTTTAATATATATATTTTCTTTTTATATAAATTATAGCTATTACCTAATTATATATAACCTTTTTATAGTATAACCCTATAACCTATTTAATAGGTTATATACCTATTAAATAATATAGGTATATAAAAAAGTTAAAAAGTAGTTAAAAAAGGCTTAATAATATATAAAGGAATAAATAAATAAAAAATAAAAGATTTTGCCTTAATATATTAAAGATTAATTAATAATATTAAACGTAAAAAATATTAAAATAAAAAAACTTATTAAAAAGTTAAATAAAAAGATATTTAAACCTTTTAAAATTTATAAAGTAATTTTACCTATTATTATTAAACTTATATTATTTAAAGGATAAAAAATTTATAATTTATTCTATATTTTACTTATTAAGCCCTACTATATTAATAATTAAATATTACTTAACCTTAATTAAGTCCTATAAAAGGTACCTTTAATAAAGTTTAAAGATTATTAAATGGAAGAAATTAAAAACTCCTTAAAAACCTAAAGGAACATAAAGTACTTAATTAAATAGGAAGGTTAACTAGTTAAAAAGCATTAGATTTAGGAACTATATAAATATATAGATGGCATTGGCGTAAAAGCTTTTATTAAATAATTCCATTAATAAAACCTAAATAAACCGGTAGACCTTCGAACTATTATAACTCTAAATTTATAATCTACCTAAGGAGCTAAGTTATACTTAAAGTTAAGCATTAAAAAGGAGGAAGATAATATTATACAGCTAAAATTCCAAAACTAAAAATAACCAATGCTACCCCTAAAGGAAAGTAAGGCTATAAGCAATTAAATAAGGATAATCTATTAGCTACAAAAAGACCAACAGTTAAAGCATGAATGCCTAACAGATAAAAGGGAGTTATAAATTGTATAAGGCCTAAATAAACATAAATAGCTAAGGAATCTCCCACTCCAGGAGAAAAAGAGAAAAAGAGATCAAGGCCTTAAAGACCCCTAATAGATTATTAATGAATATGACTAAGTTCCAAGCCCTCTATAAGAGCCCTTGTCACATTAAGTTGTTTGACATCTTCTCCATCGACTGTCCGCCCGATCATGGCAGGCCTACTTCTCATTACACACGAGGTCGGCCGAAGCCGACTTGTACGGCTAACTGCGGAAAAGTCGCCGATCCATCCGGAGAACACCAGTCTACAAGTACCTGTGCAACCGAAACGCATACGACATGCCAGACCTCAAGCGGGTCGACCAGCTGCAATACATACGTAGGTTGTGACTGTGTCACCTCCACCGTTACGGATGTTTGGGTTTCTTGCGAGTCAACCTCATGCACCAGTGAGTCACAAACTCTGCTTGTTAATCGCTATTTGCATCATGACCCCTGACAATGTATGTTTTGCAGCGACAAGCTCCAGCGTCAACACAGGTTGTTACGTTACTGCCACGACTACGACTACGGGCGAATATTGTCCTATGTAAGTAATACGACTCTGATTAATCCGTCACACTGATGCCAGTATGTCGGTGATTCTTGTTAATTTGGGTTTCATAGCTTCTCGGACTATCCTGCCCTGCAAGCTGTAGATATGTTCCCCGACGGTGTTACGATCATTCAGACGACAGCCCCTTATCCACCGTCAGTGATATTTGGCACATCCCGAGTCACCGGGACGAGCGGCACCGCCGTAGTGGGAAAATCGACTATTACCCTGGTCACTATTTCAGTAACGACCATCATTACAGTCGATGGGACCACGGCGACGCTTTTTCCCAGAACCACTCGGTCTAGGCCTTGGATCAATGACTGGGACGCACTGGGCTTGGTGCCCCCTAGCATTGGTGAAGAGTTGCCCCCAGACACATCCACGTCTACAACCACCAGTGGCGACGGTACGCCAACATCACCGCCTGTGATCGCGCCGCCAGGGGCACGACCTGTGTGGATGTTGGCAGGCCAATCTATCCCCGGAGTTGGGCCGTTCCCCGTATCAAGATTCACCTTCAACTGCGCCAACTTGGAGGACTTTGACCCAGATACTATGTCTCTCGATCCATGCGATCTCAACGGCAAATGGGAGATTGAAGCCCCCAAAGGGCTGGATGATCTAGATACGGACGGTCTGGATGACATAACAGATGTCTTTGGTGACACATGCTCTTTCGTGAGCTCTGTCGGCGGGCGTGACTGGGAAGACGTCGACTTTGGTGCTGAGATAGGTTCTTTGACGAACTGCGGTAAGTGGAGCGATGCCAAATGCGTCAAGTATCTTCTGAAATCTGGCAATACGAAAGATTGCGGTGGTAATGTGAAGTCAACGGAGCTAGGCCTGTGTACTTGGGACTAGAATGTGAGCAGAAATTGGGCAGGCGTAATTAACTATTTTACATGTACTCTAGGGACTCCCAAACCTAAAACACCGTATTATATATACCTGACTACTCAATTATCTAGCCTAGTGCTTCTTTGCCCCTGGCAGTCTAGTCTCGAACGTCAAAAACGACGCCGTTAGACGTTCGAGCAGTCTAACGGTTATTATACAGCCCCGCCTACGTACAACATCTAGTGATGAATTTAAATGACTCCTGTGCAACAAAGGTCTCCCTTTTCCTGTATTAAGAGATTTTAATGGTAGTAAGGCAGCGTGTGTGCATTGTTCTATCTAGTTATCGAATGCGAATCATCTATTCTTAAGATAATCAGGTGTAAATATGTAGCCACTCTTGAGACGTGGTAGTTCTTCCTTTGCAAGCACAATACAGGTGCACCTCAGCCAAGTATGCAGTGACCTAACAACAAAAATCGTAAAGAAGGGTCGTGAGGAAATGCCAAGATACTATGTTCGGGTCAGGGTGAGGCCTGCATGACACCCTTGTTAGAATCAACTACCCAGCATTCTTCTGCAGGATCTACATTTCTGTGTATCTAACGTCTCAATATAAACAGAAGAATTGTCACGCATCTCAAACATTAAGTGTTTTAACTTCTTCTTTTTTTTCTTTATACATATATATTCTCAACTACTAATACGAATGTCAATGATTTTGTTATGTGTAACACTCATATTGGCATCAGGGGTATGCCAATCGGCTGAACTCCGAACCAATCATATCTTAGTATTTTACCAACGGCATAGCGTCTTTTCCTAGGAGTCACTAGAATAACTACCTTAAACAAGTTGTCTTACCAACAGCATATCGACTACTCTCTTGGCTATGGATACCATGGCGAAGTCGCTTACAGAACTCTGGGCGCTTCCTCCAGGCTTTATAGATATAGCTCCATCAATGCCTGTTGTTTCACTCTGGGACATGTCAATTGTGGCTCGTTATTTCGAGCAAAAAAGTCTTTGCCTTCAGTAACCATTGAGAGAACATCTCCCTTCGAACATGTCTATCATCCATTTCAATAGCGAAATAATCAAAGCCAATTTGAGCGATGAGACGCATGTGAGCCACACTTACATTACCCTTCCTCGTTATTTAGATCGTGTACTAATGCTACGTTAGGTCATTCAACGTAGCTGGGCCACAATGGCAGACGGTTGTTTGAGGCCAAATACAGAGTTCACCATCCCAATCATGTGTCAGCTTCTACACCCTGCCACCCATAAAGCCTCACCAGTAGCCTCCGGGGGCGTTGAGTACGACACTTTTGAAGTGAGTCTATATATCTTGCAGCAGCGCGGCTGAGCCGCTCAAGAGTTGTCTCAAACAGTGTGTAGCTAATCCCCACCAAAACAGACATGCTGCCCGAATACCAATTATCCCGCGCAAAGGAACCATTGGGCTCTTGTCAACAGATGCAGGTTACAGGTCTGTTTCACGGATAATGAGACACTAGCTATGGAGTTCGACGAGTGTGTCTATAAAACTTCCACGGCCAAGCTTAACGTAACCAAGCTAGCAGACTCATATCGTGGAAGATGTGAATGGATCGATTTCGACAGTTTGAAGAAGGGTGTCCGCGACGTTGAAGAGATTGATAATTCTGCCCCAGCACCACCGAGGCTTCTATCATGGGTATTATTAATAGTCGCTCTGACGTCATTCGTTTTGGGGCCTTCAATAAGTTGAGAAAGGGTAGCGCTTGAAATACTTCTAGCCTGTATATATTAGGAACAAATACACTAGTAGCATATAGTCGTCGCGGGCTTCAAATGAGAGATTTGGCCAAGGTGCTCTTGCCAGACCCTGGTTTTCCACTGATCCAATACGTACTACTATCTGATTTGAGCCATTCGGCAAAGTTATCCCATAAATCTTCATCAATCAAGGTCCTGCAGTGCTTCACTTGTTTCGTCATATGACATAGAGTCATCTGATGACTGAGTTGCATCATCAGACAATTCGTCGGACTCATCATCGGTGATTAAATCGTCTGTTCTGTGGAAGTTGCTCGGCCACTATTTCGTTGGTTGTACGGGCTTCAGTTGGCATGTTTACATGATCAGATGAATCCTCATTACTAGTTGTTTCCCACTCCGATTCATCGTAGCTGGATGTATCATCGCTGGCGTCACTGTCATCACCAGCGGTGTGCTCTCGCAGAATCCATTCAAAGGTACCTTCATGAGAATCAACAATTTGATTCCATCGTTCATTCATCGCTCCAAATTTGAGGCTTGTCAAAAATTGTTCTCGCTGAGCTTGGGTCACAGCATCTGAAGCAAGTTGTCGCATACCACTGGTAATCTTCTGTGTAGCATCTTCCAAGCTTTCATTCATTTGACGTGTGATCGAGCTCTCTGTTCTCGCTAGCTTGGTTGTGATATATGATTGAGCCGCTTGCTCAGTCCTCAATATCTCCTTAGTAGTATGATCTTTGGTAGAGAGGCTTTCTGCTTTTACAAGCTCGGAAAGGGGTGTGTGCCCGGCAGCATACTGTGACACAAAGTGCTGAAGATGATCCCCGAGCTCCTTGAAGGCTTCTCGCTGGGTCAGCTCAATGGCATCACTCTGCTTGCTGTATGTTACTTAGCGGCGAGCTCTTCCTAGTGCGATTCTTTAGCTTACCAAACATCTGCAAGCAAATGTGTCTCTAGAGTCTTCTGATAAGTTTGTAATGACTTCTCTCTCTTTCCTTGGTAATACTGTTGCAGCTGTGCCGAAAGTGTCGCCAGAGACGCAGCATTTTCACCAAGCGAATCATCAGGAGAACAGCCGTCATACACGGCCGTGCATAGTGTAATAGTCTCGCGAGCAAAGCTGATGACCTGAAAAATATTACCAACAATGCCCAGGGTTTCTAGACCAGACATAGCAAAGAGTTTCCTGCACTCAGGCCGTAGGCTGCAAGGCTGATATTTCCCTTGTCTTTGAGATGAAATTTGATGAACGTAAACAAACTTAATTCAGCGTGGATGTCTCTACCTAATAATATCAGCTGTACGAGAGCATGACCAGAAGCATGGGTGGAGGCTTCAGCAATGGGTGTAGATTTTGAGAGAGTGTCAGGTGGTTTGGTCCCGGAGTGAGTAGAAGGTCAGTCACAGTCAAGTAGGTAGGTAGAAGGGATAGTATAGGCGTCAATATTCATTGAATCCTGAACCCTCCAACCCTCGAAGGGGGGCCAACACCCCTTTATATAGCCAGTAGGTCTAATACAGCCACCCCTAGGGTCTATGTGACTAATTATATCACCTGACAGAGAGCCTGATGAGGTTGACAGAGCGGGGCTGGGACTGTGGCTTGGAGCTTGCCGTCTTCTTCCGCTGCAGTTCAATAAGTCTATCAGTTGTAACCCTCATATAATTGGTTTGCTGATACGAATGAGACGCTTTACTCTGTACAGTGTAGAGATAGGGCTGCATTATTGGTAACAAGGTGGCAGTGATACAAATGTAGCTATCCCTCATACTCTGTCGAAAGACGTCTTCGCCTAATTCATAACATCAACATAGGCTGACAGTAGCCTGTTGTTTAAGTGCAGAGTATGTAGTGAAGTAGTCGGGGGAAATGAGCCTGGCAGGGCATTCTGCTAAGCAACCTGCACCGCAAATCCATGCCCACTCACAGCACATATCAAAACGCACTCGGTGGGCTATCTGGCTTATACTAGGCGGCCGTGAAATGCGACTTTGACTCCTGTAGCTTGTGTAGCAGGTTGTAGTAAGGCTTATGCTTTCAAAAGATGCTATTAGACAGGAGTACTTCCTAATCTTAGTTGAAACCACACAGTCCATTATGCTAACACTATTATTCCATATTCTTTCTAGAACCAAAACAGCTTCAATAGACTAATAGGAGCTTAGTCGTAAGTACATAGATAGATATGTATTCTCATATCTGCCTATAATGCAGGTCTAACCAGCCTGGAGAGTAAGTCGACAGGAGTTCCATTTCTGGAAATACTACCACGCTTAGATACGCCTGAAAGGTGGCCATAGTGGACTATTGACGTACGGTCGGCGTAGTATCGTATATTATCGAAATGATAACGCAACAACAATAACTTCCACCACATCAATTCCCTCGGTTCCCGCCCGTCTTTCTCTCCATATACCTTATCACATACCGCCCCCACCGGCCGTCTTCATCCCGGCCCGCCAATGCCGCCATGGTCAGTTCGCCATCGCGCGGCGGCCGCGGCGCATAATCGTCGAGTTCAATCCGGAGCTCGCGCCGCGTCTCGAAACCTGCCTTGATGTACGCATTATACGCCTGATGCGACGAGTGCACCCAAATTGACAAGCCCCTCTCATCGGCGATGGTGTTGCCGTGGCTTAACAGCGCTGTCCCGATGCCCCGCCTCTCGTGGCTTGGTGACACCGCGAGCCCGACGACCAATATGCACGGCGTGTCCGCGGGGACTATGTTCTGCAGCCAGTATTGCATGTCTGCGTCCTCGAGTGCGTGAAGCCGCTCGATGGGATCTCTCACGTCTTCCGCCGCGTTCGCGGGTGCTTGCGGCTTGCCTAGTTCTGTTGCCTTGTTGTCTTCTTCCCCCGCTACTGCCGACTCACTATCTCCAATGCCTCTTGATCCAGTGCCCCTTGATGAAGCGCGCTTTTGGCCCCCGCCCGAGAACACCCAGTTCGCATGCCCGACGATGATGCCTTGGTTGTCTACCGCCTTCACGCACAAAAAATTATCCCTCTTGAGGTTCTCCTCTAGACCCGAGCGTGTTATGTCGAACATGTCGAATGGCTGCTGGCCTAGCTGTTTCACAAGCGTGTGCGGATCCCTGGCAAACGCTGCAGCAGAGAGCCTGGCACAATCTGGTATGTCGGATACCTCAAGAGGCTGTATGGAAACAGGCATGCTTCGAGCACCCGTGGATGTTGGCGAAGACATGGCGAGAGGGGCTGTAAGCCTCGCTGATCCTGGCGGTCGCGAGGATAGCGATAGCGACAATTTTTCAGATTTAGATAGGAAAATGCGAAATGCCGTGACTGCGGGACTCGTTGCGTACCAACAGTATGCGTGCACTTAGCCCCGAGCTACAGAGATGTGTATGTATTCTGATCGTAAAAGGCAACACATTTATGAGCAAGCAACATGGCAACGTCATTCAGATACCGTCGGAACAGGCTGGATGCAAGAGCATAAGCTCACTATTAAACAACTAGAGTAGAAGCTTTACATGTCGATCGTCCTCGCCACCAGCAACAGTATGCTAGTAGGGCACGCTCAATCCCCAAGTACATGTAAGGATAGTACACATTTTGCAAGGGATTCGTGAAAATACCCCATAGATACCCCGGTGGGATCCCGTCGGGGTACATAACGCAGGTAAGACGGCAGTGGTTACCGCATATTTACCTAGACTAGTATGGATGCAACTTAATCACACATTAGTTGTCATTTGTCAATCTGACTACTCTTGTGTACACTAGTTACATGGATCTGCTGGTGTAGGTAGCGAGTGTATATTAAAAGCAGCCAATGCACCCGGTCGGTAGCATCTTCCCCTAAGTCTTGTTATGCTCAGTGCCGGCTTATTCAGTCAAGGTCACCTCATGAGTTCGCGCCTTATAACCTAGCTCAAGAAGAATCATCCCATGCTGCGTTATAGATAGCCGCTGCTTTCCAGGTTACCACAGCCCTTAAGACTGAGTTGATCGTTTTGCAACTCAGATCTCATGAAGGCTAAGCTCTTCTCCAGAGATTAATTTCCCAGTAAATGAGAGTCGAGCTCAAGGACATTGATTTTCCAGTTCCTTCAACTCAAATTTTCCGAGTGTTTTACCCTTTCCAGTGTAGGCGCATCAATTCTCGCTTTGCAGCAGTTTCCAAGTCGGTCTTGGACGTTGACGAACTGTATTAGCGTACTTGCCTCGAGAGATACAAGTGCTCAATGTAAAAAGATAATGCCGAAACATGCACTATGTGTCACATGGGCCAATCCAAGGCCGGATGGGGAAAGGAAAAAGATAAAAAGCACGACACCTCCGAGATTCGAACTCGGGCTCCCGAAGGAACAGGATTAGCAGTCCTGCGCGTTAACCACTCCGCCAAAGTGCCTCTTTGATGATTTGTTATTGGATTTAATTGTAGTCTTAATTTGCATTATATTATTAAACCAATTAATACTGTAACCGACGATTGTTACCTTCCTACTCCACAGCATCTCAATTGCAACCTCACATCAGCTGTGACCTTAAGACAATACATGCAGCTTAAGTAGGTAGTAGAATATTAGTCCATTAGCCTAACATGCATTAGACAATCCGCCTTCTATCGCAAAGGTTAAGGTCTCATGTAGCTCATTGAGATGTAGACTAGGATTCGCCAGGACTCTAACAGCTCCTCCTACGCATATAGCTCGACACAAAAACGCAAGGACTCGGCAGAAGGGTCGTCACTAAGTTATAACTAAGGTATAAATGCTGAATAACTCTCCAATAATGAAAGTATAACCAAGTCGTAGCTAGGGTATAATCATAGCTGAAGCAATGTAATAATAGTCACATAACTAGAAATAGTCGAACATGAGAAGTGCTAAGCCACCTGCCCTTGAGCAATATCGTCGTTGCCATGGGGTAGTGCAGTCCAAGTTTACCCAACCTCTTGGCCCAAAAGTCCCTTGTCGTCGGAAAGGGAGAGCAAATGGTGACTGGAACGCTTGTATCATATGAACCAGTCAGTGGTGGCAGAAACTTGACGATTGCATTGAACTGTACCTCTCTCCGTTTCCTCATTCGCCTGTCAAAACCTTTGGGTGACGGCAGAAGCGTCTACAGTGGATTGAATTGTGTCCCTTCTCGTTCCCTCAGTCGCCTGTGCATACAAATTTATGCATCTACATGTGAATGTATTCACATGAGTGTGGCTTTGATGGGCCACTCGGTCTATGAAAGCCGCTGATGCCATAAGCCCACCCACCACCTAAAGACCCAGCCCCTCAACAACCCACCTAAAATCGAGCCTCCCAAAAACACCACCTTCACCTTTAACAGTTAATTTCTTAACCACTAATAAAGCTAATTTGAAGCTATTACGGAATAATAACTATAATATAATCCTATACCTTTTTATTACTTTTAAAGCTTAAATTGGTTATTTTTTAGTTAAGTTCTAATATAGTTTCGATAGGGCTTTACTCTTTAGTTACTATTTTAATACCCCTACTTTAAAGGATTGCTTAAAGATTAACAAAGTCCTTATTTAGGTTTGGAATTATTTATTTACGCTTATAAAACTATATAGATTATAATTAAGCTTTTAATTTATTATTTTTTTAAATTAAATTTATAATTATTATAGATTAAAGGTTAAAGCCCTTATTAACCTTTTTAAATAATATATAAAAGGTAGGTTTATTAAAGCTTAAAATGTTAAACTATATAATATTAATTATTTTAATTAGGTCTTTTAAATTATAAGGTATAAAAATAGGTATTAAATTAAAAATATTATAAAAATTTAATATTTTTTCTTATTAAATTATTATTTCTTTTATTATTTTATAATTCTTATATTTAATATCCCTTATTAAATTTAAATTTAAAAGCTTTTAATAATTATAAAGCTATATTTTAATTATTTAAAACTTAGTTTTAATATTTTTTTCCATTAATAACTTTTTATAAATAATTATAAAGGCTTTAAGGAATTTTAACTTATTAAGGTATACTTAATAATGCTTTATATAAATATTTATTAAAATCCTTTAATAAATATATTTAATTATTAAAAACGGGCTTAAATTATATAATTAAAATATATAAAAAGTATAAAAAGATAAAAAAATAAAGTATATATAGTTAAAAAGGTATATAATTATAAATTTAATAATAATATAGCTATTATAGCTATTAATAATTAATAATTATTATTATAAAGAGTTTTTAAATTTTATATAAAGGATAAATACTTTTTTAAACTATTATATAGTTATTTTTTAATTAATTTAACCCTTTTATAAATTTATAAAATGTTAATTATAATAATATTTATATAAATATATTAAAAATTATTATTTTTAAATAAACTTATTAATAAAAATAATAAAAGGTAGTATAGCTTTATTAATAATACTTATTATTTAAATTATTATTACTGTAACGATTGTTACGTACGGTTAAACGAGACTTGACCTGACCTGTTAATATAAGCTAAGGTAGTGAGCCAGATTGACGGCTTATTATCCTATATCCTTTTGACCCAAGGACCGTGGCGCAGTTGGTTAGCTTACAGCTGCGTACGTTACACTAATGTAACAAACGTATTAGATATATACTGCGAAGGGAGCTGGGGGGACAGCTGACAGGCAACAATAACAAACCAACAAACCTATACCCTCTTATTAGGAATTATAAAATAATATATAAAAAGCTTTAATTAATATATGTAAAAGGTAAGGCAATGTATATTCTTTAAGGTACGTCGTAGTCTATCTGCTAGGTTTCGTTTATCTAGCTTACGCCGGGGCGACTTATATTTTATATATGTAAAAAGCAACGAGAGAAATCAAAGTAAAGCATCCGCTATACTTTTTCTTCTATAATATTTATACCCCTATTTTTAGCCCTATTATAATCTTCCCTAATTATTTTCCTATTATCCTTAATGGATAATAACTTTATACTTCCTTTTTTTTATTTATTAGCCTATAATATTCCGTATATTTAATCTTTATTCTTTTATTTTTTAACTTATTTAATAGCTATATTTAGTTCCATTAATTTAATCCCTTTTCCTTATCTTTTATTTAGGGCCTAATATTACTTTTTATAATTAATACTTTCTTTTATATTTATTTAATTAACTTTATTTATATAGGATTTATAATCTTTTTACCCTTTTTATTTATAAGATATATTAAGTATTAGCCTATATTTAACGATATTAAATAAATCTCCTTTTTAAGATATAAACGGTACTTATAAATTAAGGGATTATTAATTAATTAAGTATTAAATATAATTAATATTTAGCTTTAATATTAAATATAGTTTAAATTAAAGGATATTTTTATATATAATACCTTATTTATAATTTAAAGCTAAATAATTATTAGGGCTATTTTAATTATTTAATCGATTGTTTTTAAAAGTGTTAAATCTTTAATTTATTTATAATTTTAATAATCCTTAACTTTTTATTCTTATAAAGTAGCTTAATGCCTTATTAATAAAAGCTTCTAATAAGTTATATATTATTTCGTTAATATTTACCTAATTATTTATTAGTTTCTTTATATATAATAGGGTTTAGGTATATTTAATAATTATTTTTTTAATACTTTAATCTTTTATTAATAAGTTTATTTCGAATAAAAATCCAATAATAGTTTTAATTAAATAAAGGAAGGGTAATTTATTATATAAATAATTAATTAAAATTATTATATTAGTATTTAAGTTATATAATAGAATTAAGGGTTAGAAAAATAGGGCAATTACCTATAAAACATTTAATACCCTATAGCTTTAAATATCGTTTTGGATATATAATGGTAGGTTAATTAATTTTTATAGGTAGGGAATATTATTAAATATTATAGTACATTATATTTTATAGATTATTTCAAATATTTCTTTTTAATAATTAATTATTACGTTATTATATTTAATTATATTCCTAAGGATTATATTAATTATATATATTTAAAACTTCTATTTATTTATAATAATAATATAGAAGTAGTTTTATATAAGGACCTTAAAGTTATATAAATATATTCCTTTTAAAATAACCTATATAATTATATATATTTTAATTAAGGATGGCATTTATTTTTTAAATTTTATTTATATATTGATCGTATTAAAGAATTATTTAAAGTTAGGTTTTTATATAACTTTAAGCTTATTAATAAGGAATATTTAAAGGAAAGTTCCTAATTTTTTTAAATTTACCTATTATTATTATATATATTTTATTAAACTATTAATTATATTATATCCTATATTATTAGTTTTCTATTTATACCTTTTAATTATAAATAGTAGGGGTTAATTCTTTATATATAATTAATTAGTCTTTTTAGCTTTTATTAAATATTAAAAGGGTATTTAAATATACTTTATAATATTATATTAAGGAATATTTATATTTTTAAGCTAGGATTTAATATAATAGATTTAATGAATTAATTCCTAAAGGTTTTGCTATATATTTAAGGTAAGTTTATTTTATCTAATTAATAGTTTAAGCTATATAAAAGGTATTTAAATATTTATATTATAATAAATATTTAAATAAGGTTTATATTTTATAATTAAGTTATATTAAATAAAG